AAACAGATGTAATTTGAACTGCATTTGTAGCTTTAAATCACCTTAAGATACACATATTTATCTTTGGAAAGGCTTAGTGTGGCATAAAAATTCGTCTGAATTCAAAATATGACATTACGAAAACACAAAGGAAATATTAGATATAAATATGATAAAGTGGGGAAAACAACACAAGGCAATGCATGCCAAGCTTCATGAGAGGCAAGATGTTTACTTGCCTTAGTTAATGCCTTCAAATCAGGTCGTTTTGCTTTTCCCACCTTTGTGTCTGGCGAGGAAGCCTCTTTCTGCAGAAATTTATTCATTAGGGAAACATATTAAGGACCGATTTGATTAATCTCAAGACCACAAGAATGTTAAGCAGAGTATTAAACAGAAACTGACCTTAGAATTTTTTGAAGATTTCGAGGCTTTCTTTGAAGATTTTGAGGCTTTCTTTGAAGATGCGGAGGCTTTATTATCAGCTTCCACTTTTCTGCACCTCTTCTCCTCTTCCTATGAATAACAATAAACAAACATTAGACAATGGACATTTCACATTTGAACATGAAAATAGGGTGATAGCTGAGCTCAAGCCTCAAGAGGACAAAGAGGACAAACCTGTACGAAATATAGATAGTGTTTGTTGAACAACCTCAGGGTCTCTTTGACCTTAACGTGGTCACTCTTCTCGACCAAAGGATCAGAGGGTTTGCCGGTTCCACCTTCTAAAGCGCCGTTAGAGCTAGCCTCCTGGGCCTCATTTTCTGCATGGGACCTTCTTCTACCATAAACATTGGCTCTTTTGCTAAGGCCACCTCCTTCTCTGTCTCCATCTTCGTGTTCATCAAGTAGTTGCACTCTGCGACGGACCAGGAGTTCCTTTTGGGGTCTCGGTTTCCCCTGAAGCCGAGAACTGGCCCTCCTCGGCGGAGGCGATGAAATCTCAGCGTCTGCGTCTGCTTGAGCATCTATGGAGCTCTGAACCAACGATTGGACAACCATTTTCCACCCTTACAAATGTCTGGTGGTTTTAGGGTTTTTCAGAAACTGCAAGACACAAACAAATAAAATATACAAAAAATGTTGGGAGGCCTGGCTTGGGAGCAGAGAGAGAGAAAAGAGTGTGTGTGGATGTGTGTGGGTGGGTGGGTGGGTGTATTTGTGGTTCTCTCTTGCGTCACTGTGGACTGTTGAGTGCTGGTATTGAAGGAGTACGGACGGGCCCTTATTCCCGCGCTCGCCTCTTCATCTCTCTCTCCATTTCCTTTCCTCCCTCTTCCTCCCTCACTCGCTTTCACCTTTTGAGGCTTGAGCGCTCCTCAGATTTGGTTTTGGCCTTTCCGAGGGTGGAAGGGTATGCTAGTAAAAACCAGACAGCCATTTCCGGTTTTAGATATATTTTTATTTCGTAATGTAAATTTTTGGACACATTCCTACTTGTAAATTGGTTTTTGGTAAAAGAAAAATACGAAATCAACCTCTCTCGGAAAAAGGAAAGGAAAGGAGATTACCAAATCAACCCTATAATAGTATTTTTGCTCACTTTAACATAAGGTATACCATCATCATCCTTATTCTCAACATTTGACATATATTTATAAACATAACAATGGTTCCATAAATACAAAGTAAATAGTTAACTATGGTTATATGCTTATGGACACGTATCAAGTGTTGAGAATTATGATAAGGATATTCATTTGATAAAAGTAGTGAGCAAAAATATTTCCTACAAATACACCTCCACTTTTTCTTCAACTATCTCAAATCATATTTAGGGCACACTCTCTATGTAAGATAGTTAGGATTAAGGGGTGTAGTAGAAACTCATATTTATCTCATATCAAAAACCCTGAAAATGTTAATACTTAACAAAAATATTAGAACACCACAATTTAATACAATGAGGAATTAGTATTAAAAATAATAATTTAATAAAACAAATTACATTTAAGTAATCTAGGAAAAATATTTACTGCCAATTACACCCACATCCCTCTCCCACTACATCCATGTTCTTCCTTTTTTATGTCTATATATTACACTAATTAAATAATATTTATATAATAATACAAATTAAAAAAATTAAAAAAAACTGTCAAAAGTAATATATATATATATAAAGCAAAAGGTAGAGAATAGTAAAACGTTCAAAATACTAGAAAATGTCTTTGGTTAATGCAAATATTAAAAATTCAAATTATTAATTAAATGAGGATAATATGGTAAATTCAAATTTTTTCATATTAAAAAAATTAAAATTAAAAGAAAAAAAATCAGATAATGGATCCTATTTTTATGGAACACAACTACCCATTGTCTTTTTTAATTCTAAAATAAATTAAATTAAATTAAAAAGGCATGTCGCAGGCGCGGAAGCGCGTGTGGAGATGCTAGTTTTTGTAAAATTAAATGTATATGCAAAAGATAAGAAGAAGACAAAATCAATCAGCACACACATGAGGCTAGTATATATAAAGACTGAGGCATCACATTGTGAAATATTATCTTAAGAAAAAAAAATCATAGATTAACTAATACAACAATTTAATACAACAAGGGTAAAAGTTGGTAGCATACACTTAGAGCATCTCCAAAGTTATTGAATAGGCTATTGAATGCCCACATAAGAAAAAACTCTATTCAATAGCCTCTTCAACTTCAGTCATCAAAGTTACAACATCTTTCTCTCTCTTCAGGACTTGTAAGTCAACTTTGGCTCTTCAAACATTTAATTTTACTTTGGAAAAACAAAACCTACCTTAAAAATGTTTAAAATGTGCATTTTTACTTTTCATATAACAAATACATAGAGATTTTTCACCTTTTTTTTTCCCTTGATATTTTTCATTCTTTTTAATGGTATTACATTAAGGCCCCGTTTGGTTCATGAAATGAATTTGAGGGGAAATCATTTCCCATGTCGTTCCCCAAGAAATGGGAATGGAAGATTCATTTTCCACGTTTGGTAATGCTGGGAAAGTAACCGGGAAATATCACTTTATTTTCTTTCCCATGTTTGTTTTGAGTATGAATGAAAAACAAAGTTTATATAAATTTTCAATTATACCCATATTAAATCAAATAAAAAAAGAACGCATTTAATAATATATTGTAATTTTAAATTGTTAATAGGGATAAAATGGTCATAAAAATATGTATTTAATGTTAGCTCATTTTCCCAAACTTTCCCATGAGTAGGGAAAACAAAACCCAAGTTGAGAGGATGACTTCACTTTCCCCCTTACTTTCCCATGAGTCAGACAACGATTTCCCATACCTAGACTTACCAAACATGGGAAAACAATTGATTTCTCCTTCCCAAGTCTCATTTCCCATGAACCAAACGGTGCCTAATTGAATTGACAAGTTTGTTGAAGCAAATATTATTCAAGTAGCAAATAAGGCTTTTCAAATTGCCATGTAAGTCAACAAACATCAAAAGTTTTATTTGCTACTAATGTTGGAGATGCTCTTAATAAATTAGGGTCAAAGTTAGTGGCATACACTTATGGTACCATTACTCACTCATTCAATGAGCCACATGTACATTTTGCTAACTTTTTGAATTTTGAATTGAAAAAATAAAGAGAAGACTATCATTGAATGAGAAAATCTACAATTATGTTCTCTCATTTTTAGTTAATATTTAGCTAAAAACACACAAAAGCTATTTTAGAAACTCTATATAAAATTTGAACTTCAACCATACTCTCTAATATAGGGAGTTATAAATACTATAATTATTTTTTAATTTAATATAATTGGTCAATCTCTATAAAAATATAATAAAAATAAATAAATAACATTAATTAAAAGTTTAAAATATGCATAAAACAATGCATGATTAAATTATAGGTAGTCACTAGGAGGAGTCCTTTTTTTCTCCTCAAATTTTGAACATTCACAATAGACTCCCCAAACCTTTAATTAATATTGCCTATTTTTTATAGGATTTTTATTTTTATTATTATCGAGATTGACCATTTACATTTAATTAAAAAAAATTATAGCATTTATGACTCCCTAACTAGAGAGTATGATTGAAGTTGAAATCTTATAGAGAGCTCATAAATAGCTTTTGTGTGTTTTAAACTAAGTTTTAACTAAAAAAACAGAGAGCATGATTGTAGATGCTCTTAGAAGCTCATAGAGGTCTTCCTATTTTAGAAGGTGGATAGGGAGTATGATTGAAGTTGTATTTTTCGAATTCCTCTCTAAAATTTGTCTAATGAGGTGGTTTAAAGAGCCTATTACGGATGTTCTGAGATAGACAAAACTATTTTCTTTTCAACTGTGGCATATAAACGATTGTTTAAACTATTATAAATAAATCTAATCTACGAAAAACGGAATTCGAATTATATAAAATAGAACGAACTTACTACCTTAGATCGACTAACCTAATCTAGATTTACCTGTTTGTTTGGTGTTTTAAACACTAGTTTAGTAGTTTGGGCATCATGTTTCCACAAAACGAGGATTTTTAATTAATATTTAGTACCAGTAACTCGCCTCAACGATTTATGTTGGTGATTTCCCAATAGGTCCAACACCACGCCGGAGCATATAATTTGCTTTGATTGTATTGTATTGTCTTGTCTTGTCTTGTCTGAGATGGGAGCTTCTACAATGAAGAGTTAAAGTGAGGAGGTTATTTGAGGAGACCAATCCGACCATCAAAACATTTAAAATATTTAAGTCCCATGATTTCTTTACATTTGTTGATGGTGATATTTGACCTCCTCAAATAACCTCATCACTTTAAGCCCTCATTATAGCCTTTCCCGGGTACAAGACAACAACGCAATGTTGTCGTTCTTCAAAGCCATTTATCCAATTGGTTGGGTGGCCATCAGTCTATCACATTCACATGTAATTGAAAATTTGAATTTGGACTTGTTGGAGTTGGACCTCAAGGCCCATGGCCTCCTCGGGCCTTAGCTAGTAAACAGTAAACTCAATCAATTCTAGTATTTTATCTCTATCTCTGTCCCTGCGTGTGTGTGGAGCGACCAATGGCAACTAAAGTGTTATCGTCCCCTCCACACCCACAGCTAAACCCAAATCCTCACAGTTATCCATCATCTCGTCCTCTGAAAACACTCCAAGTCAAAGCCACGAGAGATGTAACCCAGAAGCAGAAGCAGCCATGGCGGCTGCTGAGTCAAGTTTCCTCAAGAACAAGAGCCAACAAGAAGAGACAGCTGCAGGTTGTTGGTGCCTTGAGCTCCTCCCTCCACGACTGCGAGTCTCTTGTTACTTCCTCTCTACTAGTCTTACTGCAGGAACCACCATCATCTTCATCATCATCATTGTTTGTGGTTGCTGCAGACAGCGTGGGTTATTCCGTGGCCAGTTACTACACTTCCTTGGGTCTATTCGTCCTCTCTGTTCCAGGCCTTTGGTCCCTCATCAAACGTTCTGTTAAATCCAAGGTACGCCATTTCCGCTGCAATTTCACTTTTTACATCAATTATTATATTATATTATATATGTGCCTGAACCATCAATTTTTCCACAACCAAACCAAACCATCATGGACTTGGGCTGATGCTGAGCCTGAAATATGCGTTTCAGGTTGTGCAGAAGACATTTATAGGCGAAGAGAAGAAGGCACCGAGTCAGGTCGCAGGTGAAATTTTGTCATTCTTCACTCGCAACAATTTTGTGGTCACTGATAGAGGAGAGACCATCACGTAAGCCTCCCACCTTATCCTCCTCCTCCTTAATTATTTCTCTCTCAACTCTCATACATACTAATACTATTACTAAGATCACTATCTGTGCTATCTTATCTTATCTATGGAATATTGAATAATGATATCAGTAATTAATTATATATAGTCTCCTCCTCCTGCCCTGATGAGTTGATACAGAACAACAGAACATACTCATTGCATTTTAGTTCCAATCCTGAGTCGCATGAAGATGATTCTGAACGCCAGCTGTGTTTGGAACTGGAGGAGGCTGCCTGCCTGCCTGCTTGCAACTAAGATAGATAGATGGTTAAATTTGTTGTTGTTTGCTTGCTAATTAAGGAGGAGTTGTGTACTAACATGACATCTGTGGGTGCGATTTTCGTACATCTATTTATATGCTCAATTTTGCTGTTGATCTTGAATGAAAGGTTTGAAGGCATGATGGTTCCAAGTCGAGGCCAAGCTGCATTGCTTACTTTCTGCACCTGCATCAGCCTGGCAAGCGTAGCTCTTGTCCTTACAATAACTGTTCCAGATGTCGGCAATAATTGGTTTTGGATCACCACCTTAAGTCCCTTGGCGTAAGTGCAGCAGCAGCAGTCACCCACCCACTCTTCCTCCTCTCTCGCTTTTTTTCTTCATACAATGCTTTTGGTTTTGGTTTTGGCTAAGGAATTCTCTGTCAAATCTCTCGCATCTAACGTTCCCTTTTAAAAATGGAACACAGGGGAGCATATTACTGGAAACGGGCATCCAGAAAGGAGCAGATCAAGGTCAAAATGATGGTCATAGATGATGACAGTGCACAGTCAGAGATCATCGTTCAAGGGGATGACCAGCAAGTAGAGCAAATGAGAAAGGAGCTTCAGCTCAGTGAGAAAGGCATGGTGTATGTTAAGGGCATATTCGAGAGATAATAACCTTGTGGCTCAGGCTCGGGCTCAGAGAGGAAGACTACTACTAGAAAGGAAATGAGTCTCTTCTTCTATTGGCTTGGATCCTAATTTAAAGATTTTGAGATGTATACACAATCATAAAATTTGACCAATTATATAGCTGTGAGCTACTACTACTAAGATTTATTCAGTTGGATTACAAATTGTCATGCACTTAGTGAGGGAAAAATTGAAACCCCTCTCTATCTCATTCTTATCCCCCTTCAGGCTTTTAGGAGTCGCCAAAATTATGGTACAAACATCTCTATCAATATCCTCAGATCAGATCCCCAACCCCTAATGCTATAAATGAACAAGGCAGAGAGCGCCGTAATGCAATTTGGTAACAATAATAGGCCTCAACAGATAACTAAATAAAGTTTTCTCGATTCATAAATAACCAAATAAATAAATAAAGACATCCTCAGCTCGGCAAAGTTTCAAACTTTCGATACAGTTCATGCTCAGCAAAGGCCAAGGCAACTTATTGAGAATCCATAGCAACACCACCCAGCATGAGTTAAATATCCCAGTTACATAATATTTCCAGACATCCCAAAGGGGGAAGAGGGCAAAAACAAAAATGTCTGTAACAAATCTTCGACATTATCTGATTAAATTACGAGATAAAAAAACCTTATCCCAGAAACAACCGGTTCGCTAGAGAACAACCCCGAGGTTTTTTAACCAATCAATAACTTGTTCTCATCCAAGAAGGTATATGTGGGTACCTCCAAGTTGTATGGTGCTGGTCCCTTGCGGATCCTTCCAGAAACATCATAGTGGGAACCATGGCATGGGCAAAACCATCCACCAAAGTCACCAGCATTTGGCAAGGGAATGCAACCCAGATGTGTGCAGACCCCAACAACAATAAGCCATTCTGGGTTTTTCACCCTCTCAGCATCTTGCTGGGGATCACGAAGAGAATTAACATCTACACTATTTGCCAGCTTGATATCATCGTCAGTTCGGCGCCTGATGAAGACTGGCTTTCCACGCCACTTCACAGTCACAGTTGCACCTGGTTCTATGCTGGAGAGATCAACCTCGAGCGAGGCCATGGCAAGAACATCCTTACTGGCTGACATGCTTAGCACAAACTTGAGGACAAGCAGACGAATCAGAGAAGCATAGACAAACCTACCGCCTGTGAGGACAAAGTAGGCAAATGCCCGCTTGCTGGGGTCACCTGGAGGGTAACGCTCATGGTTGTAATCATCATAAACTATCTTTGAAGTAGGATTCTTAACAGCTGCCACAGTTGGAGGAACATCTGGAACTAAGTTGTTGTCCTTTGATGGGGTCAATGAATCAGACGCAAAACCTGAAGCAACCAATTCATTCAGAACAAGAGCAATATGACATAGAAAGCCATGTATTATATGGATGGTTTAAAATAGACTTAAATCATTACTTAAAGAAGTAAATTTTAGAACAGCTATTAAAGACTTCAAATTGCCACTAACATTCAGACTGGAACTTGATGCTTCATGACCTTTTTTCTTGGTCTTCCTGTTCTTTTCTTTTTTATTCTCTTTTCCAATACGTAACTTGCAACTTCAAGATCAAAAGACCAATATACATTATTATTTGTGAAGGCATGCACCTCTTACAGAAAGAAAGCTAGAAGATACTCTACATAATTTCAAAGTTCATTCTCTTATTAAACACAAGTTTGACAAACAACCAACATCAAAATAAGGCAACCTAAACTCTAACGAATCAATCCATTATAGGTAGCAAATTATATTCAGAATCCATGGGAGCTAAACATAAACTAACATATTTATTGTTCAGCTCGGAAAGATTGCACATATGATACAAACACAAACGCAAGCACAATATCAAGCTCAAAACACAATTGCACATTCTCGGAAGCCAGACTATAGAAAAGCCCAAAAGGAAGTGATAAAATTTTGATGAATTCCTAGATAGATATTATGGGGGAAACCCTAAATAAGCATTTGCCCAGAAATAGGGAAGAGGAATGAGGGAAACCCTAACCTCTGGAAGGAAGATAGAAGTCAGTGGTGAAATAGATGGATCTGAGGTCATCGGAGGAGTCACGGCCGTCGATGAGATTCCGAGACAGGACAGAGGAGGATGCGGTGGCGGCCTGATTGGGCCTCCATGGCGACGCAGACACAGAACAGAGCCTCCTCGCCGCAACCCTCAACATCTTCTTCTTCTGTTTCTTATTAATATTATTATTATTAATATTCTGATTCTGGGTTAAGGTTTACTAGCCTTGCGCTGCGAAATGGTCGTGTTTGGGTTAGCCCAACAAATGCAGCGACTACTGTGGAGAGAGATACAGAGAGAGGGGGATAGGGATAAAATAGGCAAACCAAAATTTCCCAGGCGATGGGATTGGGGGAACATGGGGGAAATGAAATGACCGTGTGGTCGATTTATTTGGCAGGTGGCCCTGATTTTGGCACGTCATCATCACATTTACTCCGTGTTTTTTGTTTTGTTTTGTTTTTGGGCTCAAGTATATTTCTGATTTAATAATTACTTTGAAGACTTGGATTGGGCCGAGTCATCCTAAAAGAAGAGCGTGAGAGATTAAGGTTTGGGCTCAATTCAAATCCCTGATTGTCACTCCGTCGTCGAGGACTTTTGAGCTTGACAGACTCGCAAACAAAAAGCAAAGCATCACAGAAAAAAGAGTAACAGAGAGAGAGAATGGAATTGGAAGTGGAAAGAAATAGTGGAAACGAAGAAGAAAGCGACATCATCGGAGGAGGTGGTGGGAAAGTAAATTTATCGGCATCGGAGATAGAGTATGTGAGCTACGAAGGAGAAGATCATCTGCCGCTGATAATGGGGCTGGTGGACCAAGAACTGAGCGAACCATACTCCATCTTCACGTACAGGTACTTCGTGTATCTGTGGCCGCAGCTGTGTTTTCTGGCATTCCACAGAGGCAAATGCGTGGGGACGGTGGTGTGCAAGATGGGGGAGCATCGCAACACATACAGAGGCTACATCGCCATGCTCGTTGTCATCAAGCCCTACAGAGGAAAAGGCATTGCTACCCAACTAGTTACCAGATCTATTCAAGTCATGATGGAATCAGGCTGTGAAGAGGTACGTCGTGGTCTGCCTGTTCTTTTTTTTTTGTGTGTAATTAATTTCATAATCTGTTCTTGAGAAATTGGGGCTTAGGGTTTTCCGCTAGAATTTAACGAACGAACGAATGAATGAATGTGATTCAGGTAACACTAGAAGCAGAAGTGACAAATAAAGGAGCACTGGCGTTGTATGGGCGCCTTGGATTTATCAGGGCAAAAAGGCTTTTCCGGTACTACCTGAACGGGGTTGATGCTTTCCGTCTCAAGCTGCTGTTTCCCCCCCGCCCAGACTTACGCTCCCAGTCCCAGTCCTCCCCACCTTTACATTACAATTTACATGAATGACCCTGGATTCAGTTTTGACCCATCAGGATAAGCTCCTTTCTTTCTTTCTTTCTTGTGTTCTATTTACTTGTTCTGGAATTCTCTATCTTCATTACTACTAGTACCATTTCACTTCTTTAATCCTTTTCCAAATAATTCTTTTCGTTTCTTTTTTTAATTGTCTTTTCTTATGTCTTTGCTAAGTGATAAGCTAGAATAACCAATTGCTTGCTACTTCATCAAACAATTCAAAGCTCTTGAGGACCAAGTTTAGGTTTACAAGGGCAAGGAAAGGAAGGTTATATTATTATTAGCAAGATGTAACATAGGTTGCTCATCTCATCTCGTGCAATGCCATTCAACAACAAACACCCTGAAAAAGCTCCAAATCCTCTGCTGCTGTGATGTCAAGGGTTGTAAAGAATGATCAACCTGCATGATTACATCAGATCAGATGCTAGGATTAGATCTTAATCACAGCAAAACTATAATTTGTTTCTATAGTCTCTTTCTTGATCCTCTGCTTAGGAAGGGTATTTCCCTCTACTTATCATCACATGATCCCTGTTCCCTTGACATACATGGAATTTGTTTACTCAAATCTTCAATCAACCAGACTCTTTTTTAACAAATAATAATGTACCTTAAAAAATCCAAATTCCCTTCCCACCATCAAGAATAAAAGATAAATTTCTTAAGTTTGTGATTAGTGACTCAAATTTTACAGTCCCAGTAATATATCGTACATATCATTTTATTTTTTAACCATTAAATGGGGTCCATGTCTCTCTAAAAAAAGAGGAAGAGTTAACATACATATATAAAACGTTTACTTGAGGGCCAAAAGTCCACGGGGTCCAACCAAAGACCCCAATTCCAAACCTCGCCGTCAAGTTCCTAGTTGTGTTTTGACGGCAACGTGAACGGCTCGCTCTCACTGTCGGCAGCCAAGCCGAACCCCAAAAAGCATCAAAATCCGAATCATTGTTAATTTGTTCGTTTTCTGATTAAAAAAATGTACGTTTCTTTCATTTTTGGTGCAGAAATATAAAAATCCTTTTTACTTTTTTGGATTAGGCAACAAAAAAAATTCCCAATTTTATTTGCAAAGTTTGATAAAAAATAAAAAAAGGTGAACTAACTTGCTAATAATTCGTTTAGGTGTGGAATTTAAATTTAAATTTGGTAATGACTATATATAATCGGTGGGTCACTCTAGTCATTTGCATAATCCATGCTATTTATATTTTAACGGAATAATTGAAAATGTTATGAAGTCACATTGGGTAGGTTACAAGAGAAGTAATTAATTTGTAATTTTACTCAAATATGTCAAATACAAAAAAAATTCTTAATAATATTTACAATTCACACCAACACGAGTTACTTCACACATTTACTTAAGATCCAAAGTTTCTAACACATACTTATCTAACGTATTCATACTCATTTATTTCCTTAGCTTTACTATTATGCCCCTTCATAATATAATGTTAAAGGGGTTAAATTGTTAATCTAAACCATTAGGGGATGAATTGTTAATACGTATAACTTACAGTTATTGATTAAATAAAGATAAAACAAATACTAGGGTTTTGGAATCCTAATAATGACAGAAATCCTGATTGTACAATAATTACTACAAATATCTCCTAACCATACTAGGAGAGTTGACTCACGATAATATATAATAATTGCATCCATATAAAGAATGAGAGAAAAAATACAGAGTATTTCATTAGACGTATTTAACTAATTTTTTAGTGTATTTGGTGAATTTGATTAAGCATACTTGTTGATTGTTTGTAACTAATATATATATATATATTTTTAAGGTAGGAGTTGGTGGCTGTAATGTATAACAATGTATTATATATGTTAATAAAAAATGCATTATGATTACCCCCTTACTCACTAAAAGGGGTGATAGTTGTTTATGTGTAATTGCATTTTATGTTCATGTGTTATTATAGTCTGTTTTAATATGACTTATTTAATTATAAATGGAAGATTAAACACTAATTCACTTATTTTTGTAAATTGTGTTGTGTTGGAGTAGAGAGCCACATATATTATAAATTAACTTCAGTTTGTTTCTAGTTAAGCAATCACTTACATACTACTTATAAAAACTAAAAAATTCACTTAATTATAATATTAACAAAAATCATACAAGATATATTAGGAAATAGAAATAAAAGGATTTTCTAGAGAATTGGGACCCGGGCGCCACGAAATAGAATGTCTGACCCTTCCTGCTATTACTCGTTAACTCGCCACAACGTCACTGTTCCATTGTAACCCTTGCTGGCTGCAATGCAACAATCAGGTCAGGATCAGGAATCGACGTAACCTTGGAGCAAACGGACAAGCTGAGTCTCGAGCCAAGCCGCGCCCAAGCGCGCGAATGAACCATTCAATGTGAAATTAACGGTTCCGCGAAACCACACTCGTCTGATCTTTCTCTGTCTCTCTGCCCTTCCTCTCTCCATATGCTAAAGCTGTGTGGGCGTGTGTCTCTCTCCCCTCAACTCCTCAACCCAATCCGATAATACGAAACGCTCTCTCTCTCTCTCTCTCTCTCCTCTCTCTCTCTCTCTCTCTCTCTCCGCATTAAATAGAGTATTCTTAGCGCAAAATTCCCAATCTTCTTTGGGGTTTTTACTGTGAATTTACTGCAAACCTTCGCAGCTCTAATTCGTGGCTTTCTATTGAGACCAAAGTAACCAGATTTTTCAGGTATTGCCTTTTCTTTTCCCTGCTCTATGCCTTCATTGTTAGGGTTCCGGTTTTCTATTTCGAAAGAAGGTGCTTGAATACGTTTCTGGGATATTTATCCCTTTTCTTGAAATTTTGATATGAGGTTGGTTTTTCACTTATGATTTGATGCCTAAGTGGGTTTCTGATTGTCAGCAAATTTGTATGGGTGTTCGCTGATTGTGTCTTCCTTTCATAAGTTCCTGTCGTAATATTCTTAATTTTTTATTTTATTTTAATTTGTATGGATTTTAGGTACGTTTATTTCATATGCGTGCAGTTACTTACTTTAATTCTTCGTGTGCAGTGCAGTCCTTAGTTTAATTGTTTGTTTTCTATTGTGGATTCCTCATCCACTTGCTTGTTTCTTTGTTTATCTCTTTTGAATTTAGAAAGTTTCTTTTAAATAAAAATAAAAAATAATAGGTACAGTTTGAGGGTGTTTGAGTCGCATTGTAGTATCTGAGGATTAAATCCTTAAAGTAAATCATGCAACCCTATTATTTTTGGTAAAATATTCTATTAATAAATTGCGTTTGGACGTTGACTGTATCTGGATAGCATAGCTTACTCCCTTAAGTGCTTTGCAATTTACATGAAAAGTACCTGCATATTTTCAGACTCATAGACTGACTCCAGTTGTATTGATTTTGTTCACAGTTTGGGTCAAGTTATGAGGCCTTTGGTAATTATGGATTATAATGTACTTGCAAATACTTGATATTTTCTCTCAGGTTGCATTAAAAACGGACGACATGTGTTAGTAATATATGAGGGTGTAATGTTTTGAGGGAGCTTTTTTGTTTTTGACATCTTGTGCCAATGGCCGCTGATCAACGGAGAAAGCGCTTAAATGGTGCTAGCATCATTGGCTGCAATTCTAGGGAGCAACATAAAGCAAAAAATAAAAATATGGGATTGCTTAAAGATGATTCAGACATAAATTCTCATATTTCTCTTGAGTGGGATGGAAATCAGAAAATGGTGGTTGCCAAAAGCGATCAAATTGGCATAAGGTGGAGAGATTTGAGGCCATTTATTGATTCTACTTTCAATAGCCACAATATTTTGGCAGATGTTTTTGCCGTTCCTGAGGGAATCTATGATTTGGAAGATTTGGAAGATGTGCTTTCGTATGAGGTAGCTATAAATTTATCTTTATCCACAATTGTGTATCTAAATTATGTTTTATCTCTGATAGATGCATGTAATGTGCTTTTTGTTTAAAAAATGATGCAGGTTTGGCAGACTCATCTATCAGAGAATGAGAGAAAGCATCTGATGCAGTTTCTTCCTAGAGGACCAGAGGCAGAGCAAGTTGTGCAAGCATTGCTTTCTGGGGATTACTTTGACTTTGGAAACCCTTTTCTTAAATGGCATGTATTTTTATGTAATAAAGTGACTTAACTTTTTTTTTACGCTTGCACACAAACACATGTTCTTCATGCAGCCCCTTTCCTCTTCTCTTCTCCATTATTTATTTCTGTTACTTCGAAAGTGGCTGCTTTAGCCAAATTCAAGTAATGAAATATAAAACAAGAAGATGTGGATGATTTGTATGTAGTTTTGTTTAACCTTTTTGTTTCTCTTTTTTTTTAGATTAAATAAATGTTGCACTGCAGAGTATTACTTTTTTTAGGTTAATCAAAAATTTTAATTATTTCATTTTACTTTTTAAAGAAAATAGGATGCATGGGGTTGAGAACTGTCTGATAGTTGTACCATTCAGTTAGATTCTGTTAGATCATGGAATTTAAAACAAGAAACTTTTTCCAATTGCTTTTTGTTACTATTTTTGCTAACACGGGTTGTGGGTGTACTATAGCTCAATTTTAGACGTCTAACATGAATGAAGGAAAGAGCTTCTTTTGTAGTTTTATGAGATTTTGATAAATAGCTCCTTTTAGTGTTGATAAGTTAAATCCATAGTGTGCTGATGATTTTATCTGAAATATATGCTTTCAGGGGTGCTTCACTTTGCTCAGGTGATTTCCACCCAGATGCCATTCTCCGCAGGGAACAGTGTCTAAATACTGATAAGAAAGCCTACTACAAGGAGTTGCAGAAGTATCATAATGAGTATGTGAAGCTTTCCCAATTTTTTGTTTAATATATATCATTTTTGGAAGGTGCTTTTGGGCTAATTTATATGGTCACAATGTTTTTATGGTTTTTTGGTAGTATGATTGCATATTTACTGAAGTTGAAGGAGAGATGTGCAAGCTGTAAGGATCCTGAAAAGGAAATTGTGCAGAAAATATGGAGGTTGATGCTCACTGTTTTGTTTTAATTTCTTATTTTGAGTTTAGTAGATGCCAAAATATTCCCTTCGTAACATGCACAAGCAAGTACCATATAGTAATAAGGAGAAAGTTTTCTTTGAATTGTGTTTTTCCTGTTCTCTAACAGTTATTTGTTCAGACTGATTGGTCGTTATCTTATGGGTGTTATAAATTATGCAGGTCAAGAAATGATATGGAGAAAAAAATATCTTCACACGCAAATGAATCCAGATTCCGCGATCTTGAGGAAAATACCACAGTTACATCTGAATCTTGTTCATGGGTTGCAGATGAGAAAGCTTGTAGTAGTGATAACCAGATTTCCTCAGTGGTCAAAGGGGGTAAACTTCAGAACAGGTAATACAGCTTTCTACGTTTAGTCATACCAGCGAATCTATGTGCCCCAGGTTCATTTTAGTTTTCTTAAATTGGATACCTACTTGGCTACTTTCTGTATGTCTGGTTGTAGTTTCTATGATGATTTCTGCTAGTGTATCTGTCATCTACTTTCTTTGAACTGGCATGCAGAATCTTATAAGTTGCTACTGTGTCAGGATCTACGAGAAAGGTTTCGTAACGGACAAAGGTAGAAATGTATTGGTTACAGCAGATGGGGCAGTTAATGTAAGAGTGAGATCCAAAACAGGAGACAGGCTACATAAGCGTAATTTCTACAGTAGCGACGGTGCTAAATACATGTCATATGTTAAGGTTGGTGTTGCTTTGGTAATAAGTAATTTTTTTTTACGGATGATGCCTCGGTAGCCAAATCAGTCACCTCTCTCTAGGCTAGAGTTTTAGGATCAGTCATCACTAGTTTCCAGGTTATAAATGACCTTGTTGATTTATTTAAGCGATCCTGTATAAAACTTAGATGTCCAGACTCCCACCTTCTGGCTTCTGAGTCTTTGACTTGACAGGATTGTCACATGCGGCTTACTAAGCACATAGAATTGTCAAATTTTTCCTGTTAAGTGGACAAATAAGTGAACTCAACTAGAAAAAAAAGTTCTTGCACAATATTCAGGTGTTAGGATTTGAACACTGTTCTCTTTAGAAGTCATTGACTATAAGTTGTTTATTTGGACGGGAATTTCTGCATAACTGACAACAACTTAGCAGATATTTACTTCCTTAACCCAATACAGCTACGAGACACTTCCTCTCTCTCTCTCTCTCTCTCTCTCTCTCTCTCTCTCTCTTTTTCTGCACACACACACACACAAAGACATCCTTTTGCTCTATACTTATTACTTTGGGTCATGATATAGAATACTCTAATTTTTATGATGCTCTTGCTGATTGTGCGCTTTTAACTATTTCAGATTAGCAAGAAACAGTATGAAATTGTTAAGAGTATGAAGCAGTCTGGCAAAAGCATTCAGTCCAGGTCTCTTAACCGGGTTTTAGGTAACCTTGATAGCTTTGATGTACAACCATATGAAGTCTTTGTGGAAGAAGAGCAGAAAAAGTTGCATCAGCACTGGTTAGTGTCTTGTGAAGTAAACACATATATTTTAAGACTCTGGAGAAACATTTGATTGTCTGCCTCCTTAAAATATAGTCTGGTTTATATAGGTTGCAATTGGCAAATAAAGATCTCCCAGCAGCTTATGCAAATTGGAAAGAAATGCATCTACAGAGGCGGCAAATGACAAAGTCTTTGGAGAAAGACATGAAAAGGAGGCTAGAGTCCCTGGTGGAGGTTTGTGATTCTGCCCTTATGTCCTCCCCCTACCCCTCCTCTCTTCTGTTTGAGTGGATGTTTCTTTATCAACCTGATGGTCATCCATGCGTTTCTTAATTACCCTGTGTCTTTATTGTTGCATGATATCTAATGTGCTGGTTTGTGATGGGATGTTCAGGATGATGGAGGTGATGAGAACCATGAGAGCTTGCTTCAGGGTGAGATAGATATTGGAGCAGAAGACCATGAATCTCCCTTGGAAGATGATGACATGTCTGAACCTGGCTCCCCACAGGGTGATGGGTGCAACCCCATGGACATGGAAGATGATGACAAGTCTTTGCAGAAGCTTACTAGTGGTGATGAGTGCAACCCCACAGATATGGATTCAGAAGAACATTCCAGTACTGAATCAGATAATGATTCAGAAAAGCATATCATTACAGAATCAGGTCATTCTCCTCCTAATTTATCGGAGTACGTGGAGAATCTGAATACTGCAAATGATACGGTAAGTCAGGGAGCCCAATTATGTGCTCGTAGAGATGTCTGGAAGCCAGTTAGCATGCCACATTCACATTCTTACTATGATTCTACCGCAAGCCATGAATATTCATCTACCAGTGAGTTATCACTTGCGCATCCACAAGTTAATGAAGAACAACGAACACACTTAGTTGCTCTGGAGTCTGACTTGCCTGTGGGAGACACTGGGAAAGATTTATTGCACAGACAATCAGAGAATGGTTCCTTCAGTTACCCAAACCAAGATCGAAATGAATTGCTTCAATCTCTCTTTAAGGGCCAGAGCATGTTACCCTACGATCATGAGCAGAAACAGACTGGGTTGGATTTCCGACCACCAACCAATGTGTTTACAGGAGAGGGTCAGTTTCGAGGGCATTTTGAGGAGCAGCAACACCAGTCACTGCCTCTGGAGCAGGCACATAAGAGAGAGAGTGAGGTTTATATGCAGCAAAACCTACCTGAGAACATTTATTCTGATGGAGGTAGATACTTAATTTCAAGGCAGGAACATCTGACTCCAATCAATGCGCAGGATTGGGCTGTCAATAGTCGTATGCCAGGACCCCTCCAATCTCACTTAGATGGGGGAGAAATGTTGAGCCATAACTGGTTTTCTGGAGAGCCTCAAGTTCATGGTGGATGGTCTGCATCAGGTGGTACTAGTGTCGCAAGTCAGAACATTGGGAGTGGAACTAATGCAGATCAGAGCTTATTCAGTGTTCTATCTCATTGTAACCAATTACGTTCAAGTAGCCCTTATCATCCAGTAGCTTCCACTGAGCAGTTCATTCCCCCTAGGAACTATGGAATGCCGAGTGGGGTTACTCCAAGGATTGGAAATGTTTTACCGCAAGCAGCTCATGCACTTGATTACTTGGGTGGGCGTGAAGCAACTACTTCGATGATGCATGATGGGATGCAATGGATGAACTTGCCCCATCAGAACTCTGGTTTACATGATCCAATGGGGAAGCCATTCTTGAGGTCGTGGAACCAATGACATTGTTCTGCCATATTGGGTGAGAGTTCCAATATGTGGTTTGGTTCAGTGGCGGGGGAACAAGAGTTGTCAAATACCAGATGCATGTAGAAAGGAAAGGTGACTTGCTATACGGTTCAGAATATTTTGAGATTCCGTTGGAGGGCAAGAGATGTGAGGTTACTGGAGATTCACAGAAGACAAAAGTGCAGAGCTGGTGATAGGTTTTTGTACATACCTATACGAGGGCCAACTCTACACCATGTATATATGTTAGATGGGCAGACAGATAGCAGGGGAGTCATGGAATTATTGGACAATTCCAGGTATCTCTAATTTGTTAGTTATAAATTGAATATTTATTTTTCATTGGGATTTCTTTATCCTTTTGTGTTCTTGAGAGAACTTTTTCTATAATTTTGGAGGCTTTTAAGTTTCTTTAGAGGCAAATGCTTTTATATAATCAATCTCTCTTGAATACCATTAGTTTGGTCGTGGGCATTTCCAAACTCTCTCTCCCTCGCTTCCTCACTGTCTCTTGTGGAATGTTGAGTGCTTTTACCAATCATCTTCTGAAGCTAGTGTTTTGCAGTGTTTTTAACAATGAACTTCCACGAAACTGTATCAAATTCCACTGAATAATGCTGGATTCCAAGCTGTAAACACATGAAAATGAATTATGAAGATGTGGCTGAAATCTGAAACGTTTGGCTTTTGCTCTATCATCTATGGAAGTGTATCAAGTATGGATGGATTGCATCCAACACTGAGGAAGGAAGGAAGTACACTCCCTCCTACCAGACCAGCAACCAGCAGCCCGCAAGCATAAGCGAACCCGTTTCTGTTTTTGGTCCATTTGGATTTTATTTCACCAGTAAAAAAATTTATAAAGGTGAAAAATGGGTTATTGCAAAATTCGGCAGGCATTGTTTGTACCTAGCTCTTTCTGGTCCGTAAGGGAGCTGCTATCCTTGTGGTGTAGCGTTGACGACGTCCATATAAATTGAATTTCGATTCGCCACATACACAATTTTGATGATAAATGTATGAAATAAAACTTTGATGAGAGATAATATAGAAAATACACATAAAAGAAAGGGCCAACGACTCAGCTAGTAGGACAACACCACAATACCTACATTTGCTAGCAGAATACCTATGTCATGCACGGTCCATGTTGAAATTCAATTAATACAAATTTATCTTCTTTAAAATTAAACTTTAAACATCTTGTTATTAAGAAAGAAAAAAAAGATGTTGCAAACCTAAAATTTTAACGTATTTATTTATGTGGTTACAAACTCCCAAATAAGTTCCAACGTAAAAAAAAACTCCCAAGTAAGTTATGATCCCATCAATTGTGGAGTTATATGAAGAAAGAAACTAACAGAATAGAACATGATTAATAATGTATTTTCTTCGAATTAGACGGGTTGACATGAAACATAATCTATTGTCGTCTTATGAAGATAAGAGATATTCCCGCCCGCGCAAGAGAGAGCGTGCATAAGTTTACAAAATGACTTGACGACTAAAACAACGGGGAGAGAGAGAGAGAGAGAGATGCATTATTTTAGGGGTCCGAATTTTACAGAGTCACAGCGGAGAAAAAAGATGCGGCAGTTATACTTTGATTTTCTAATATTGTCATCTGTTGCTTGCTCCTCTCTTCCTCCTTCATTGTATTGAGTTTCTGTGTGTTTCGGATCGGCCTCATTCATTCTCGCACTCTCACTCTCTCACTCTCACTTTCTCACTGTGCTTGTGAAAAAGCCTGACTGAATGAAACTAAGTATTAGGCTAATGATACTAACAGAGGCTCAAACCAACCATCCTCCCTCCGATAGGATTTGATTTGAGTTAAGGTTCTTTTAAGGGAAGGAAGGAAGGTAAGGGTCAAAGTGCGTCGGCATTGGCATTTCGGACAAAAAATAAAAAAAGAAGATGAAGATGGGCAACAAGAAAGAGGTGATTCGATTAGAGCGTGAATCCGTGATTCAAGTTCTCAAGCCCAAACTCATCATGACCTTGGCCAACCTCATCGGTTCCTACTTTTTCCTTTTCAACTTTCTCTGCTTTTCTTCTTCAAATATTTGTTGTTGTGGCAGCCACTGTGGCAGTGTTCATGCCATTGCCTGCCTTGCTACTTTTGTAATCTTTGCTAAACAATAGCTTTGCTGATCATGCTACTTAACTCAAGTTTCCATGTTCTGCAGAACAAAGTTCTGACCGGGCTGAGTTTCTAAAGCTCTGCAAGAGAGTCGAGTACACAATTCGGGCTTGGTATCTCCTACAATTTGAAGATTTGATGGTAAGCCTTCATGTTTTCTGGTCCCTATTGACACACAGAACATTCATATATAGAATTTGATTCATATCATTTTCTCATGTTATTATTATTATTATCGTTTTAAATTTTTTTTTGGGCCACTGACTATCACAAATTAAGTTTTATTTAACACGTCTTGTCTTCACAGCAACTATATTCCCTCTTTGACCCTGTACACGGGAGTCAGAAATTGGAGCAACAGAAGCTTTCTCCTGAAGAAATTGATGTACTTGAACAAAATTTCCTCAAGTACTTATTTCAGGTGCTCTGGCTGCTTCACCTTATTCCTTTTTTTTTCCCCTTATATGCCCACCCCATATACAACAACCGAAAGAAACACGAAAGAACTGGAAAAAAATAATAAAGAAAAAGAGAAGAGAAACAAGAGCTATTGTCACAACACAATCCTCAAAAGGGTAATCTGTTTTTGAAAGTATAATAATAGCTGAACAGTATTTGCAACTATAGCAGCAAGTACGAATTTTTTAGAATTACCATTGTTATACAGGTGATGGAAAAGAGTAATTTTAAGGTTGCAACTAATGAAGAAATTGAGGTTGCACAGTCAGGGCAATATCTTCTAAATCTTCCCATCGTGGTTGACGAGTCTAAGGTTTGTACTTACTAAAATGTATTTGTAACTTTCAATTCAGTGAGTGAGATGCTTTATCAATATTAGATTTGTTAATGTAATTTTGATTTGTTTTGTAAGCGGCCTTCACATTTGCTGATCCCATTATAATATTGTTCCTGCTGAATGTAGCTTGACAAGCATCTTTTGAAGAAATACTTTGACAACCATCCTTACCCAAACATGCCAGATTTTGCTGATAAGGTATCTCAAATGTTGCCTAAAAATCTGCAAACATTTGGAAGTTTTAAAGCCTTCTTAAGATTTCGAGTTGCTGATCATGCAGCATAAATTACTGCTGCACATATTGCAATTGTCTGCCTTTTCCTTATTTGATGTTTTTTTAAAGCCTTTTTCTCGCTTCAGTACATTATCTTCAGACGCGGAATTGGACTAGATAAGACAACCGATTACTTTATCATGGAGAAAGTGGACATTATCATTGCACGTTTCTGGGCATATCTTTTACGAGTGACTAAGTAAGTGCGATTCCGAACGTGGTCTGTTATTCACCTTCACTGGAATATGCATATTTTTGGAAGTTATGATTGAAATTTCTAATTGAGAATAGTGAAGTTGTGAACGACTTTAAGTAATTTAAATGAGTCTAAATTTGAAGTATCTTCTTTTGCATTATTTGTGATTGCCATTACTAGCATTCTTGTTCACATAGCTGACAGAGATTTCAATAGTTAATGGTGTTATTATTTTCACAGGGCCGAAATGTTTTTTTCGAAAAGGCCAAGTGTACAATGCGAGAAGGATCCCAAAAAGGATGATGATCTTATCGCCGAACAAGATGAAGAGGACTTGTTTGTTGAACGAATCCGTCTTGAAAAAATGCAACTAAGGTTGACTATCATGCCTTCCCTCTGTTAGCACAATACAACAGAAATTACACTTTTCTTTAATTAAGAAAAACAACTGATTCCACATGAATTCAACATGGATAAGAATAAGAACTGGAAACATGTCTTTGATTTCCCTGCAAACATGCCTCTGATTCGATTTGAGTTGAGTTTCTCGTCTCATTCTTATGGTGATTATTGCCACCTTGTGTCCTTCAGTATTCCAAATTTGCTGAGCAAGAACACAATCCAAGAGCCAACTTTTGATAGGATTATCGTTGTTTACAGGTACTTTATTTTTAATGAATTATTGTTGTGCATATTGTTTTTGGGAACAATTTTCTTCAATTTGGGTGATATTCTTGTCACGAGGTTGGGCATATCATGTTGAGAGTATTAAATTGAATTATTTAAAATGAACGTGTAGTCTCCTTCCTCGTTGCTTGATACGACTATAATTCTATCAAACTAAATTATGTCTGTTTCAGGCGAGCAAATAGTGGATCCGGAGATCAAGCAGAACGAGGAATATATGTTAAACATTTCAAACATATTCCAATGGCTGATATGGAGATTGTTCTTGTGAGTCTCTTTCTCTGCCTCTGGGTCTTGTACTCCTCATAGCTAGCCTTCTGTTCATTTTCTTTTATATTTTTCCTGTTGAAGTATACATAGACAACTAAACTAATGAGCTAGTGCATGAAACCTTTTGGCTTTTACAGCCTGAGAAGAAGAACCCAGGATTAACGCCAATGGACTGGCTCACGTTCATTGGCTCTGCTGTAGTTGGGCTGGTCAGTTTATTGATAGCAATGAAGTTGTTTGTGTCTTGGTGCACTGGTTGTTGTCAATTTTAAATTTTGTCGAAATGCTTCTTTCTGTACGTACAGGTTGCTGTTGTTACTTCGCTTGAAATGCCTAAAGTTGATCTTTGGGTCATTTTTGCAATTATTTCCACTGTGATTGGTTACTGTGCTAAGACATACTTCAGGTGAAGTCTCTTATTATTATAATACTTCCTGTTTAGATATGAACATTTTTCTCTGGCAAGTGAACCTGATCGACGATTGTCTGTGTCACCATTGATCATGACAATATACTAACGGGAGTTTTGTTTCATAATCTGTATGTAGTTTTCAGCAGAACTTGGCTCAATATCAGAACTTGATAACACAGTCCATGTATGAAAAACAACTGGATAGCGGAAGGGGTACTCTTCTTCACTTGTGCGATGATGTGATTCAACAGGAAGTAAGCAAAGCAGCGAGCTTGAGAAACTCTCTCTGTGAATTTTCAATGGACATTAATTAATAGCTTTTATTGATGCAACTAATTGAAAAATGATAGAGACACACACCTACGTATATGTATACATACATAACATGCATACATACATTATACAAATATATAGAATAGGGGGTCAGTGCCCTCTATCTACTCTAAAGACTGAACAGATAAAAATGAAACTTGATTTGAGATTTTAAATTAGAATTCATGCAGGCTTCAGTTCAGATCCAGGAATGGATTTATGAATCACTGGTACTGGTACTCCATTTGAATTTAAATTTTGTATGTGCGTGCAGGTGAAGGAGGTGATCATTTCTTTTTATATATTAATGGAACAAGGGAAAGCTACTTTACTAGTATGCATCCCTCTCTTACATGTCTCTTCCGAGTCCGACTAAACATTTTGTCAGCCTCCGAGTTACTTCTTGTTTTTATTGCAAGGCAAGAAATATAATAATAATATTTGGGGACTATTTTTTCTAGGATCTGGATAAGTGGTGTGAAGAACTAATCAAAGAACAGTTTAACGACCACTGTAATTTCGATGTGGACGATGCAGTTCAGAAGTTGGAGAAATTGGGAATTGTTACTCGGGTAAGGCTCCTACCTATGCTATGGCCTCCTCCTCCTCCTCCTCATCATCAAACATATTCCATTTGAACCCTAATTACCGCTCCTCAACTCTTTTACCATGGTTGCTTAAATAAATATAGGATACCCTTGGACGGTATAACTGCGTTGGGCTGAAACGTGCTAACGAGATCATTGGCACCACCACTGAGGAGGTTGTCCTTAAGGCGAAACAAGATGCCACTGCTACTGCTTGATCAATCTTTATTCTTGATTCTTGTCATGTTGGCAAACTGAACAAGTTACTTGGGCTGCACGCGATGATGATTTTGCTTTCTCAAAACAGCCCTTGTCCTTCAGTAGGCTACAATCCTAGATCACTGTATTGTCTCTCGGATGAGATGGATGGAAGATTTTTAACTCTTTTTTTTTCTTCTTTTCCTTCTATGGAATAATTGGTCTTTTGGTAGTAAGTAATTAATAAATACAGCCCTAAGATCTATCATCTGTGAAGGATGAGTTTAGTCAATTATTCCGTTCTTTTCCCATCTGGCTGGTTTTGCACGGTTCAATGAGTTTATCAAAACAAAAACAAACAAAAAAAGTCGATGAATTTACTAAACAGAGTCTATGAAATTGCTCTGTAAACAATTGACATCACCGAACGCACATAGCAAAGCCTCCAGAGTCAGAGTGTAGTCTGTTGAGAGATTGTTATACTTTACTCTTTAAGAATCAATAGAAAAGAAGAAAGAAAAAATAAAGGCAGAGGCTGACACTTGAGGCAGATGCAATTTAAGTCATTTTTGATGTACAAACAGAAATGAAAACTGATATGATCTGAGCAAATAGGGGTTAGTTAACTTAGGACTCAGGAGGAGTAGACTAGACTAGACATGTGTTGGAGAAGCATCGACCTGGCCCTGTTGACGGTGTTAAAGCAGAGGCATATATGCTCCTCAAGTTCGTTGAGGAGTCGGAGGAAATTGGGGTGGCTCTTGCTCAGCTGTTTGAGCACCTCCTGAATCGGATGCTTGTCGGTGGCAGTTCCAGTGACAGAGCCCCTCTCCAATCCAAGGCGAATCAGAAGCTTGTCTCCCTCCACCGCCGTGTGTAGACGGCGAACAAGGCGGTCAATGGTGGCAAGATCATTGTTGAGGACACAAGTACCCATGGCGGCAGCATCAAGTTGCTTCATATGGGCAACCTCCTTCTTCTCAATGGCAGTCATCATGCTGTTGCTGCTGCAACTGCAACAAGAGGAGCCAGCGCCATTGCCAGTGGCGGTGGGAGTGCAGCACAAAGGTGGCCCTGCAACAACGACGAGGGCGGCAGTGAGGGCATGGACAGTCATGGCGACGGCAGAGACGGCGACTCCGAGGGCAGTGCCAATGAAGCAGAGGGCAGAGGCAAGAGTGGCGCGGCGAAGGAGGCGGATTCTGGAGCGGGAGGAGCGGAGGCGGGCGTCGAGCTGGTGCTTGAGCTGGGAGAAGCAGCGGAGCATGTCGTCGAAATTGTCGGAGTCGGAGTCGTCAGGGGAAGGGAAGGGGTTGTCATGGCGGTCGAATTGGAGAAAGACTTCCAAGGCCCGACTGCACTGGGATTGGCTGAGGTTAAGGCTCAGAGACTCCTCCTCCGATTGTACAACGTCGAGGAGTTGATAGAGAGGCGCATAGAGCTTACGCGCTCGATAGACGTAGCGGTGGAGCATGAGGCATACTTGGGTGGTGTTTTCGCTCTGGTCGAAGTAGTCAGAGACCAGACGGGTGAGGGAGTTGGGCTTGGCTTGGCGAAGTGCCTCTTCCACGCACTGTCGGTTGGGCTGAAGCACTTGCTCCAAAAGAAGCCGCTGCCTCTGCCTCTGCCTCTCGTGGTGGTTCTCTTCCTCCGAGTCCCCCTCCACCTCATCATGGTGGTGGTGGTCATGGACCTCATGAATCCTAGACCAAATCTCATTGTAGGACTGGGTTTGGACGGCGAGCCCGTACTCGTGGGTGAGAGTGGCGGAGGGCGAGGCCTCAGAGCTCGTTCCTCCTAAATACCAATTGCCAAATTGAATTGATTAAGTACCAATCAATCATACAAAGAAATTATATCAAGTAGAAATGCAGCAAGCGAAGCAATTGCAAAGCCCAGAGCTTGGTTGGTAGTTGGTACCTTGCGATCGGGGAGGTGGGGGAGGATGAGAATGGATATCGGGAGCCGCAGCTGCAGCAGCTGGTGAGATTGAGGTTGTTGACGACGATGATTTCAGAGAGAGACATTGCAGCATATTAGAAATTAGAATGAAGGAAGGAATCGCGATTTACTTTTGCTCTTCAGGTTGTTTTTCCCAAATTCTAATTGACTGAACCCTGCCCCATTTCAAGTCTTCAGTCTTATTTATGATTTTCTTGTCGGTAAAAAAATAATAATAAACACAAATGTAACTAAAGCCTCAACCCAAACTCCATCCAATTCCAATGTAATGAATATTAACAACAAATAATGGTTTATTATACAACAACCCTTGTCAATGTCATCCATTTATATAAAGTAAAAATAATCAAAAAATAATGCCAGCCCTTCTTTATACACTTATCAAACAGCTGAATCTCTTCTTCTCTAATGTTTCAGAAAGGAAAAAAAAATAACAAGTAATACAATTCCCCTTTTCCTTTTCAAGAAAGAAAAAAAAACACGTATTTCACAAATATCACACTCTTTAACTGTTTGGCTGCACACAATGTCTTTTATTTTGTCGCTCTAAATAACTGACTTCCTGGGATCACGGTGGAGGGTCCTTCCCCCATGATTGTTGTCAAGCTAATCTCTTTCTCGTGTATTCGATCTAGCTCCATTACCACATGGCTCATGGCTGGTCGCCTCTCACTTGAAGGTTCCAAACATCGCATAATCAAGTGTATGAACCCTTCCATAGCTTCACCTGTGAAGCTATTCCCCAATCTCTCATCGATGATGCACGAAACATTGCTATTATCTTGGATGTTTTGCACCTTCATACAGTACAAAAACATAAACCGACTTAGTTTAACATTTTCACACATCCAACAACAATTCACAAACCCAAAAAGATGCAGCCTTTTTCAAAACTTTGCCGATAACGAGTTATTTAAGTAAGGAAAAAAACACAAACAAACAGTGATATTTTGAAGTTGCAGAAATAAGTGAATAACTTGCATGCATAGGATCATATGACTAGTATACCAGCAACCAACTCGCACTCAAACTTGGTCCTTCACTAATGACCTAGAGAAGAGAAGCCAATATAAGTACATAAATTGCATGCATAGGATCATGTGACTAGGCATTCCAACACTTAAATAGCATTTCGCGAAGGCAAGCACGTACCCATTCAACCAGGTTCTGGTTTGAGTCGGAAGCTGCCAATTCTCCTGCTTCTCGCCCACTTACTAACTCCAGAAGGAATACACCAAAGCTATATATGTCACTTTTCTCCGAAAATCGTCTAAACTCTCTCACCCTGCAAAAGTGAATGGAAATCTGGCTAAAACTGATAACTTTCCTTCAAGGGGACTTGAAAGGTTATATAAAACACGGACAACCAAAAGATCAATACCCTTCACCACAACCCCACCTCAACCTTCTCCAAAAGAAAAAGAAAGAAGAGAGAGAGAGAGAGAGAGAGACTAATACTCTGGAGCAAGGAAAATCTCATCAGCAGTCACTTGAGAAGATGGGCCTGCAATATCAACTCTTCCAAGGAAATTGCGGATTCCTGCATCTGCAACCTTAGCTAGTAGATCTTCATCTACAAGAACATTGGCTGTTTTAAAATCTTTATGCACCAGACGGGGACTCAAAGAGTGAAGATGAGCCAAACCTGCAAACAGAGAAGATCAATGAGTCCTAATAAATAGGAGAGCATTGCTTCCAGACTTCTCACAGCAGAAGCTGGAAATTTAGAACAATTAAAAGTCTTACAGCATCTGGCAAAAGAATTTGAGGGACCAATACTGATATTCGGATATTTTATCTAAAGAGATGAAAACCTGATACCAGGAAAGCCACAAATGCTCACTGATTTTGCAGAGGATCACCTTTAGCTGCCCCTAGAGCTATTGATAGTCGGTTCTTGAATTCTAGCTTTTTACGTGAATGCTGACCAGTGCCTGCAAAGGAAAAATTACATAGCCACATGATCAATTTTAGCATTATAGATGCAGCAATCGCATAAATTTCTAAGGTAACAACAAAATAATGGAAGGGTTTTGTACGAAATACAGTACTGCATGTATAATGAATCGACACGCATATCACATGAAGTTAAAGAAACATTTATATGCTAAGCAGGGATTTATATCACCAGCATAATTTTGTCTCATAAAATAAAAAATGGTAACTGGATAGAGGGTTACCATACAGGTGACTGGAAACACTTCCACTATGAATATACTCGTACACAAGAAACTGAAGATTATTTTCCTGGCAGTAACCCAAGAGAGTAACAATATGCCGATGCTGAATAGCTGAGATATAGTGTACCTGATATAATAATCAGTTTAGTTAGATCAACCCATGAGACAATGTTCAGTGCAAAAACATAAATAGGAATTCAAAGAGAGAAAATAAACTAAAGCATAACCAGTCCATCAAATTCATCAGGAGAGAAAAGTTGGTAAGGAAGACAAAACACGTTCCAAAACAAAAACTTATTCAGAATTTGCCACCAGAACTTGTAAATCCACTTCAAACACTTTATTAACACTTTATCTTTCACCTGTAAGTGTAGGACCGTGATTATTACCTCATTGATAAATTCCTGACTAGGTGTTCCAGGTCGCCTTTTGATGGCTACAAGCATCCCATCTTGAAGAAAACCCATGTATACCTCCCCAAATTTTCCTTCCCCAATCAAGTTTGTATCACTGAAATTTTTTGTGGCCAGAGACAATTCTTCCATCTGAAAACGCCTTGTTTCTCGCATTGACAACTCAACCCCAGCATGTCTTCCCACTGCAAGTTATCGAAACAGATAATCAAAAGGTTGTTCTTTACACTAAGTTTGTTTCCTTTAGAAAACATACATGATTTAATGGTTACCTTGAACAGATGGATCAGAAGAACCTGTTTCAGAAGTTCTGGATACACTCCTATTGTGAGATAGACAGAACCATATGAGTATGATAGTTATCCCCACCAAAGTCACGGCTCCTGCAGCACCTCCTAATATTGCTGCAAGAGACGCTGACATTTGGTATGGGAACCACTTCAACTATGCGGGGTAATATTATTGTAAAACGAATTACCATACATTGAACCTGAAATACAGAGGATACAAAAAATCAGAAGATCATAATCTAGGGGGAAGATATGCATAGAAAGCAACATTTATATCCATTAGATATCTATTTCTTTTCTAGTTTCTTTCTTGTTTCCTCATTATTGCTCCACCATCAGATGTCTAAAAAACAAGTTGGGCAGCAAGTTTTAACACCGGGATTGAGAACCTAGGGTGTAAAATTTCTTCGGAAATATTCTGAATGGAATCAAGCAAGGCACAAAGCAGTCTTTTAGAATAAGCAAATTACACCTGAAAGTTTAAAGCAATAAAACCGCAAAGCACCTGACTAATGAGTAAATGGCAGAAATGCAATGAATTTTGAAATCAAAGTTAAAGCCTTTGAAATTAAATAAAATAGCATGCCGACCGATTTAATAGTATATAAGGTCATAACATTCAAAAGACAATAGAATTGCAGTACACTTGGCAAACTCTGGAAACAATGTATTGGATTGACTGAAAAACATGCATATTAGGATAGGATCTGATTTAAATGAAGATTAATCTAGATAGAAACGGTATTAATGAAATATGATCTGAGTCAACTTCAAACCTGCACTCCCAGAGAAGTAACCCAGCCAGATGTCTAAAAACTCGAGCTTCATTTGCCAATGACAACACGAATGAGCCTCCCAGTACAATTGTTGTCACCCAAATGAAATTTCATCACATTCCCACATGGAAAGTGAAATGGAATACTTTTGTTTGCGGTAAAACCCCAGCAAGGAAATCAAAGTTAGTCAGCAAGAAAGGAAAAGAAACCCAAATAAAAGTAAGGACAACTAAAGAGGAGGATATGCAGGCAGGCATCAAAAGTAAAGAAACCCAGTTATGATCAAGAGTTGCAGTTGATATAAGTATAAAGAAAGAGGCATGAATATGCAGGTCGAAATCAAAATGTAAACAGAATCGAAGCTGAGAAGCATCTATCTCTGGTGTATTTTTATTAAATTAATGGGAAATGCAGTCTGTTGATCATCGTTGGATACAGGCAATGCCGACAGAAAGTGACCTTGCGCCGACAACACTACTACTTCCCCCCTCTACCAAACCACCCAACTCAACTTCATCAATATAAACATATATGCAGTAGACCCACAAGGAAATTAAATAGAAATTAAAGCCCTTTATATTATTTTGATAGTTGAAATAGACAGAGAGAAAACCCCATGCAAGCAAGCAAAGTTGATTTTGAAGCAGGAAGAGAATAAAAATGAAGTATGAACAGAAGAGAGAGAGAGAGAGAGAGAGAGAGAGAATGTGTGTCTGTCAATCTGCGTGTATTTGTATTTTTATATAATTTTTTAAAAATGAATTTAGTTTCTCTCTTTTATGTGTGGGCTGTAAAGCAGAATAATAGTTGTCTGCTACTGCAAGTTGAGTGTTGAGAGAGAGAGAGAGAGAGAGAGAGAGAGAGAGGGGTTTTCATTTCATTCGGTTTGTGTCGTTTACAGCAGTACAGGGCATCTTGGCTGTAAACAGATTTGCAAATTACAGTGCTGCTGCTGCTGCAGCTGCTGCTGGTAGACTAGTGGTAGTGGCACAACAACAAAAACAACCCACAAGCCAAGCAGCGCATACACAGAAAAGAAAAGACACAAAGACAATAGCGCTTGACTGCAGCAAGAAGTTAGTTAAAAGTTTTGCCCAAATATACGGTCGGTATATATCTTTTCATATAAAAGCATTCAACAAAGAATATGAGAGAGAGAGAGAGAGAGAGAGAGAATCAGCTGGGCTGGGGCTTGTCTTGTGGGGTTGCTATCCCGGCCAGCCAGCTATCAGCTATGTTGACATGGCTCCTACTGAACAATTAAGGCCTACACATAACTATTATTAAATCAAATACATACAAACCAAACCATAAGCAAAGGTCACCTATACGCCTCTCCTGCCCCTTTCACCTTTCACCTTTTATTTATTTATAATTATTTTGCTCATGTAAGCTCTTCGGATTCTCATTCATTCCTCTTACCATATCATTAAAATGAGGATGATGATTACTAATAATATTATTTAAGAATTGTTGCAGTTGCGGTGCTTCAGTTTCTTTACATATGAAAAAACAACAAATTTCTCTAATTTTATTTTTCCTTGGCTCTTGTCTTGTCTTCTTGAACAAACAAAAAACAAAAGATCCAATCCAAGAGAAGGAGCTGCAATTGTTTGTTGCATTTTATATAGTACGAGTATGACTGGCGGTTCTTTAATCTCCTCGACTGAAAATGTGACACCAAACAAAATGGCAACGATATTAAATCAATAAATAATGATAATATTGATAATGCAGGAGGGAGGAACCATAGATAGAAGCTTCATCTCTTAATGTCAACGCCTAAAATTATTGCGGTTCAATAATTTGTTAATAGCAAGCTTTGAGTTTGCCCTCACTCCTTCGTGTTTCTCTTGATGATCTCGCAAGTTAAGTGACGTCACTGGGTTGGGAGCGTCCAAGAAAAGTCCCATAAAAATGGCGCATCACATGATCCCATCTGCAGGACATAATTGGCAAACGAAACGGAAGTTGGGGTCGGAAAGAGGCGGCTATGAGCTATCTATCAACTGGAAACACGGACCGGGAAGGACGGATGATGGTGTGTGGATATCTAATCTATTATTGACCTCACAGAAAACACAATCAATCAAGGCCATCAATTCAATGGTAATGTATACGATTAAACTTGAGAGGCCATATATATACAATTTACAAACAAGCTTACCAGTTAGTCCCCGCAATCCCCCTTCTCCAAGCCAAGACGGCCATGACAAAAAATAAAAACATAAATAAACAAACAGAAGATGATAAGCAAAGCATAATTTACAGAGGAAATATGTTTCTGATTCTATTCTACAATTACCAAGCAGCATAATTTACAAAATGTGAATCGCTCATACATAAAATATGACCTCGAAATACAACCTCGCAGTAATCATACTATCGGAGCTTAACCCTCGCCTCTTCAAATGCTGCCTTAAATGCATTTCGAGTTACTTCCCTCTGATGACAAAGCTCCATTGCTGCTTCAGCTTTCTGAGCTACAGACTGCAACCTTTTTTCAGTCTCAATCATGTCCTTAGCTGTCTCGTCCACTCGAGTCTTTAGCTCTGACGTCTCAACCTCACAAAGAGACAGCTGGTTTTCAATTTGAAGCAGAATTTCCTTTACTCGGGAAGCCTCCTTACGAAGGGACTGTAGGCGATGATCAGAGGTTGTAAAAGCGCCCACTATATCACCATGGGTGCGCGAAATATTATCAAACCTATCTACCTCATTGTGGTACCCCTTGATGAGCTCTTTGGAAGAGAGGTCATTACGAATGGACCGTTCTACTTCAGCAAGTGATGATGCACAAGCAATGAACTTCCTTACACGCTCAGAAAAACGTCTATAGTCAACTGAGAGATGGTCCAAAGCAGCAAAGGTGCACTCCGCTACCAATGTCATGGATTCATGCTGAAGTGGATCCATTGACTCAAGAAGAGTGAGCAGCAGATTCTGAATAGGCAAGGCTGCTTGCTCAAGTGCCACCACAATTTTTCCTGTTACAACACTATCTTGTAATGGATCCAAAAGATTTTTTATGCCTGAAAGCTCAAAAAGTACACCACTCAAAGGCCGAGCATCATCCTCACTAGACATCTGTGGTGATAAATTGAAATTAGAATGTGAAGGACTATGAGGAAGGTCAACCAACCCTTCCGAATGAGATCCATATGTCTCCTTAGGAACGAAAATAGGATCAAGTGAGGGGAAAACACCTATTAGAAATTTGAACTGGAGTCAGAACCTAAGATGGCAAGTGGAGAAGAAAAGATAAAAAGAAAAACGGTATGTACAATCATACTTACAACAAAACTTAGGCTTGGATGGAGGTACTGTTAAGCATCCAGAAGGGGTGAAAGCAAGCCGGCCCAACCAACCGAATATCTGAAAATCTAAAATTTGATGGGTACCATCTTTCCCCCAACCTTGTCCGGAAAAAGAAAAATCAGAATGACAATGCAGCAGTAACAGCAGAAAGATAATTTCTACCAAAAGAAAGTCACAGAAGGAGAATGTTAATACTGGACAGCTACTCCAACAAAGAAACATAGAAGAAGATACCTCCCGTTAGTGTATCTCCAGCAACAGAACTCTGCCTCCAAAACTCTATCTGTTGATGATGAATTTCAGCCTGCATGGATGTTTTCTGAGAAACATGGGATGCTTTCCCCATTATAGGATCCAATAAACCTTCCTCCTGCATGACGTGGAGATGCTCCCTCACAACTACTTGTAGATTTGAAAAATTTGCTGAGGTTTTCATATTTGAAGTATCATCACGTTCTTCTCTCCGTAACAGAGGTTCTTCTTCAATCTCTGATGGGCCAAATTGTACAAAACTTAAAGTTGAATCAGGTTGAGGGTTGTCAATCTTGGCAGACACAAACGTCATCCTGTTTGGATGCTCAAAACTTAGTTCATCGTTCTCGTCCAAGTCATAGTTTACAGTCTCAACGACTTCATGACAATTCAAAGAGGGCTTGAGAGATCCATCATGTTTGCTTTCATCTAGACAAGAAGTGAGTCCGGTATTTGCTTGACCATCATACCGTAGGAAGAAAGGGCAAGCGCCATGACCCTGTCCAAGAGTCAGAAATCAATGCACATCCATACATGATAAACACAAAAACCAAGCGGAAGTATGCAAAACTCAAAAACTGAAAAGCTCCGCGAGTTAGAACTAGAGAACTAAAGGACAGATAGCAGGTTGCATAGCGCGGGTGAATGATTTGTTTCAGACCTCCATGCTTACTTTTATCGTAATCCATGGGAGAAAGAGCATTTGGAACCGAACAAGACCGACTTACACAGGTTTGCCAAGAAAATGTACCCAAACAGAGATGCGACCACCATCGGACGCAAGCCCTCAGAAGTTAAATAAACCATGTTAATAATTTCACATTACATTACTGGCAGGCATGAGATTAATAAAGAGAGATGTGATGCAGTAAAATAGGTACAACAAATGAGCTCAAAAAGGGATGAACAAAGAGAGAGCTTGCTTATAAATTATACTATATGGAAAAGAAAGAAGAATACGATGAGTGACGTAGTAGGAAGGTAAGTAAGTAGGGTATGGTGTGTACATAATAATACCTTTGTGATAGGGCACACAAAGTATAATCGACCGGCATTTGGTTCAGACGTCTCCAGCATCAACCTACAGAGTCCGGCACCGCAAGAACACATGGGGTATTCGGAACGACTGAGACTGAGACTGAGAGGGCGTCCACTGGCTCCTCCACTACCATTCTTGTTCGTCTTGAGTTCATCATACCATTTAAAGAAGCGACATTGGCAGCCCTAAATTTTCAAAATTTCAAAATTAATTGAAATAACAGAAGAAGAAGAAGAATATAAAAAAGAAATGATCATCATATGGTCAGTAATGAATATAAAAAAGAAGAAGAAGAAATGAGTTGAGAGTCACATTGGGGAGGAGGCGAAGGCAAGCATAATAGATCCTTCCAGGGTTCTTGAGGCTTCGGGAGACCTTAGCAGTGCAAGGTCCGTGGCCATTGTTGCATTCAATCTCAGGGAGATGGCAGACGTTGGGAAGAGAGGGAGGAGTAATGGCGGTGTTGGGGTAGAGTTGAGGGGCTGCAGATGCGGTGGGTGTATTGAGATTGAACTTGAAGGGGCAATCTCTAACCCAATGACCTTGCTTTTTACAGTGGAAGCATGTTGAGGAGGATGAGGCTGCTTCTGCTTCTGTCTCTATGTCAGTGGCAATGGGATCAATGTGAGGCAAGAAGCGCATTCTTTTGGAGGGGCTGGGGGTACACGGAGGATGGACTGGATCTGGAGGTGGAGAACCAGCAGCAGCAGCAGCAGGGCTTGGGCCGCAAGGAGGAGGAGAAGGAGAAGCCATCATCGTTGATCAGATCACCCTCCGTCGCCGTCGAGTCTCTTCCTTTACTCCTCTTAAAACTAAAAACTAAAACGAAAATAAAATTCAATTCCAAATTTCCTTTTGCTTTTGGAAATTGGACATAAACCTCCCCTCCCGGCTTCCGCCCCAACCCACCCGACATATCAGTCAGTTAAATCCACTAAGTAGTCAAATCAAGTGTGTTATGTCTGCGTGGCAACACTTGCCAAGCACGCTCACACTAAAAGCGGAACCATCCCATCCAATAATTCACTCCTTTTCTTTTTCGCTGTTTACTGTTTCACCGCCATCAATGGGTAAAAACCGTAAAAATGAAATAACACTTTTGACTATCCTCTTCTTTTCTTTTTTTCTTTTCTTTTTTAAGGCCAAAAGTCACTTTTGGTTTCTATAATTTGACACTTCAATCACTTTTGACTATGTAGTTTCAATTCCATCAATTTTGCCATTGTAGTTTCTTATTTATAGCAATTCAAGGACATGTTAGTATTCTTGTCAATTTCCTTAACGATGCAAGGGGTAATTTCGTCAACCCAAAACCCTTAAGGGTAAAAACTTGTCTGAAATTCTCCCCATTTCTTATTAGAGCTTGAAATTCAACCCAAAACCATTTCGCGTTACTGGCTCAAAAGAAATTTAAAAGTATAAAGTGGTGGGCTCCAGACAAGTCATTGGTGTTTTAAGTGAATAATAGCATTTCGGGGTTTCAAGAATGAATTTTTGCGTTTTAGCCTTTTGTTAGTTTTCGTATTTTTGGGTTTCACAAATGAATTTTTGTATTTTAGAGTTTCATGAATGAATTTTCACATTTTAGGTTTTTGTATGAATTTTTGCATTTTGGAGTTTCAAATATTAATTTTCACTTTTTGGGTTTTAATGAAACCTAAAAATGTGATCATTCATTATAGAAGCTCAAAAAAGCGAAAATGTAACACCCCGACTCCAAATTTATTCATATTTTAATTAAATTAAGAGAAATTATTAATTTACTCTTGGGTTAAGGGTAATTTTGGTCATTTTCTTATCCGGAAGGATTTCGGGACCACGAGTGGTTTGGTTGCGTAGGTGGTACTGAGACGAAACCGTAGACAGGCGGTAGGCTTGAATCGGAGATTTAATGAAGTTTTGGCGATCAAAATAAGCTCGGTGGCGGAACCGTAATTATTTCGAAGTAAATTTGGGGTAAATTCAGATTTTTCACATTTACCCCTCACTTTCTCTCTCTCTCTCTCTCTCCCGTGTCTCCTCCCTCTGCGTCAAACCCATTCCCGTCACTGTGCAAGCCGAACGGAAACCACCGTGCCGCCGCCGCCACAGTCCACCTCAGTCCTCGAGACCGATCCCGTTTGACTCGTCGTGAAATCCCGATTAAGACCCACCCAATTTCCTTGCCGAAAAGCCGGAGAATCGTCGACGGTATCGACTGGTTCGAACCGGAAGTTTCCGATCGTTGCGCCGCCGCCTCTGCCGTCTGTTTCAGGTAAAGTTGGTGAGTTTTCTTCTCCTTTTTACGTATTCTAGCTGACTGTTGTTTAGGTTTGGATCGATTTTGAGTTTTGGAACCGAATTGGAAACCTAGGTTTTGGCCGGTTTTCAATTTGAAATTCCGGCCAGTTCCAGTGCGAATTGGACCTTGTGGTAGTTGAATAAAGTGATCCTGACCTTGAGAAGAAGCTAGGGTAGGAAGGGTGAGCGTTGGTGTGGAGATTTTCCGTCGCCGGAAATTTCTCTACACACCCACGCGCTGCCGGCGCGTGTGGCGGTGCGTGGGCAAGGCTGTTGAAGTTGCTTTTTATCCTGATGAGATCATTAGGTTGTCACGAGTGCATAGGATTTTACAGATCTCAATTTGGATGTCGTTTGACTATCGAACGGATTTCGCATATTGAGCGTTATTCGGGTTCGATAAGTTCTAACCGTCGGATCGTTTCCAAATTGAAGTATGTTGATTTAGGTACTCTTAGAATCCTATAGGAATTCGTGGATCGTGAATCGGAGCCCCGGATGTTCCGATTCAATAATTCGAAGTTTGTGGGATTAACGATAACCGTAGGATGGGAAGCGATTCCCAAACCTGTAACCGGACCTTAAGATATCCTATTGGACGTACACGCACCGGGATCTTGGGGATTTAAGTATTTCTCTTTTGTGAAATTCCCGTTTCGAAGTGTATTATATTAATCAAGGGTTCGTATCTCGAAATAGGTACTTCGGTCGATCGTTCGCAGCAGGCAGGACCCTTTCGGGGCCGGGCAGCGTGGGATTACCTGTGAGTGGACTTTGTTTTCAAGCATTTGCATGGTTTTATTGATAAAAGATTTGTGCATATGTTTTAAATGGAAATGTGATTTATTAAGTATTTGGTTGATGACTTTGGATATTCATATACGTATTGGCAATATATTTTGAGTATGGCTATGTTTGAGCATTATGGATATGTTTATATGGATTGTGGGATGTCTATCTATATTGCCTATGTATGGAGTATGAGGAGTTGTTGTTATGAGAATGTGGAAATATATGAGTTTGAGGGATGGTTGTGAGATGTATGAGTATGTTAGGTGAGTACCATTCCCTGGTTACTAGGCTTCCCACACACATCGTTGGCAGTGCCGGTGGGGTGGGAAGGCCATGAGATTGCTGGTCTCATACATGGCGTTGGCAGTGCCGGTGTATGGGAAGAGTATGTATATTGCTTAGTATCATCACACATGGCGTTGGCAGTGCCGGTGGGGTGATGATACTGTCTGCGCGCGTAGGACTTGATATGAGATTTGTGAGCTACACGTGTCGTTGGCAGTGCCGGCGTGTGAGCTATAGAGTTCCGTCCCCCGGTTGGACTACTCATCCCTGGACGCGGGTTCATGTTCGAAAATCCTGCATACCAGCCAACAGTCCCCCGATTGGATTGTCTTCCCCGGTACATTAGTATGGAGAGAAATATACGTTATATTATAGATATATATATATAATTATATATGTATACATATGTATGGGTTGGTGAGAGTTGCATACTTTTGGGAATGGAGTTGTGGATTAAGATCTTTGAGAGTTATTGGACTTTGAGATTTTATGTTTGAGTATTTGATTTATGGATGTGGAAACTGCATGCTTGAGCATTATTTTTACACGGTGGGGTTACTATGTTGTTTTAAATGCAAACTTTATTTTTGTCCACTCACATATTTCTGTTTTGCGCCCCCCAGGCAGTAATGGCTTTTGGAAGCGCTCAAGCAAGTTGCGAGCTCCAACTTTCCATCTGTAGATAGGATTCGTGTAAATTCCTTCTACTCTACTGTTGTTGTAATCAAATTCTGTTAGATGCTCTGTTATCGCCCATGTTAGGTTGTTACTTGAGGCCGGAGGCCACTTTATTTTGAATTGTTGTATGTTGAAAGCATGCTGGCAGTTGGGATTTATATTATGTAAATTATGCATGTTGAATGTTGTTGGGTTTGAGCATCTTACAGGGGAGACTCTGCCAAAATTTTGGTAGGATGTCTTGGGTTTTTAGTAAGTGGGCCCGGCATCGGTGTGATGTCGGCACCAAGACGGGGTCCGCCCCGGTTTAAGGGGAAATTCCGGGGCGGGTCTTGTCAGAAAATTCATTAATGAAACCCATTAACAAATGCCTAAAATTCGAAAATTCATTTCTAGAACCCCAAAATTAAAAAATTCATTAGTGAAGCATCAAAATATGATAATTCATTAGTGAAAATCCTTAAGTACAAAATTCATTCGAAAACTGAAATTACCTATAGGATGTATAAAAATTCATAGAGGGGGTGAATAGGCTAATTTAAAATTATAATCACTAAATAAAAATAAACTTCGGTAGTTTGATTGATATGACTTATCAATCCTGAAACGTGTTAAGCATAAAATAAAGAAACGCGCAAAGAATTATTTTATGTGGTAAAACCCCACCTATGGGGAAAATCCACAGGACTCCTCAGTCCAACACAAATCCACTATAGAACGATGACTACAAGAAGTACTCATATACTTATCCTAGACACATTCTATATAATGTTTACCGACTTCTTCGTAACTCAATTTCTGTCATGGGATGATCTTCGACATTGCTTATGTTGAACACAATACTAGTCACAATTGCTTCAAGCTCGTCGGAGAAAAAATCGCCATCACAGTCTTGGTGCCCTCAACCGTATGATTCACCAAACATGCAAATCAATGCAATATGAATGATGAAGGTATTTGATAAATCACCAAGTAAACATGGAACACTTGATGATTTATCTTAAATAAAAACTCAACTTTTCAAAGTTTATGGACTGAAACTATGATCATGAAAGCTCTCCAAACAAAGAAGACAAAGATTTTATTTTATAAACTTTTTATTTTCAAGAAACAAAACACGTTGAAGATCAAATTACTTGATTTGCACAATCTTAATAAATCAAAAAGATATTTTCCTATTCTAATGATGATCACACGTGAAGCCCAAAACAATAGGAAAGTAAAAACCCAAATAAAGGAAATTTATAATAATCCTACCATTAAATGAGTCCTAATATTATTAGGTCAACTACCAAGAATATCTCAACACCTTTAATAATGTGATATGATTAAAACTTGATTTGAGAGTAAATTACTTTAAAAGATAAGTAACAAATCATGGATAAGAGAAAGAAAGAATAAGTAAAAAGATTTTGCAAAATATGCCTAAATGAGATGCACTCATAAATGGATTCTAACATATTAAAATCAAGGAAGATCAAAGAAATAAAATCATATTAGATTCCAAAAAATGTTCCTATTATAAGTGCATGAAAAAAGACATGTCTTACCCTTTAGATCAAATGGCTCATACGTGTTAAGTCACAATTTTGAAATTCGAGGATTGCTGAGCTGTTTCAATCATGCAATCTCTAGAAATCAGAGACAGCAATTTTGGTTCAACCCTACAGCTTAATGAAACTTTCAAACCAATACTAAGTTCTAAGAAATGCCAACACAATTTTATACTAACAAAAACAAATAATGAATTTTCACACTTCGGGGTTGCGCTAATTAATTTTCGCAAATTGATTTTTGTCAATGAATTGTCTCATTTTAGTGTTTTGTTAATGAAATTTTCACTTTTTTGGGTTTTGTGAATACATTTTCTCATTTTTGGGTTTTGCTAATGAATTGTTGTATTTTGAGGTTTCCTTAAAACCTGAAAGGCAAAAATTCAATTTTGAAATTCCAAAATGTGAAAATTCATATGAAACCCTAAAATGTGAAAATTCATTCATGAGATGAAACCTTATAATGCGAAAATTCATTTGGGAAACCCCAAAATGTGAAATTTCATTAATGAAGCCCCAAAATAATTCATTAACAAAAGACTAAAATGCGAAAATTCATTCGGGAAACCCCATAGTGCGATTATTGATTTGTGAAATCCTAGAATGTGAAAATTCATTTGTGAAATCTAGAAGTGCGAAAATTCATTAATGAAACGCCAAATGCCAAAATTCATTAGCGAAAGCATAAAACAATTATCAAGACTCAAAAATCAATAAAAACAAAGATAATTAGCTAAGAAATATACATAGAAACTAAGGGTGTGCATTAAATTGAGATTTTAAAAGACTATTTATGAATAAAAAAGTCTAGTGGATTTAAGTAGAATATAATGACTTATATGATTTTATTTATGTATTTCTTTAATCAAGATTTTTTACTTAAGGATTTTAAAGATTTTTATGGCAAGATTTATAAGATATGAAAGGACCACATGGATTTCTTCCGAGGTCAACAACATAAGATTATTTTTTTTAAAATAAACCCATAAAAATGAAATGCTAATATTATTTCATTCTTTGTATGTCTTTATCAATAAAAAATAATAATTTAAAAATAAGAAATAATATTAAAAATTCTTAAAAGATCAGGAACAAAAAAACAAAAACAAAAAACTCTTTCTATGCCCCCTCTGTCTTCTATCTTGGCAGCCCACCACCCCACTACTCTTTCTTCCCTCAACCCGACACCCACAAAGCCAATCTTCACTCTTGGCAGCCACCCTTGCACTTTTGTATGGATTTTGCAAGTAAACTCCATGCCCACCTCGTAGTTTCAGGTTTCCACAAGGACCCACAAGCTTCCACCAAACTCATCGAATCTTATGCCCAAACCCAAACGGGTCCCTCCAATCCTCAGCTCAAGCTTTTGAAACCTTCACAAAACTAGATGATTCCATGTGGTGTGCTTATGAAGTGCCCTGTGTGGAATCACTACTTTCAAGAAGCCATTTCACTCTATCACAAAATGTTACACCATGTAACCAGCATGAACAAGTTTATATTCCCTTCCATTTTGAGAGCTTCGGGATATGGTGATCTGAGTGTTGGAAGGAAGATCATGGGAGGATAATAAAATGTGGGTTTGATTCTGATGAGGTGATTGAGACCTCATTATATACAGTACATCACATCAATCAATGCCAACAATTTCAATGCTTTTACTTCTCACATCTGTCAAAATCCTTTGTTTGCATCAAATCTATTTTAACAGTACAAACTAGAGTCAGCCGCGCCCTTTGGGACATTGTGTCGAACAGATGTGTGTTGCTCCGCATATGTTAGAAGCTTGTTTGTTTCAATTCTGTGAGAAACAACGACAAATTTATACTGTTTAAATTGGGGGGGTTGCAGGTGATGGAGAATTCACAAGATTATGCAACACAGATGGAGATGGGGATGGAAGGAAGGTTGTGGCTGCCCCAATAGCAAGTAGCTCTCTGTATTGGTGGGTAAGAATGGGATTTGAGATAGGGCTTGATATTTATACCTATTACTTAAAAATCCCACCCAATTTCGCGACTCTCTTTTTAAAATCATAATACTCTTAATAAAATATTATAAGACTTATTTAAATTATTTAAATCCTAAAATTCCAATTAAATACACCCCAAATTGAATAACATCCATATTTCAACGTAAAGTGTAAAATGAATTGCCCAAGAAAAACTGACACACGTCGCAAAAACTGATGGCACATGTAGCTGCCGCGTATCATTTTCTTTAATTTATTATTATTTTTCTATGATTTAGCTTTTAAATTTCATAATAAAAATAATAAAAATATAAAAAAATCCACCGAAAATCCTATAAACTCGTTGTGACGTAATTGAATTAGTTGTGTTGGATAACGTTAGTTTTGTAGAAAGAAGAAAGAATTCACCCGATAATAGTTAAATTTAAAAGATTAACGAGTTTTTACAGAATACATAATTATTTTGTGTGAAAGGTAATAGAATTATATATTTTTTGGGGGTAAACATAGAGTAATACTATTTGAACGGTAAAATCTCTGAATAAAAGTAAAACTAAAGTAACAAAGAAGCTAAGAATATTAGATATTACAAAAGAAAAGAATATAAAATATTAATTTTTGACATATCGGGTATGTCAAATTGCTGCAGGGGAGATGAAATTCAAATTTAGAATTTTGTGTTTGACAACTTCGTTGGGATGCTCTAAGCGTAAAACTCACGCTACAGTGGACACCCAAGAAATTAAAGAATTCTTTTCAGGAAAGAACAAATAGAAAATTTATCACGCTACAATCACATTTTCGTTTTCATTTTTATTTTTGTATTTGTTTTTATTAGCGAGAAAGAAAAGTAGAATTTTGGAGTACACAAGAAACAAAATCGTATGATATCTGATCTGAGGCTGCGATGGTGATGGGCAGCTTCTTTTTTCCTGATATTGCTGCCGACGATCCCCGGCCATCTGAAGAAGAGCAATGAGGTCCGGTCGATTATGCACGTTCGGCGTAGCGTAGGGCCTTCACCTCGGCATTGAAATTTCGTCTCTGCCTGCCTACTCGGTAATTCTCTGTCGTCTTCGCGTTGGATATGTTTCTAGACCTAAATCCTTTTCCATTTATGCATGTAATTTTGATTCTTCAACTCCATCAAATTCGAATTTGTTTTCCTCATCCTGTCTGTGCAACTTAACTGCATTTCACCGGTTCTAAGGTTTGATAATTTACTCAACTAAACCGTAGAAGAATAATAGAGTAATAGAAAGAATAGCTATATACGAATACTATTACTAAACGATGAAATACTTATGTATTGGGTATTTAATTTAAGTTTCCTTTCCATTAGACAGAGTGAGTGAGAGAGAGTGAGAGAGAGAGAGAGAGAGAGAGATTGAAGGACGTAGACGTACAAGTAGTGTTGTTTAGTTGTTATGCCAATGGAGGAGGAGGCAATGCAAAGCAAGGAAAAGGCAGGCCGAAGAAACGGGTGCAATCCCGTTACGAAAGGTGGCCCTGTGTCTATGGATCATGTGCTTTTGGCCCTGGGAGAGACCAAGGAACAGAGGGAGCTCAGAATTCGTAGTCTCTTTAACTTCTTTGACACCGCAAGTATTGGCTATTTGGACTACACCCAGATTGAGGCTGCCCTCTCTGCCCTCCAGATACCCTCCGAGTACAAGTATGCCAAGGATTTGTTGAATGTCTGCGATGCCAATCAAGATGGCCGTGTCGATTACCAAGAATTTAAGCGCTACATGGATGATAAAGAGCTCGAGCTCTATTGCATCTTTCAAGCCATAGATGTTGAACATAATGGTTGCATTCTCCCTGAAGAGCTCTGGGATGCACTTGTAAGGGCAGGTATTTCCATGCAATTGACTGACTCTGTTACTGCTACTACTACTACTGCTGTTGCTACTCTTCATTTTTACTATATCTTCATTCCTCCAAGCTCTCATGACTAAGCCTTTCATCTGCTTGTTTGAATGTTTGTGCTTCTTAAATTTAAAGACGTTCGTCTAGTCAAGCGTAAATAGCCTCTATCTTCCTCTGATTGTATAATTCAGTTTATCAGTATTTTTTGTTTTCTAGGAACTTATCGTATCCCTTAAGACTTCAAATATAACTCTTGTCACAAAAATTATTTTCCTGTGGTGAATTGTTTTCCTTCTATAAGCCACACCAGCCCCTCTTTTGCAGGAATTGAAATTGATGATGAGGAACTCGCTCGTTTTGTTGAGCGTGTTGATAAGGATAATAATGGTGTCATAACATTTGAAGAATGGAGAGATTTTCTTCTGCTTTTCCCTCATGAGGCAACCATCGAGAATATTTATCATTATTTTGAAAGGGTATGCCTTGTTGATATTGGGGAGCAGACTGTAATCCCAGAGGTCATCAGTAAGCATGTCCATTTAAGTAGATATTTGATTGCTGGGGCAGTAGCAGGAGCAACATCACGTACAGCTACTGCTCCTCTTGATCGCTTAAAGGTTGTTTTGCAAGTACAAACAAAACAAGCTCGCATTATGCCAGCAATAAGGGATATATTTAGAGAAGGGGGATTGTTGGGTTTTTTCCGTGGCAATGGTTTAAATGTCTTGAAAGTGGCTCCTGAAAGTGCCATCAGGTTCTACACTTATGAAATGCTGAAAAATTTTATTGTCCATGCTAATGGTGAAGAAGATCAGGCTAATATTGGCACTGCAACTCGCCTTGTTTCTGGTGGCTTGGCAGGTGCTGTGGCACAAACTGTTATTTATCCCATGGATCTTGTTAAAACACGAATCCAAACTTATGCTGGCGAAGGTGGAAGAATTCCAAGTCTTGGAACTCTGTCTAGAGAAATATGGGTTCAGGAGGGATCCCGGGCATTTTATAGGGGCCTTGTTCCATCTCTACTTGGGATTGTCCCTTATGCTGGCATTGATCTTGCTGCTTATGAAACCTTGAAAGATATGTCCAAGAAATATGTTCTGCATGACGGGGGTAAGGAGTTCATTTTTTAATTAGCTTGCACCTCATCCTTTAATTATCATCTTGCCCCAATTCTGTCATTCTGTTATATGCTGTATTATTAATTTTTTTAATTTTTTTTTGTAGAACCTGGTCCTCTTGTGCAATTGGGATGTGGGACTGTATCAGGAGCTCTTGGTGCAACATGTGTGTACCCATTGCAGGTTGTCAGGACAAGGTGCATTTTGGAAATAACGATATCTTGATGCATTGATTTTGATGATACTTGTTTCAAGTTAGTGTCTTTAAACAGACACTAATTCTGCTACTTGTTTTCAGAATGCAAGCTCACACTGCATATAAAGGAATGGGTGATGTATTCAGGAGAACCTTCCAACATGAAGGGCTAAGGGGATTCTTCAAAGGAATATTTCCAAATCTCCTTAAAGTAGTTCCATCTGCAAGTATTACTTATATGGTTTATGAGTCCATGAAAAAGAGTTTGGATCTGGGATAGAAGCATTCTGCAGCTCCAAATAATTGAGTATAGAGTTGACACATTGACAATGGTATCGTGATAAAGATGTTGAATAAGGTTCCTAATTGAATTGATCAAATCATTTTTTTTGAGTCATAGCATGAATAATAGTGCCAGCATTAGATTTCTTAAACGGGCAAAATTGGCTTGTCCGTAAATTTGGGGTGTCCCAAAACTTATATTAAGCCTTATATGCATATGCAATTGGGCATTGTTGTATTGTAACACTGAAAAGTATAGTGTAACTTGAGCATATTGTAATACCTCTGGTATAAGTTATCACCATTTGCCCATTCTATGTAAACATTTTGTAACTGATTAGGGTGGTTTTTTAAGACTGCTGTCGCCTATATGGTAGGTTTAAGAAGCCATTTGTGCCACTTATCAGGCTGGGAAACTGCCATCTCATTCTTGCTTGAGTTGAGTGGCAGCTGGATGCCTTGCCTTGGTTAACACCTCGTACTTGTTAGTGTTGTTTGTTAGACATCTGTGTATCTGTATTTGGGCTTCAAATCAGCTCTCAGACCTTTCTTCTGTATAGTTGTGTGTTCCTTGTGTTCTAGTTTGAAATCTTTATCATTCCATCTCCTACCTGATATGAAAATACTGCTGCCTGATTCTTTATGGATATTCAGGACATGCGATTATGGTACGATTTTCTGTTTTTGGTTACAAGACAACCATTGTCGTTATTTTCACGACGCCACTGGAAAGGTTTGCAGCCCAATTTGAGTTCACAATTGGTACTCAAATATTTTGGGCAGGGAAATTGGATTAGGCCTTAGCCTAGTTTTATGATATCAAAGCCACTTTTAGTAGGGGGATTATGTTGGCCCACTTTTGCTAGGCAACAAACGGCATGCCCTTAGATTACAACTGATCAACTAGTTTAAGCGAGTTTTATACAAAATTTATTTTAGGCTAATACGATAGCCATGTGCCATACTGATTTTACGCTATTCTTCGTTCTTTTTTTTTCATTTACTTTCACGTCTATATTTATGCAATGGTTTTGTCGCTTGTGTCCTGCCTTTAAACAAATGTCCTTTGCCATGAGATTATGAAATTCCACGGAGTGCGTCCAAATACGCTTGACTCAAGTACACGCCTTACTAATATTTATATCATATAAATACATAAAAGAATACAAGAATAAGAGAAATTATAAAACACTAGTATGACTACGTAGTGGTACATTTTTGTACATGTGTTGTAATATGAGTGGACGATAAATATACTCATATTATAATATATTCACTTATATTATAATATGTGTACAAAATATAGCACGTCGCCGTACTACCGTATTATTTTATAATCAAAATTAAAAAATGAGAAGAAACAAAGTACGTATATCTATCTAGCATAATATCAGATGAGATATTATATGCTCACTCACTACTAGCAAGCAAGTAGCAGCTGCTTCGGCATCTGGTTCCTTTGATACACAGCTAGCTACACTAGTCAGTCTGATAAATTGAGATAGGTCGTCTATTAATTTATAAATAAATAAACAATTGGGATTTGGCCCTATTAATAAATGTTGCATCAGCATGTTTTATCTAATCCGCGCGCCACGAGGGAAGTCGTGGATTATTCTTTTCTTTATGACTATGGGAAAGAAGAAAGGGTCCATACCAGCCTCACGTGTTTCCAATCTTTGGTTTGGCTTTGGGGTGGGGAGTCGTAATGTTAACCTGACATTCGGATATCAACTAAATAAATAATTTGACTGGAAGAAGTGGTTGACGATACATACATGCATCAATTCATTCATTCATGTGTATGTATAAAATCTTTTGCGTTTTTGCTTATAATTAAAGACTAGCTAGAGAAATAAAATCATTTTCTTTAGATCATCGTTCTCGATTACTTAATTATGACATGCTACTGTTCGTCCTAAAATTAATACAGGTTAATTCTTACAGTTAAAAAACTAGTCTTATGGTTAAATAACTAAAGGTCCAAACCGTTAAGGACTTATTCAGAATCTACGAAAGCCCAAATGGTAACCAGAAAGGCCCAGAAGCCTTTCGGACACAAGCCAATCGCAAACATTGACCAAAGAGTGGTCAACGAGTGCTTCAGAGACAAGTAGCGCTTCGGACAGAAGTGTCTGATGCTACAATTCACTGTTTCGAACAGAAGTGTCTGAAGCTACAGTTCAATTCAGACATAAGACTTGTCTGACGCCATAGTCATGGTTTCAAACACAAGCGCTACAGTCCCTCTTCGGACATAAGAGACGTCCGATGCTACAGTCCCATTTCGGACAGAAAATGTACGAGGTTACAACTAAAGCCAACTGAAGTGAATTAATAACCAATCTAAATGGTTGTTAATTACAGTCCATCTAAACAAATAGCAATTTGAGCTTTGGGTCAAAAACAATTCAAATTGCTTCGTTTCTACAGGTGGTACGCATTGATTTCCTGCAAAGCAATAAAGAAATCTGCTCCAACAGGGAATATTCAGTCTCTAACATGTAAAGAATGGTAAAAAACTCAGAGCTGGCCCATTGCCGCTCCACCTGCAGAACAGTCCCAAAGTTTGATATTAAAGAGCACCTCCCCTAATCAACTTGAAAGGCATGCACACATTATCTTGTGAATTCTCTATAGTTTGAAGTAATAGTGCCCGTCAAGTCATCCTTTTTTCTAAAGACCTTGAAGCTTATAAATAGAGGAAGAAAGCTCAGTATTAAGGATCCAACACCGAATCAATCAAACCTATTTTGAACAGCCTTCAAAATATGCTTACTCTCGACAACCTCGAAGTAACCCAGACTCAAACTCTTGCAAAGCATCTCACGGTAGACCAAAGCCAAGTCTTGAATCAAATCCTCTCCATGTCGTTGAGTTCCCAGTTGACAACTCCCGATTGGAATTCTATTCTTTTCCCAAAAACATACTTTGTCCAATTTCCAGTTGGCAACTCCTGATTAGAATTGCATTGCTATTGTTTGTAACCTATATGCTCTGCCAGCATCGCTTGGTATGATTTGATAGTTGGTCTCGATTTCCAACTCACTTAAATGAAAACTCCTATATGTGGTTAGGACAAGTTTTGACTGCAGGTATTTTGACAAACTCTCATCGGACATACCTTATGCATTGTCTCAAGTAGATTGCAGTTATGTCAGATGCAATTTGTCTCTGTCCGATGAGGCTCCTGTAGTTTTGTTGGAACCAACTTTACTTTTATTTGTACTCACTATTCAGCATCTATTGGATATATAATTACTTCATGATATTATGTCATCCATCGGACACTGTCATGCAATGCTTGTTATTGTACTCTTTGTCCGATGATAGTCTAAAATCATCATCCATCTTGCATTTTATTCCATAAAAGGTGAAATATTAAAGTCCTCTTCGTTGAGGCATAGAAAAGAACCTATCTAAAGCAAGATTCCCCTATTTAGAGCACAATGGCTTTGATTAGAAGATAAGAAAACAAGGGCGCAACACTTTAACAGGCTTAATCTTCACCTCACTCCCTCTTTCTACTAGAAGAGTATCACTAGTAGTGGCACGCCTATCACAAATCACCATAGAGCAGCTTTCGAGCCCACTCCAGGGCCTAGATCTCTCTCGCATCATTTCCTTCACCAACAAGCAACCACTAGCTGCCAACGTACAGCCTGCTAGCTGCTAGGGGCATCGCAATGTTCAAAACCTGACGAACATATACATATGTTATTTTCCCAGAAAAGAAGCCTATATAGAGATCAATAGCATAGAAGGCGCCTCACATTCTTACTAAGTATTATTATATATAAAAATACTACCAAAAAAAAAAAAAAAAAAAAAAAAAAAAAAAAAAAAAAAAAAAAACCTTTCAACCCAATGTAATATTTGTCGGGATAGAAATTTACCGACGAATGTTGTCGGAATATCCCGACTAATTTTTTTCTTTCCAGACAAAAGACATTTTGTTGTAGTGAAAGAAGATGAATCAGAATCGATGCCAAATTAAAGCAGCTGCACACAAGCCAGCGGAAAAGAATCAATGCCTTCGATTTGATTGGAAGCTATTCAGTTTTGCCAGCAACGTCACTGAAAATTCCAATGCTGTATTCATGATGATACTTATTTGAAATTTAGAAAAGGGGGCATATAACAGAGAAAGAACAGCGGCATTTTCTAGTTTCTACCCGCCAGCATCCCATATGCATACATAAGATAGGTTTGCTTACTAGTTACTATTTATATCTAACTAGCACGAGTTATTGTGTGTATTACATATGTACATATATAATGAATACAATCATCAATATATAATTATAATTATGACGCCATTTGTTTAATTTCTTTAGTACTTTTCTGCTATTCATCCTTGTTTGTAATATCTTATTGAAATCAGGATTCAGACCCATCTTTTCTTTGAGCCGGTGAACTTGCAGATTTGGTACTTGTAAAAGATGCATATATAAATGAATGTTGGATGTTGAATGTTGAGAGTGAGCTGCAGGCTCCCACATGAGATCATGTCATTGTCACATTTAAATTTAATGAGGAATGGGCTTATTCTTTTTACTTTTTTGGGGCTGAAAATATTCTTCAATAATTCCCATTTAATTTTAAAGTAATACCGAAAAAATAAAAAATTGTGTGTTGGTGTTAAAAAATTAGTGTAAAAAATTGATGTTATAAGTTGTTAAGTAGCTAAAGCTAAAGGCTTAAAGCTAAGGAAAACAAACGATACTTTTGACTAGCTACAAGCCTACAATACGAGGGAAGCTTCGTCTATCATTTTCACTTAAGCTTTAGCCTTTAAGATAAGATTTGTATGATCACTTTCCTTCTTTCAAGCCAAATTTAAAACATATTATTTACTATTACCTAACAACTTTTTAATAGAATATAGTAAATGTCACATTAGAAAGTTAGAAGTTAGATCATGGATGCATGCTTTTAGCTAGCCTTTTAAGTTCCCCTTTTCCAAAATTCCACATTAAAGCCAAAACAGAAGATGCTTCATGCTCAGCTTACCCATCATACAAAGCCATGCTCGTGAAGGAAAATAAATAATCAAGTAGAAAATGACAACTTTAATTCGGTGCCTTGTGTTTTATGCTGCATCTGCATGACAGGCAGGCACAGATACTATTACTTAGGAATTTGGCTCACATTACATGCATGAATGAATTCTAAAACCGGGTTTTGAGGGGTAAGCACGTTTGTTGTCAAGTGTTGTAATTAAAGAGGGAGAAGATGTTAATGGTCATGATATCAGTTTACTGTAAGTTAATTGTCACACCAAAGAAATCTGTATCTGCTCAACAAATTAAAAGTAATTAAGAGAAAAACTTGTATACCACGTCCGGGAACGGGATAGTCCTCTTATATCCTCGCGACTTCTTCTTGAGTACAAGTAATTCACAACACAATCGAGAGTTTCTGCGAAGCCATCCAAACAAAACATATCGAGATTGAGAGACAGGAGACGAAACCCTTCCCTTCCCTGCCCTGCCCTGCCCTGGCAAGATGGATATATTTACCGATTTAATTACCAGTTATTAGTTATGGCGTATAAAATAGGTGGCAGTTGGCGGACACATGACAATCGCCAAACTAATTTAATTATTTGTTTAACAATAAAGTAATAAAAATAAGGGTTTGGAGTTGGGACGTTATGAAAGGAACTTGGCACGGTTTTATTATAAATGGATGCCGTTGCTCTGGTCCCGCGGAAACCTCTCTGGCCCTCAGCTCTCTCTGTTTTCTTTTTCTTGGAAATTAGACATTATTTCTATCTGTATTCTTCTTCTACCAACATTTAAAAGAATGCTGCTTTTCTTTTTGTTGCTGTAGATTCTCTTTCCCTGACACAAAGATAGATACATAAATTTAACAGGGTTCAGTTGGCAACTGGCCTAGCCTCGCCTCTGTGAGTGGGAGAAAAAAGAGCTAGGATATATAGATAACAGATAGGATAGGACCCTAGAACAATATTGTTCTGCGTTAAAAGCTAGCTTATCTGAAGAAGCTCTTGTCTTGTGAAAGTTGGAACCCTTGGCATACAACATATATACCTATATGTGTGTGTGTATTAGGTCTCGGGGTTATTTAGAGCGCTAGGAAGTTGCTTGTTCTTGATCGAGTTTCGTTGTCATGTTATGAAAGCCAATAATACTGCTGCTTCTGTTTCCTCAGAATCCATACAAAACTAGGGTTCGTTTTAAAGGATTGTTTGTGTATAGAAGAATATCAATATCATGTCATCTGTGATAGCACGAACAGGGCGGCATCGGCAACGCTATGAGAGCAATTTTCGCCTTGTTTCTGGGTATGCCCTTCTTTTTCATGCTAAAATTTATCCCTTTTTTTTTCTTTTTTCTGGGGCACTTTAGTTTGGCTTATTGTTTATCTCTACTGTTGGCATGCTTTTTCATCGTTCCTTGTTTAATAAGTTGCAGCATTAGTCCAATTTTCCATTTGTTTCTTTGTCTCGAGTGCCTTCAAATTTAAAATCTCTTGTCAGGCTCCTCTTAATTTCTTAATGATAATATAAAAGGTATCTTTTTTATTCATCACCAAAGAAAAAGTTTAAATAAATAAAAGATATCTTCCTATCCCGGGTCTCAAAACCACTAGCATACTTGACTTTGTGCAGGAGCCTGGAGGAGGAAAAGCATCTCCAGGTGGCAAGTTCTATGATGTAAATTAATTGTCTTCTTCTTCTCATATGAGAATATTGCGTTGCATTTTATTCAGCATGACTTCAATTTCTTAAATAAAGTTTTTGGATTTGCGTGATCTGTTTTGTCTCATTTATAGAATTCTTAATCCCTAAATCATTATGATAATTACATATATATAATCATCCATTACATTATCTTTGCCCTTTCTTTCCCCGGAAAGGACACCAGGATCAGTCAGCTTTAGGTGGGAATTTATGATCATATATATTCACATTGCTTTAATTTTATTTTTTAATTATAAAAAAGAGAGATGATGTTGTCTGCGAAAGCTTGATGTTTATGGTTGGTGGTTGATCACAAATAAAATCATGTGAAAGGTAATTTAAGTATATGAAAAAGGATGTTAGAGTCCGACCAAACAAAGACGTCATGGATGATGGATCTTAGTCTCGTTGTAGTCCAAATGCTGCCTCAGTAAGAGTATCTATCTTATAGTTAAACGAAAAATTCTCTGAAGATTAAAATTAAGCAGCAATGGTACGTATATGGTATAAGGAACGGAAGGAACTGGGATCTTCTACAAGTATTTATACGTACAGAAAACCATACTTGGATCCTAGGCTGCATTTCGACATTTGGCTAAACTAATTGTATGTATAGAAGCAGGCAGGCGTACATACGTATCATGCTTGTGTTGGGCTGCTGCAACTGATTGCCTTCTAGCTAGTACTTGTAGCTATGGCCTGTATTATTATACTATTACTTCATATGAATTATGACTTATATACGTACCTTGTACATATATGCATGCAACAGATGTATTCCTTACCGGATAACAGAAGACGATGAAGATCATCACAACGGCGATATTGAAAACAGGATACAAGTTCTTATGGTTTCATCACCAGACCGTGATGACAGAGTGTTCCCAAAAGTACGTGTACTTTAATTTCCCATCCCATGATCTGCTGGCTGGTTTTGTTTCTTTATCATGAAAAGCATTCATGCCCATGTTTTTATATATTATTCTGTTGTGATCAGGGTGGATGGGAGGATGATGAGACTGTCTTAGAAGCTGCTTGCCGTGAAGCCTTTGAGGAAGCAGGGGTGAAGGGAACACTAAGAGTATGTTCCATTAATCTAAGTATTTGTTCTTTTTTGCATAACTTAACTTAGCTAGCCTCTTGTCTAAAAAACACGTAACACTGAACGTATATAGTATAGTGCTAGCCTAAAGTTGAGAATTAACATATTATTCATTCGCCATTTTTTTGTTTTTTCAATTAGCTAACACTTTACACGGGGGCTTTCTATTTGTTCAGGAAACTCCTCTGGGAGTCTGGGAGTTCAGAAGCAAAAGTAGCCAGAAAATAGAAAGCCTGGAAGGAGGCTGCCGAGGGTACATGTTTGCATTAGAGGTCACTGAAGAGCTTGAGAGCTGGCCAGAGCAGCAAAACCGTGATAGAAAATGGGTTAGTGGGAGGAATTAACTGTTTCTGACATCTATCTTATACTCTAGATGAACACATTCATTTCACAGGGATTTAATTTGTGTACGTTTATTCAATTACTCTATTATGATGTATAGCTAAACATAAAGGAGGCATTTAGACTGTGCCGGTACGAATGGATGTGTAGAGCATTGGAGGAGTTTGTGAGAGTTATGGAAGTTTCTGATGATGATGAGGGTGGAAAAATTGAGATAGGAGGAGAAGAGAAAGGGGAGGCGTCTGCCAATGTCAATGCCATGCCTAGTGTTCCTGCTGTGACAGATCATCATGTGGTGGCTGAATGTCAAATAGTGTCCTCAAACTGTTGCATAGAGATAAAGCCTTCTTCTACTAGTCAACAACTGGTCATATCAGTTCATTGTCATGGCACCTGGCTTTCAAGGGGTTTGCCATTGAGTCATTGACATGAATTACTCACATGAATCATGATCACATCCTTTCTTCCTGCTGGGCTTCAACTCTCATCTCTCTATGCCATTGCCAGTAGTGTAGGCCAGTAGCCCCTTCAATATCTCAGTCTACTCCATAAATGTTTGGTCAAACCATCTCATTTTTATCAGCTTTTAAATTATTCTTCTTCTTTTTCTTCTTATATGTAGTATATGTAGATGCAAACTAACTTCAACTTGATGTAAAATATGTATTTTATATATAAATGTGAGCTACATTTCGATATCCCTGATCACCTTAATATGTATTTAAGCTCTCTCTCTCTCTCTCCTCTCTCTCTCTCTCTCTCTCTGTGAAGTTACTATTGCAACTAACCATTAGCTTCAGAAGCTCCTATAAAGAGCCTCATGATCATGGGTGACTAATTGATGATCATCATCGGATAGAACCAACTCTTGAGGTAGATGGACCAACAACTAAGAGCCTATGAAGTGATCAGATTCAGATTCAGATTCAGGGCCATAGTTTTTTTTTCTCTTTCTGAGCCTGGACCAGTTGTTACCTTGAGTGAAGGTGAAGCTAGCCTAGAGTAGTCAAAGATTAGAAGTTATATAATATAGGTATGCTGATGGGTTGCATTTCCTACAAAGAAGAAATGAACCCTGCAATCTGGGCAGGGAAGAGTTCTACAACAGATTTTGTGTACGTAGGGCCATCAGCACATCAGTCCAAAAGAAAAGAAGAGAGTCAGGTCCATTTGCCAGTGGCTTTGACTCGATGGTTACTTGTTTTGTTTTTGGCCAATCACCCGTTACTCCTTTTTTACCAAGGTTAGGAATTGAAAGGGGGAAAAAATTCACGTACACAAGTACCATAAAGGTTTGAACTAAGGATTATTTAGTATCACACCAAACACCTGGAACAATTCAACTAACACTCGTTACTAGTTTAGATAGTGTGCGTAATTAATTGAAATTGAATTTAATTACAAGGGAATCCAAGTAAGTATCAAACTCAAACTGCACTGAACTGATAATGATGGATAGGCATAAAAAAAATCAATTTTGTCAGCTCCTTCCCTCTTCCTGGAAATTCTCTTGTTGGTGCAAAAAGTGCGTACTTGACCTGTGTGTCAACTTCACGCTCCTATAATGTGTCTGGAATCCACATACAACCAACCAACCAGATTCTCCCGCGTCCAAAACGTGTTCTATCCTGTCTCTCTCTTTTATCTAACAATTCTAGGAGGGGAGGGAGGGGCCACGTCATAGTTCCAACTAAATCATCTCACGGTCATCTGTGTCTATCTGCCCAATTCACCCTTCCATGATCTCGTCACCTATATATTACTCTAGACTTTATTTATTTATGAATGAGGAATGCAAAAAATAAGGCAATACCAATATGGAATGTAACATGTTATATATTTGGTCACTTCTCAAAATTTCTCATCGTAAGGCTCAACTAGGCAACAATTTACTATTTGCTTATTACCCCATGGCGTGAAATAAAAGTTGACCTGCTACTCCCTAGAAAAATAGGGACAAATGTGTCAATTACAAGTCCCCACCCATTGATGTTGTTAGTGTGGTGGGCATCGTGTAATTACAAAAGGGAAAATAGGACCTGTATAATATTGGTGTGGTGTGGACCCATTCATGAATATATAAATAACCAATTATTATATGATAAATTTTATTGCCACCCTTCGTTTATTGAAGACACTGACAGTCTTCTTAAATTGTTAATATGAAAAAATTAATTTCTTTTACGGAAAATAATTAAAAAGTCATTTACACAAGATAAAATATTAAAATAATCCGATATTTTCAAAATTGGACAAATCGATCCTGTTATTATTTGACAGTGACATGAAATAACTTTTATGTCATTGTCGAACAGTAACACAAGAGTTATTTAATGTCACTCTTAATGAGTAACATAAAAATTATTTACATGTTATTGTCGGACAATAGCTAGATCAATTTATCTAAATTTGGAGGTACCGGACCATCCTCCAATTTGTACTTATATATTCTTATAAAGCCCCTTTGTTTTAACATGAAATAATTATTGGGCCGTATAATTTATAAACTAATTTTTTTTTACCACACCGTCTTATCTCACAGTTGATTAATGTACAAGTTTTTTTTTGGTAACAGATTAATGTACAAGTTACAACCCAAGCATCACCTTCTTGCCGAATATTAAAATATTGGATACCTTGCTGTCGAAAACTGAAGTTTCTTGGTTTCCCCTTCTGTGGTGGTTTTTTTGATGATATCTCACATGTCTGTGTCTTTTGAAGAGTTACTTGTTGTATGCTCTCAAGTGCCTGGTAGACGTTAGAGGGGCACTCTCTCTCTCTCTCTCTCTATATATATATATATTTGTATGCTCTCAAGTGCCTGTTAGACGTTAGAGGGGCACTCTCTCTCTCTCTCTCTCTCTATATATATATATAGAGAGAGAGAGATGGAGCTCAGTTGTCGTGGCCATCGTGTTCTCTAGCCCCGTCACCATTCAAATGGGGGATTTTACATGTTGGGGAGGAGTTTATGTGTTGTGTTGAGAATGGTGGGTGGACAATTACTAAAGTCTAATTTTGGTAAGTTGGGTGGGTGTTTGGAGTTAATACATGAACATTTCCTTCCAATAATTGAAGGGTGACAATTAAATTCCCTTTACTAGAGAGAAATCATCATCAATGTGCGTTTTGAATTTAGGGGTGTGAATAAATACTGAAAGTCGGAGGAATATGATTCCATCCCTGAAATAAATTATGAATTATTATGACGAGTTGAACAGAAGATTTGACCAATCCCCAGTTGCCGAGCTCCTTCCTTTCCTTTTCCTTCCGTTGTGGATGATATCATCTATATATATATATATATATATAAAGTAAAAAGCAAAAAAATGCTATTGGTTAATGCAATAATTGAAATTATTAATTTACATGAGGATAATATGGTAAATTCATTCTTTTTCATATTTAAAAAATTAAAATTAAAAGAAAAATCTGATAATAGATTATATTTTTTGAGAACACAACTATCTATTATCTTTTTAAATTCTAAAATAAATTTTAATTTTTTTTAAAAAAAAATCTGTTGTAGCGCGGAAACTTGTGCAGAGAGACTAATATCATATATTTATCTTTTCTTTCTTTGGGTGGGTATGGTATGAAATGAAGATGAATATGATGGCGGGCCGAAGCCCAAACAAGAAAGCTTGGCCGTGCATGGAGGAAAACTTAGTTGCAACAATGTTATCCAGTTGCAACAGTATTATCGCACGTGTCATAGCGTTATTGACCGAGAATAGAACTCGTTTCATGGAAGTCTCTCTCCCGTGGATGATATTTGATTGGGTGTGATTTGTGAAAGAAACAAACATACGTGCACCAAACGCGCGTCCTAATAGACTTGCAGTAACACTAATAGGTGGCGCAGAGGGAGTGGGAAAGGGAAATGTCAAATGAGACCACACCACACCTCACCTCTCCCTAATATATGAGAAAAAAGGAATGCCAAATTTTAAGCTTGATTAGTTATAATAATTGATGCAATTTGGATTTGGATGGGAATTGGAGCGAGGAACTCAACTCATTTCTTCTTCTTCTTCGTCTTCTTCTGGTTCTACTATTACCTATAGCTCTTACTCAAATCTAAATAAAAAAATGCTTTCTTCTCCTCACTTATATAACAAATAAATAATACATTAAAAATAAGATATAATAATAGTGAGCGATTATTAAGTTTAGTTTTAATAAGCGTTTAATTGAAAGAACCAGGGCTCGCATACGCACGCACGCACGCACAGAAAGACACAGAGGAGAGCTGCGGAGGGAGGAGGTGTTGAGCTGATGAGGTCCTTGAGAGCCTTGAGGGAGAGTTGTTGAGTTGAAGAAGGGTAGGCTTTTAGATAATCTCAGATTAGAATAGATAAGATTTAATGGAGCCCGAGTCTGGAATTTCGACGCCTTCCCGCAATCCTCCTCCTCAGGTTCAATCTATCTCTTCTCTCTCTCTACAACTCATTGCTTTCTTTACATTCAGTTTTACTTTGCATATGTCTCCCACATCCAAACATTTCATTTCATGCCAAAATCTCTCTTTTTGTTGTTGTTGTTGTTGTTGCTGTTTCTGTTTCTGTCCTACTTGGTACTGCTCGATCCACAAATTTTTTATTTCTTCTTATGTAATATGTGCTGCCTCTCTGTAACCAGTAACTAGTTGTGATTCAAAGATCTTAGGAATTCTTACTGTTTCCCGCATAGGTTCTGCCTCAATTTCAAGTTCCAATTCTTCGCTATAGTTGTAGTTGTAGATGGTAGGTTGGTGACACATACTTTTCTGTTGGTCAACTTGTTGTGTGTTCTCTGTCCTGGCCTGAGGCCTCTAACAAATTACAATTATTATTTTCTATTTCTCGGGCCGGTGATGTTCGCTTCTTACAATTAAACATTATCTATTATTTGGGTTTGACCCTGCTTCATTTTGACTTTGATATCATTTTTTAGTCTTCTGAATTTGATGGTCGATTGCTCATACATACTTGTTACTTCTTCTCTCTCTGTCTCTCTTGTTCCCCTTGAATAGCTAGCGTGGTTCGTGTATTGAACTATTATTCCTCATGATTGACCCCGACTCCTTTCTTGTATGCTTGTACTAGCAGCACTTGTAGAGTGGCTTTACATTCCTGACATGGACTGGTGTTTCTTTCTAGCCTTAACCTGAAATAAATAATATATGTAAAGCATATACTCTGTTCTGAGTTGTAAACCAGCGTAGGCCATGTTATTCATGTAACTTCTGTCATCAGTGGATATAGTATTGAACAGGAGGAAAACTGATGGAATGCTATCTCAGTCAATCACTTTGATATCAACTAGTAGGCGTATGAGTATAGTTTGTGTTCTCCAATTAAGGATTTAATCATAAATCATTTTAGATATGGATTTCTTCTCCTCTGCCCTGGGCTGGAATGTGATTCATTTGATACCAGCTAGTCTAACCAATTAAACTCTTGTTGCTTTGCAGCTTTCATGGGTGAATCTCTCCAGAAATCTAATACTTGCTTATCAAAGCCTTGGCGTGGTTTATGGGGACCTGAGTACTTCTCCTCTCTATGTTTATACTAGCACATTCATAGGGAAGTTGCAGAACCATAATAATGAGGAAGTGATATTTGGTGCATTTTCCTTAATTTTCTGGACTCTTACACTGATACCCTTGCTGAAGTATGTCTTCATCCTATTGAGTGCTGACGATAATGGTGAAGGTGTGGTGAGACTTGGAGTTTGAATATAATCTTTGTGTGAAATCTCTTACTTACTTTTTATTGAGTCTCTATGGGGTCATATTCATTCTAATTGATGTCAGGTGGGACATTTGCTCTTTACTCATTGCTTTGCCGCCATGCAAAGTTTAGTTTACTTCCCAACCAACAAGCAGCCGATGAGGAGCTCACAGCTTACAAATACGGTCCCTCATCACAGGTTGTAGCCTCTTCCCCATTAAAAAGATTTTTGGAGAAGCATAAAAGGTTACGGACAGCCCTACTAGTGGTGGTATTATTAGGAGCTTGCATGGTCATAGGAGATGGTGTGCTCACTCCAGCAATTTCAGGTAAGGTACTACCGTACTAAGGTTGGTGCTGTGAAACCGATATTAGTCAAAGTTTCGCCATATGCCATTTTCTTGTCCAATAATTGTTGATGTTGAATAGAAATATGTATTTATGTAATGCCCTTTCCAGAACCTCGGGACAGATGATAAAAAGAAAAGAAAAAACCCTTATGATAAGGTTGTTCTAAGTTTTCTAGTCCTCTTGTGGACATCCAATTAAATTGAGACAAAACTAACTCAGTTGTCTTGTATGTGAGATCCCTGATGTTTACATGTACTGTCAGCTACATACAATTCACATTTGAAATATGTTCAGACCATTCATTTGGTAGAGCCACTTCATAATACAATATCCTCCATTCTTTCTGTTGTTTCTTGATATGGTGACTGTTTTACTTGCTCAAATACTGTTAAGTTTGCAGTAAGCTCTACATTATGAAAACATCTTCTCCAGACAAACACAGATTATTGAATTGTTTAAATCATATTCTCGCACTTGCATGGATTAAGGAGTTAAATCTTTGAGCATTTCTTTTTCACTTGCAGTTTTATCATCAGTATCAGGGTTACAAGTTACAGAGGAGAAATTAACTGACGGTAATTAGTTTCTCTTAATTACCCCTTGCTTTTTATTTTTCCTTTTTAATGAAAAGTATAAACTCATGATGCCTATTAATACTTGTATATTGCACTGCATATCATCTATTTGCTTTGCTTTTAATGTGCTATTTATTATCTGTAGGTGAACTCCTCTTGCTTGCCTGTGTCATATTGGTTGGCCTGTTTGCTCTGCAGCATTGTGGTACCCACAGGGTAGCATTTTTGTTTGCACCTATTGTAATAATCTGGTTGATATCAATATTTGCCATTGGGCTGTACAACACAATACGTTGGAACCCAGCTATTGTTCGTGCATTGTCGCCCCACTACATTGTCAAGTTTTTCCGTGAAACTGGTAAAGATGGTTGGATTTCTCTTGGTGGGATTCTCCTCTCAATAACTGGTATGCTGAATCTGGAAATTGAGGGAAAATTGTTACATATACATAATATAATTACTTCTTGTTGTATTGCTGCAACTATTTTCATGAAACCCCTTTTATTGGAGTTTTATCTTAGCTCTTCAGGAACGAGAAGTTATCGAAACTGTGAATTTCGATATTGAGTCTTGCATGCTTGCTTTTTAAAATAAACTAACTGTTAGGCATCTCCATGTTTTGTTAGGTACTGAAGCCATGTTTGCAGATCTTGGACATTTCACTGCCTTATCGATAAGAGTAAGCTTATAATTTTTCTTGTGTTCTGCACAAAATGAAAACATTCAGCTCTACATTGTTGATTATGGTTTATGGGTACGTAGGGCTGATTATTGAATGAATTCAATTGAATAAAAGTATGCAGAAGAGTTTTCACTTTTGGAATTCCAAAATTCCCAAAATCAAAAGTTTCATATTTTTGAAAATTTGGAAAGTCTAAGATTTAGGATTTTTACTCTAAACCACTTGAACTTTGTAGGCCTTGTTCATTATGATGTATTAATGGTCTGTGGAATTTTGCAAGTGATTATGCATGTTTTTTCTTGCATTTTCAGCTTGCGTTTGCGTTCATTATATATCCTTGTTTGGTAGTACAATACATGGGTCAAGCTGCTTTCCTATCTAAACATCCCAACTCCATTCATTACAGTTTCTACGACTCAATACCTGGTTAGTTTATTCTGACATTTATGAATGTTGCTTTCAGAATTTTATTCTATATCTGAGTTGGTAATTTTGCTTTCTGTCCTCCCTTATCTGGCAGATCCTGTATTTTGGCCCGTCTTTGTTGTTGCTACCCTTGCAACAATTGTTGGGAGCCAGGCTGTTATAACCGCTACTTTCTCCATCATCAAGCAATGTCATGCCCTTGGTTGCTTCCCCCGAGTCAAAGTTGTCCACACCTCAAAACATATATATGGGCAGATCTACATCCCAGAAATTAATTGGATACTTATGATCCTCACTCTTGCGATAACTATTGGATTCCAAGACACGACTTTAATTGGAAATGCATATGGTACGTTATTTCTTTGAATCCCTTCCTTTCTGTCTTCCCCCTTCAACAATTAAGTGAGGATGACAAATGTTCACTTTTGGTTATCAGGACTTGCTTGCATGATGGTTATGTTTATCACGACGTTCCTTATGGCACTTGTAATAGTCTTTGTTTGGCAGAAAAGTGTGGTTCTGGCTGCAGTTTTTCTGATTTTCTTCTGGTTCATTGAGGGAGTCTACTTATCAGCAGCACTCATTAAAGTGCCTCAGGGAGGATGGGTCCCTTTTGTTCTCTCATTCATCTTTATGATCGTTATGTATGTCTGGCATTATGGTACGCGGAAGAAGTATAACTATGATTTGCACAACAAAGTTTCATTAAAATGGTTACTTGGCCTTGGCCCCAGCCTTGGTATAGTCCGCGTGCCTGGGATAGGCCTCATATACTCAGAGTTGGCAACAGGAGTTCCTGCAATATTCTCTCACTTTGTAACAAATCTTCCTGCATTTCACAAGGTGTTGGTTTTTGTTTGTGTAAAATCAGTTCCAGTTCCAAGTGTTTCACCTGAAGAGCGATTTCTGATTGGCCGGATTTGTCCAAGGCCTTACCGTATGTATAGGTGCATCGTCAGGTATGGGTACAAGGACATTCAACGGGATGATGGAGACTTTGAGAACCAGCTCATCCAAAGCATAGCAGAGTTCATCCAGATGGAAGCAGTGGAACCACAGTTCTCAAGCTCTGAGAGCGCATCATTTGATGGAAGGATGGCTGTGATAAGCACCAGGACGGGGCAATCGAGTTCGAGCTTAATAGCGAATGAGCAAGAGGTTTTTGGTGTGAGCGACTCCATCCAAAGCAGCAAATCTTTGACCCTCCAGAGTATAGGATCAGTGTATGATGATGAGAACCCACAAATCAGGAGGCGCCAAGTAAGGTTTCAGCTACCCTCAAACCCAGGTATGGATCCTGCAGTGAGGGAAGAGCTGATGGATTTAATCCAGGCCAAGGAAGCAGGGGTGGCTTATATAATGGGGCATTCATATGTGAAGGCGAGGAGATCATCGTCATATCTGAAGAAGCTTGTGATTGATATGGGGTATTCATTTCTTAGGAAGAACTGCAGGGGACCTGCTGTGGCACTTAACATTCCTCACATCAGTCTTATCGAAGTTGGGATGATATACTATGTCTGAGTCCTGATTGTTTGAAGGAATTCGTTACTTACAGATTCTAGGGGATAGGGAGCTGTCTCTTATTAGTCTAAGCTCATGGGAGAAGTATGGTATAAGGCAGAGGCTAGGACTAAATAATATTTGGTCGCATCGCAGATTTCATTTGGAAGCATCTTTGCCTCTGCCTGCCTGCCTGCGCTTTTGTTCCAACGTAACATGTATAGATGAATAACATGGAAATCTATCGTCATTATTATTTGGCAACTCACTTGGGCTTTCAACATGCTGCATGCATAACTTCAATTCGATGGTGAAATTTGTCATCATTTTTTTCCCTCTACCCCCCTTCACCCCCCATTTTACTTGTGCTAATATAACAAATAGCTTAATTATTTATTTGAAAATTGGGTTTTGTTTTTGTTCCAACTTGGAAAAGTAGCTTCACCTACATATATCTAAATCTAATGGCCAGTTACCAGCACCACCGCCTTCCATCAAATTTCAGCCTCAGCCAGGAGCGTAGGTGTATTTGGTAACAACGTACACGCCAGTGACTTTTCATTTAGAATTAAATTAGAGTCAACCAGGGAGCCACAAGTTGGATTACCAACTGAATTAAGGGATCGATCATCGATGGTGTAGTTAAGCTAGCTAGCGTCGTCATCTGTATCTCATCTGTACACCCACCCGTCTACACAAACACACGTAGTAGACATCTATGTATGTACGTACGTAGAGACTAGAGAGCTGCTTGCGTGCTTGCTTATATATAGCAAACTCAACTAGCTGTTAATAGACACAACTAGAAGTACGCACTACAAAGAAACTTAGAAAAGCAAAGTAATAAGATATGGGTAACAGGAACGACAAGGATAAGAAGGGTGGAGCGGCATGCCGTGGTGGTGGCCGTGGGGTTCCGGGGGTGGTAGTAGCACCTTTATTGGTGCTAGTGTTTGCCGGCATTCTGGCGCAGGAAGGAATACTAGTGTTGGCTGCTCAAGAAGTCGACACGTCTTGCCTCAATCGGCTTGCGCCTTGCCTAAACTACCTTAATGGAACCCGTCACCCTCCGGACAATTGTTGCGATCCTCTGAAATGGGTGATCAAGTCCAATCCTGAATGCTTGTGTCGTATGATAAGCAACCGAGGCTCCGATGAAGCTGAGCAAGCCGGCATCAATGTCAATGAGGCTCAGGAATTGCCAGGAAGATGTGGCCAACGTGTCAACCCACTCGTCTGCCTTTCAAGTAATGGTAATTCATTCATTACCATCCATTACCATTACCAACATTAATTAATTATAATAGTCATTCTGATTAATCAACACCACCATCAATATAAATATTCTTTTATCTGTTTGTCCTCTCCAAATTATTCTATACAAGCAATAATTCGAACTTGGTGCAGAATAAGAGGATATCTGCTCTAACCAACTTGACTAAACTTATGTCCGCATCCTTACTCCAAATTGAGTTACTCATATCATATGTAGTGAAAAAACAATATAATTGAACTAATATTTTACTTATAATTAAGCTCTATGTTATTGCCTTTGAGTGCAGGTTCACCTAATAATTCCAAGAACTCAGTTCCAAATTCTGCAAACAGCTTTTCGTTGCTCTTTCGTGGAAGTATGGCGGCCACAACTCTATCGTTGTCTCTTCATCTTATATTTAACTGGCATCAAATACAATATAGTTTCTCGATCAATTAACCGCCTCATGGACGGAAGACATTAATTCACATTGCAATAATCAAACACTTTCTTCTTCTTCTTCTCTCTCTGTCTCTTGTTAGTTGTATCGGGTTTATTTTTCTCAATACAAATCAAAGATTACAAAGTGATCAGTGCTCCTAAATGTAATTAATACGTTGATCATGAAAGCTCAAAGGTGATCAATGCATGTGATGGACGGGTGTGGCTTGGCTTGGGGCATTTAATGGGAAACGATAAAGTTAGTGCACCAAACACGCAATATGTCTGTTTAATAATTTAAGTGTTATCTAATTTAAGAAATTCAGTCTCAACAATTTGTAATAAAGTTCACCGAAGAATGACCGAAAATTCAATTGAACTAAAATAACTCAGTTGATGCCAATGAGGTATATAGCCTAGTGAAAAATATATTGACTTGCATATTAGTGGTTTCATATTCGAATCCTAATAATACATGTGTGTGAGAAACCCCATCTCTTTGTAGTTTTTATTTTTGTTATTGAGAAATTCTGGAATTACATTTATAATTCAGCCAACAAGCCTAGCCACAAAGGGCCATTACAATATTGGAGCGATTTAACATCAAAATTAAGACAATCTAGGGCTCTTCCACTAACGATCACACGAGATAGAAGAAACTCTAGTATAAGCATCTTAATTAAGAGTGTAAATTTAAAACAACCAAAAAATAGATAAAACTTCAAAAGATAAAGTCATAACAGAACAAATAAAACTTTCACAAAGGCATTTCCTTGTAGTTTAGACCTCGTATTCAAATAGAAAAGAAGAAAAAACTCAGTCCACTACTAATGGAGAACGGTTAAAAGTTTTTAAGAGGGAAAAGTGATAAAAGAAGCATCGACTTGTAAGTTGTAAGCCCAAGGGACCGTCCAATACGAACAACGGTGCAGGCCCAAGCCCCATATTCATATTAGAAATATCTGTTGGGTGGGTGGGTACGCATCTTCCACATGGCTATCAGGCTTCCAGGCTTCATTTCATGCTATAAGATTTAGAAAAAGAAAAAGAAAGAGAAAAAAAGAGAGGAATATATACGTAATAGCCTTCACCCGTGCTCTCATCACTGTGGCAAGCAAGTGAACAAAGGAGAGCAGAAAAAGTGAAAAGGAATGGTGAAAGTAAAGTAAAACCCCTCCAAAACCTCAAACGTGATAATTTTGGGTTGTTGATTGTTTGTTTAATTATCCAGTCAGTCAGTCCACTGGGAGTCTGAGATGGCTCTGCTCCTTCCAATCCCTGGCCCTTCAAATTCAAGGTGGTCGGAAGAGGCAACTGCAATTAGTCCGGGGTTTGGGGTGTGGTCGCGTCCCGGGAGCACGCTCTGGGGAGTCTTCTTGAGACTCCATCCCTACGAAAATGCCAAAAACAGAGGAAGAAGAAGAGGACAGGTTTGCTGCTGGGTGCCCAATGCTGTGTACACCCACTCCCACACCCGAAGTAGTGAACAAGGAGGAGGAGGAGGCTCGACGCAGACGCAGTGGAAACCGAAATCTGGGGCTGGGGGGAAGCGAAGGGAAGCGGTGGAGGCAGTGGGCGACGCCATATCCATTGTTAACGAGAGGATTAGGCGGGAGCAGAGCAAGAGAGAAACGAGAACGGTGATGGAGTCGGAGGAGGCTGACAAGTACATAGAGTTGGTGAAGCAACAGCAGCAGAGGGGGCTTGAGAAGCTCAGAGGAGATGCTAGTTACAAGGTCGACCCCTACTCTCTTCGTTCTGGGGACTACGTCGTTCACAAGAAGGTCGGCATTGGTCGATTCGTTGGGATTAAATTCGACGTTTCCAATTCCACCGCGGAGTACGTCTTCATTGAGTATGCCGATGGCATGGCTAAGCTTCCTGTTAAGCAGGCCTCTCGCTTGCTCTATCGTTATAGTCTGTACGTTTCCTTATTTTCTTCCTTTTCATTCTTTCTACTCATTCAACAAAGAACAAACAAACTGGAATATGTAAAACAATAGAATCAAATTTATCATCAAAGTTTTCATCTTTTTTCAGCCCAAACGAAACCAAAAGGCCCCGCACTTTGAGCAAATTGAGCGACACTAGTGTATGGGAGAAAAGAAAGACCAAAGGCAAGATTGCCATTCAGAAAATGGTTGTTGATTTGATGGAGTTGTATCTACATAGACTCAAACAAAGACGGCCTCCCTACCCAAAGACTAATGCCATGACTCACTTTGTTTCTCAGTTTCCTTATGAGCCCACCCCTGATCAAAAACAGGTTTTTCCTCTTACTACTCTCATCTCTCAACTCTCACCCATGCACAACCTGCCTTTTTATTTGCTTATTGCTTTGCTGTCATCCTTCCATTTGCCAACCGACCGTACATCACTCAAACTACCCTCTCTGGACTCTTCCTCTTACACATTCACTTGCACCTTATACAGGCTTTCATTGATGTTCACAAAGATTTGACAGAGAGAGAAACCCCAATGGACCGCTTAATTTGTGGAGATGTTGGCTTTGGCAAAACTGAAGTTGCCCTGCGTGCCATCTTTTGTGTAGTTTCAGCAGGGAAACAAGCTATGGTTCTCGCACCCACAATTGTTTTAGCCAAGCAACATTTTGATGTTATTTCCGACCGGTTTTCTGTCTACTCAAATATCAAGGTTGGACTTCTGAGCAGGTTTCAGGTACGCCAAGTCTTCTTACATATGATATACATCTTATGCATTCCGGAATTTGTAATTTGCAAATCAACGGAGGACCATCATATAATGGGTTGAACTTCAAAATCGTATTGGTTAGCTAATTTTGAAGCCCAACTATATTTTTTTGTTCTGTTTCTGAAACACCCTAGATGTTTCAAACTGCAATTTTCTTTTAGTCTGAGACTGATCACAACTGTTATGGCATGTAGACTAGAGCAGAGAAAGAGGAGCATTTGGACATGATTAAAAATGGTCGTTTGGACATAATTGTTGGGACTCACTCACTTCTTGGAAGTCGCGTTGTGTATAATAATCTGGGTTTGCTTGTGGTTGATGAAGAGCAGGTTTGTCATTGAATCTATTTTCTGCTATCTACAATAGATTAGATTATCTCCTAGTTGCCCTACAGTGACCTACATAGTTTTCTTTCTCTTAAAGCATGTACTTTCTTTCTGCTCTATAGAGGTTTGGCGTCAAACAAAAAGAGAAGATTGCTTCATTCAAAACATCAGTGGATGTTCTTACTCTATCTGCAACACCTATACCACGTACCCTGTATTTGGCCTTGACTGGCTTCCGTGATGCTAGGTAATGAACTTGTCATTGAACTTATAAACATCTCTAGATCTAGATGCCCATTTCAATTCTTCTTTTTGGAAATTTCAGAACAAGGCTAGTTAACGAATTACATTATACACACACACACACATATAGCTTCCATTGAGGAATCCCTCAAAGAAAGGTTATTTGAGGGACACCCTTGTAGATAATCATTCCAAGATCATCTCTACAAAAAATACTTGAATCCGATATCATTTGACCACTCAATTGAGTTATTGAAATTTTAGTACTTTCTTGAAGCACCGTTGTCATTGATTTTGTAGGACACAATTGGATGTTGAAACGGTTTCCGATTTGTCTAATTTTTTGCAAGGATGATCTATGAATGTAGACTTAAAAAATAGATGGTTTGGATCGTTGAAAAAAAATTCGTAGGAGACGGTGCCCCTCAAATAATCCCCTCATATAAAATTATTTGAGGGATCCCTCAATAGAAGGGGACTGATATATATATGCGTGTGTGTATAGAAAAACCGGTCTATTAAATAACTATACGCTGCACTTGTACAGGATCAATTGTAAGAATCTGTTATTAGAATTTTCTGAATAATATTATAAGTAGTCACAATTTCATCACTGTCAGTGACTATTATCTGTTAGTGAGAATCATCCAATTTGAAATGGTTGGGTTAAGTATTTTTTTGTTGTTGAGTTGTATGTAAAATAAAAGGTGGTAAAATTAACAATATCATAGACAGTGGAAAAGAGACACAGAAATTTAGTTTACTCCACGGTAGGTCTTACATAATGATGTGACTTATATAACTCGCCAGTCCCCTAATCTGATACTGTTGTAATTATGAGTTCTTCCTTTGTTTCAGTTTGATTTCAACTCCACCACCAGAGAGAGTCCCTATCAAATCCCATCTTTCTGCATACAGTAAAGAAAAGGTTTTATCAGCAATTAAGCATGAGCTGGACCGAGGTGGCCAAGTGTTTTATGTATTGCCTCGTATTAAAGGTAACCTCGTTGATTACTGGTTCATATGTATATTGTTACTCGTACAAAAGTCAAGCACAAAGATTTATTTGTATGGTGTTTGCTTGGTAGCAGTTGTGTTGGCAGTAACTATGCGTTGAGTCTCTGTATGGCTTCTTTCATTGTCAGTAATGACCAAATGCATTTATCACTATTGTTTGAGGCTGTAGAGTGAAAGACGATTGTCATGTTCATGATTTTTGATTCATTTGGCTTACATGTCAAAAGAACAAGAGAAATTCCATTACAGAATAACAGTTAATTAGAGGAATGTCAAGGCTTGTTTTCCCACAGCATTTTTTGTTTTCACATCTGTTTCTTATGTTGCAGGACTTGAAGAAGTGATGGAGTTTCTTGAACAGTCATTTCCCAATGTTGAAATAGCTATTGCACACGGGAAGGTACTTTCTTCCTTTCTTTAGCATTTGATATCTCTCAAAGGGAACTACTATGAGATCAAATATAGACGCCTAATGTGAAACCATTATAATCAATTAACAGAGAGAAATGAGTTATGAACTAAACTTTATAATGTTTGTGATGAAATTTAAACCTTAGGAAAATTGAGGATACATCAGGATCAGAAAAGGATATCATATGCGTCAAGTTTTACAGCTTAGGATGGGATCTGCTCAGTTGGGTTTCTTTCTCTTCATTCTGTATGATATCTGCATCTTTTTTCAGCAATATTCAAAGCAGCTAGAGGAAACCATGGAGAAATTTGCACAAGGTGAAATCAAGATTCTTATATGCACTAATATAGTAGAAAGTGGGCTTGACATTCAGAATGCAAACACCATCATCATTCAAGATGTTCAACAATTTGGCCTTGCACAGTTGTATCAGGTCTTGCTCTTTCTTCTTTCTTCATATATTTCTCAAATGGTGCAACATATATGGAAGACTAACATTTAAAATTGTTATCTTGGTTACTTCAAATCCTTTCATGTATTAAACAAGGGAATATAATGGTATCTGAGCTTTTCTAACTCCTTATCCATTTTACTTATTCTTTTAATTTTTGTTCTCTCTGTTTTTTACTTTTCATTAAATGGTAGTAGTTGCGTGGAAGGGTAGGGCGGGCAGATAAGGAAGCTCATGCGCACTTATTTTACCCGGAGAAGTCACTACTAACTGATCAAGCACTGGTACTTCTTTCTTTTTGACCTTTAATGTTTTACTGATTACAGTAGTCAATGGATCCTCAAATGCACGAGAATAACTTTTGTATATTCTTTAAATCTGCTTGTGTTACCCTTCATGATATGTAGCACTATTTTTTCATGATTGCTTGCTATTTTAGATACACTTTAAAGACCATTAGGTACTGCGTTCTGGATATTCTTGTTGGTGCTTACTTCGGAGTGTTTAAAGTATCATTCATTGTGGTCATGCTCTAGGAGAGACTTGCAGCTCTTGAGGAATGCTGTGAACTCGGGCAAGGTTTCCAACTTGCAGAGAGGGACATGGGAATCAGAGGCTTTGGTACCATATTTGGTGAGCAACAAACAGGGGATGTTGGAAATGTTGGCATTGATCTCTTCTTTGAAATGCTCTTTGAGAGCCTGTCCAAGGTTTTTTCTTGTTCATGACCTACTTGTTTTATATTATACTTTTATTAAAAGGAGCATCATGGTTAGGTGTCCTTTGTGAATCATTTCTAGCTTCTTGCTTCCATTTTTACATGCAATTTGGCTAATATTATTAAATTAACTATTGTATTTTGCAATCTCTTTTGTGCTCTAACTGTATAAAATATAAATGTATTAGATGGCAATGGTTCAAAATAGTTCTAATGTCGAAATGGGCCTAGTTAGTATACTTTGTTGATTATGTGTTCAATACATACTCTCTCTCTCTCTCTCTCACGCACACGCACACACACACACACACACACATGTAATAACTGTTTATTCTTAGGCCCACTCGATGTCTGGAATGTGAGTTTTTACTTGATGTGCTACTTTTTTTGTGTGGACGAAAACTTGATTGTGCTACTAATTCTAAACTTCTTGTTCTTATTTGATGCCAGGTTGATGAACACCGTGTAGTTTCAGTTCCTTACTGGTCCGTTGAGGTATTTCTACTATCACTTTTTGTACCATCTTAAAATAAACACTTGAGCAAGATATATGCTGATTAGTTTCCAACAGATCATATTGTAACTCCTAGAAGAGATTGAAATGAGTATCTCTGGTTAAGGATCTTTGAAGTAAAATTGACAAATGGTCCAGAGCATGCATGGGAACATGGATTTGTAGTTGTATATGATTATAACGTTAGTTGACTGACTTGATGGGTGCGCTTTATGTACTTTCCAGATTGATATAAATATAAGTCCTCATCTCCCTTCTGAGTACATAAATTATCTGGAGAATCCCATGGAGATAATTCAGGAAGCTGAGACAGCTGCTGAGAAAGATATCTGGAGTTTGATGCAATATGCTGAGAATTTGCGCTGCCAATATGGGAAGGAGCCACCGTCCATGGAGATTCTTTTAAAGAAGCTGTATGTGAGGAGGATGGCAGCCGATCTTGGAATAACCAAGATATATGCTTCAGGAAAGATGGTTTTTATGAAAACAAGTATGAATAAAAAGGTTTTCAAGCTGATTACAGATTCAATGGTTTCTGATGTTCACCGAAATTCTTTGGTTTTTGGGGGTGATCAGATCAAGGTAATAACATATCATCACCTTATGTTCCTTTTTGTTTTCTTTAAGTTTTAGACAGGTGTGCGAAGTTTTGGAAAAGAAACTTTTATTGCTTTTTACACACGGTTCCCCAACGGATCATCACGTTTTTCTTTTCTTCTCCGTCTTTGTCTCTTCTCTTGCAGGCAGAACTTCTCCTAGAGCTACCGAGAGAACAACTCCTAAATTGGATCTTTCAATGTTTGGCTGAACTTCATGCTTCCTTACCTGCTCTGATAAAGTATTAGTTGTGTAGCGGTCATAATTCCAATTCTTTTTAATGACGGTACTGCATCATGGATTTGCTTATTGTTTGCTACTCTTTGAACCTCGCATACAAGCATTGGGTATTAAAATGAGCCCCAACAATCTGTCTCGGTTTCCATTGCTTCCAGGTCGTGTCTTGTAGTTCCCTGATATTGCAAAACCAAGATGACCTGGCATGAATCACGTAGGTCATCACAGATTGATGCTAGCAATGAATGTATTATAACTGTTTTCCTTCTTCCCTTGGTGGGTTGGATTCTGATCAAGACTGCAGTTCAGTGGCAAATAATCCGAGGTATTTCAACCCTACTGTTTCAAATTCGTTTGTGTAAATCATCATCATTGCTTCTGATTGAGTTCCATTGGCAGGTTACTTGTGAAATAGCTGCTGCAAGTGGCTCTTTAAGAGGGATACAGATTTGGCAGCGAAATTCCCATTCTCATGCATACGCATACGCGTACGCAAATCCTATTTGTGTAAGGAAGGATCATATGTCCTACTAATAGTCTAATACTATGGCTGTCTTGCTTGTAAATCAAGACGCCCGCTTTTTGACATGTAATGTTGAAAGAGATAAGTAGTCGGTCATGCTTTAAGATTCAGATAGCCATGAGGAAGGCCGTCAACTGTATAGTGTTAGTAGTGTAGTTTCAGCAGACAAATTATTTAAAACTGAGGTTTCCATTTTTTTCTCGGTTCCTAAGAAATGAGCTAAAAATAAACTATTTTTCTCTTCTTTCGGTTTTGGGGTTGGATGGGCCTGTATGTAAGAGAAAAATTTAGTTGCAACGGGGATACTAATAACTAATAATGTCATGCCATATGAAAGTGTTATCACGTGTGTCATAACGTTATTGAGTATGATAGCAAAATAATGCAATAATTGTTTCATGGAAGTCTTTCTCTGTATGTAGGGGTTCTTATTTCATTGACTGGCGGGTACCCAAATTGACAGCTGGGACCTAAATTACAGAACGAGGCCTACCACTAAGTCACAAATTAATTTGCAAGAGCTCTATATTTTTTCTTCTTCTTCTTATATGCAAAGGAGGGCTCACAGCCTTGCAGCTGCTGCCTGTTTAGGTGTTAAAATTAGTTTTATTTGGGGAGGAATATGAAATTCGAACTTATTTATTAGGAAAAAAAGAAAAAAACAGAGTCAGCAGCTCTACAGTCTACTCACTCTTCTGGACCCCCATGAAGGTCGGCCCAATTCTCTCCAGTAAGACTCATCAGTTTCTTTAAACAAATTTGGGAACGGCTATCATACCAGACTTGCTTTACAGATACATACAGAGACGTGGTAGATCCCATCCCACTCCTTGTGGTCTAATTCCATTTACTATTCCATCAATCTCAAATAAGGTGTGATGTTATTAAGAAATTAGGAAGAAGAAAAGAAAAAAAAATGAGCTTTCAAGATGTGCAGAATAGCGGAGGAAGGGGAAAGAAGGCATCAGCGTCTCCGTCACAGGCGGTGGCTGCCGGAATATTCCAGATCAACACTGCCGTTTCCACTTTCCGTCGACTGGTCGATGCCATCGGCACTACCAAGGACACTCCCGACCACCGCCAAAAGCTGTGCGTCTCTCTCTCTCTCTCTCTCTCTCTCTCTCTCTCTCTCGCGTCTCTCGTCTCTCGTCTCTCGTCTCTCCCACACACAAATTTCAAGCTCCCATCGGCACTGACTTGTTGTTAGACTGCTGTACTAACACACTCGCTACTCAAAAATCAAGATTTTTACTTACTAATGAGTACAATGAGCCTAATGTAATCTAATCTAATGGCAGGCACAACACAAGGCAACGCATACTTGAGCTTGTCAAAGATACGTCTGCCAAGCTCAAAGCCCTCAGCGAATCTGATCACCACATCAATGTCAATGTACGTCTTTTTCTCTCTCTCCCTCTCAGTCTCATCACTGCTTTTGAATCTTGATCTGCAATTATTAACATTGTTCTTCCTGCATCTTCTGACATTTCTTTCTTTCTAAATAAAAAATCCATCTTTTTTTTGTTGATAATTTCAGCCCAGTAAGCAGATAGAAGATGCCAAGCTTGCAAGGGATTTCCAAACAACATTGCAAGAATTCCAGAAAGTTCAGCAGCTCGCCTCTGAGCGCGAGTCTACTTACATGCCTTCCTTGCCATTGGCAGCAGCAACGTATATATTTCTACTCTTTCGAAAGAACACAATCTTCTTTGTTTTCTTTTCACCTTCCTAATTTCTGATTGTGTTTTGTATGACTTACCTCCATACCTTGTTGGCTGGTTTTTCTTTTTTGCGCTTTCACTATAGCTCTGCGGCCTCTGCCTCTGAGGAGCATTTGGAACCTACCAGCACCAGGGATCAGCACCGCCAACCTTTCCTTCAGGAGCAAAAGAGGTAATCAATGTTCTATCTGCATTCACATCATCATTGCTTGTTCTTTTCGTTTTATTTCATCTGTCATTGCCAATTCCAAACCATCCTTCACCTTCCATTTTTGGCTTTTCATACTATGAGAAAGGATGAATAGTTCCCAGCGTTCTTCAATTGGGTTATTTAACTTTTGTATTGTTGGACTGCTTGGAGCTCCCATCCCATGGCCATCGCTTTCTCATTTCTTTTTAGTGGCTGAAGGTCGAATCTTGCTTCCATGAACCTTGTACATTGAGAGTCTGGCCATATATAGTTTGAGCATCTTCGCATGCATATACACATGGATTGGTTTGACATATTCATAGACGAATTACAATGACCCTTGTTTTTGAACAAACACATGCAGGCAGGAAGTACTTTTGCTTGACAATGAGATTTCTTTCAATGAGGCCATAATTGAGGAGAGGGAACACGGTATTAGAGAGATAGAAGAACAAATCGGACAAGCTAACGAAATTTTCAAGGACCTTGCAGTTCTCGTTCATGAGCAGGGTGTAGTCATTGGTAGCTTCCAGATTCCCAGCAGATGATTTATTTCCATTGTATCGCTCACTTTCACTTTCCATTCATGGATCTTTTTGCTCTTATTTATTTATCGGGTAAAGTGTTCTATTATTACAGATGACATTCACTCTAACATTGACAACTCTTCTGCTGCAACGACCCAAGCTAGAGTTCAACTAGCTAAGGCCTCCAAAGGAGTTAAATCCAGATCATCATGGGTAAGTACTAAGTAGTATACTTTCACGTCCTATCAAATTCAATTGTGGAAAACCTGAAGTTAGCTTCTGACTTGCCACATTATTGGTAAGCCATCATTCTGAATACAGGGTGTTTAGCAGTTTATGCTAGCTCAGTGAAGGAAAAAGATGTGTTTGAAGTCAGATAATCTATCACAATAATTCAGTCTATATTCAAATAAAATCTGCATGTATTTTCTTAAAGGCTTCAGATGAGCCCAGGAATTATGTGCCATAACAAAAATTGTAAGAGAATTCATGTATGACAAAAGGGAATTAGCACGCCCTCATCATGCCATCCTGACTGTGATACATACTACATTGGCAATTTTTAGTCTATGGATCACCTATGATAGGTTTCCTGCATATATGGCGAAGCCTAGTGGTTAATACATAGTGGACAGAAAGAAGACGTTAGGTTGCAAAGAGAAGGAATCTACATGCAAACACAAACTTTCATTTTTGTTTAGTGTGGCAAGAATACTGTCTGTTATAATAGCAGAGGGACATGTTAGAGTAGTTTTGTGAACAAGGCCACCCTGTAATACTTAATTGTAGGTTATAGAGCTGAGCTTACCATGTTCTCTTAGAAGTTGATTATAATAATCCCTTATTTTTTTATTTCCTATCAAAGTCTTCTCTGTAGAATTGTATAAAATCTGCAAAGTTTGTGTATTGCAGTGTTGGTGGGTGGTGGCGGTTTGTGTGGTGGTGGTCGTAGTCATCCTCATCGTCCTTATCATATAATGTGCAAGTAAATATATACAGTCACAATGTGCCTCTGCATGAGAAAGTTTATGTGATGGATTCTTTGTTTATTGAAGTCCTCCAGCTTTTAGTTGAGATTTACATGTATTAGAGTGGAATACCTCTTTGTTTGCTTGTCTTTTGTCTTAAGGCTGATTTTGGTTGTTTTTGTATTATGGTCGTTGGGTTTTGCTTCTGTAATTCATTCGCTTTTAAGAGCGGGTTTTCTCTCTGTTTGGTTTATGCTTTCCTGTTTCTGTATATTAAAATGATGGATGTCTTTTCCAGCTATTCCATTAGGTCTGTCTGGTTTCAAGTGAAATGATCAAGGTCTTGGGTCCAGTCGAACTTAGCATACACCCACTTGTGCACATCGTGTGAGAAGAGAGATAGGCACAATGGGGTACGCAATGTGTTGCCTTATTTGTTGTCTGATATAACATGTTCGATTCAATGAAGTTATTTGTATAGTTGTAATAAAATAAAATGAAATAAAATAGAAAGATATACGTCATTTGATTCAATTGTGGAAAACCCGAAGAAGGCTCGTCTGAGGATCTGAGGACCTAGTTAGGAGGGTGAGGATATCAGAGGATGATTGAGATTGACTGCGTCTAGGTTTAGGGTAGTGAGTGTATAAAATATAATATATACTTAAATATCATTTTTGTATATCCATTCCATATCCTTCCCGTCTGTACAAGCGTGACATAACATTATTGGTCGGGATAGCAAAATAGTGTTATCTCCGTTGCAACTGATGCATGGGAATATTGTGTGATTTATGGTGTGAGTGAGACAATCAAAACAAGAAAAGGAATATTGTGTGATTTATGTTATTCAACAATGCATGGGGATTGACAGGAAGTGTCCCCTACTTTTCCATGAAGGTTTCAGCCAATTTCAGCTGGTTTGCGAATAACGCCCCCAATTTTGATTGGCTCGGAATCCACACCACGCATGAATCTTTTGGCTTTATTTTTTGTGGACAGCAACGGTATATAAACCATCAATTGCTTCCTCATCTTTTCCGGGCCCTCTTCTGTTTTCGCTTCATCACCTAGGGTAGCTAGCTAGCTCTGCAAACAGAGATTTATGTATCTATATATGCAATATCATATATATGGGATATGATTCATATATGTGTTGTGTGTGTATGTTTACAAATTACATGGCTTATGTTAATATACGAGACGTCTGAGGTTTTTCTTAACTCTCTCCCTCATAGGCTTACGGTACCAACTAAAAGAAGATAGACAATTGTAAGCATATGAGGGGGGTGTTAAGATGAAGTTTGGCTTCTCTCTATACCACCCCAAGTTTTATACTCATTACGTTTTAACGGGCAGGGAAGTATAACTGGCTGGTATTTGGTACAAGTACGGTACCTAATATATATATATTATATATTGACAATCCAGCGGGTATGTTATAGATGAATACCCGATACCAAACAATTCTTTTTCCATTTATTTATTTCTGAAATTTTTTGTTGCCTTACAGACTGACTAGTGCTGCATTATATAGTCAGTATATATATATGGTGTTACATGGAATTTATACTCCAAACCAGTCCAGTGGTATACAAGACAAGACAAGACAATACTCCAATCCAGTCCCAGGTGGTGGTGGTATTAGAAAGAATTTTCCTCGTTTGTTGAGAATTGAATTGAATTGAGCATGGAATTTATAAGGGTTTACCAATACCAACCAACCATTGTATCAAAATTGACCGCCACCAGTAAGGTGAGGTCCACGATTGACCAAGAGAAGAGACAGACACCATTCATTTCATTAATTCCCATGAGCCATGAGCCATGACGACGACGACGACGACGAAAATGGAGGAAAAATGAGGACTGGATTAGCATGGCATGATGGCATGCGGGTATTAATATTGATAGCAAATAGCATCTTTGGTTTGCTAAACCAAGTAAGTAATCATGCAGTCAGCAGAGTGAGACGCCACTCATCTAAACTTGATCATGCATGCACTGTGCACACTCACAAGTTCACAACACAAATGCTCTCTCACTATTGCTTTACTAGCTATTATTATGTACATTCTTTTTTTAATTGTTTTTTATTTATTTTGGGGTACCTATGTACATGCAGCATATATATTCTTCCAGCTTTTAGCGGACTGCAAGCGAAGCTACCTAGCGCCGCTGACCCAGTCATGAAAGCATTACCATTAGCAGGCTTCAGCAAAGTCCATCATTGTTTTTTTCATCTTACATATATATATAAAATATGCGACACCAGATCAGATCAGACCAACAAGATACAAATTTAGTTTAGTTTATTACACATTGACATTAGAGCACATACATATATATAGACGCGTTATCCCATCATATTCTGATGTTCCTCATCGCAGCTGACATTCTTATTTTTATTTTTTAGTTAATTCTTACATCTACTTTCGTCAACTAGAATAGAACGTATGAGAGAGCATTTTATTATATGCTGATAATATACACGCGTTAATATCATCTCCTTGTGCTGCCTCATAGTAAATTAGTACTTCTGTCTTGGGTTGGGTATTGTCTTTCACACTTCTTCACATTTATATTGTCGACGTTTTTTTGTTCTTCTTAAATTTGCAACAAACAACAACTAGTTATTGACGTGTTTATATTTCTTTTCCAGCAGGCATCTCATTTTCTGATCCTCCCTTTTTCTGTTGCCCAAGGTTGAGATAATGTAGTTATTGACAGTTTAGTTGTTGTTTTTGTTTTTAAATTGAACAGATACATTTGAGTTACCGACTTCATCAACCGTCCACAATCTTGCTTCAGTGTAGGGAGTGGTTTTTCCTTGTTTATCTTCCTTAATTTGTTTTACTTTTGTTATTTTACTGTTTTGGATTCAAGTTGTTTCTGAGCAAAGTTCATTTTCGTTGAGTAATATTATAGTGTTTCCCTAATGATTGATTGTTATCAGATGGTGTTCCTTTTCATATTAAGAGTGCGTTTATGCGTTCATGTTGATGGTGCATGATTTAAAAATGTCTTGTCATTCTTATTTGATGCATCTCATCTGCTATATGCAATGAATTATTAATATAAAGAAAAAGGAAGTCTGATGTCTTTCCTTTATAGCAGCTACATGATGATGTTCCAATTATAAAAACTGTGATGGGGGAGAATTTCATTTTCGTTGAATTAATTTGGTGGTTTTAATGGAATTAATAGTTACCTAGTTCAACTTCAACTCGAACCAAAACCAAATCATCTATGACAGTTAGTGGAGCCCACCCCTCAAACAAAAGTTTAAAAATGATCAACGGTCAGATGACAGCAGTTATATTGTATGCCTCAGCGTAGCTGATTCCTTAGCCGACAGTTGAAGAGTACGGTCGTAATAGCGTTCGCTGAAGTATCACGCCTTGGCTATTGACCGGACAACTCTTTCTTTCTGTCTTTTCATTTTTTCTTCTTCCATCCATAGGAAATGAAAATAAGATAATTCCTTCCTTCCTTCTTTCTTTCATTGCCTATTTGCCCTTTCTGATCTCTTCTTTCTTTCTGGGAATCCCTGAACCTCAAATCTCCCAATCTCACATCTGTCTGATTATCTTCGGAATCAATTTCAAACGCCCCATCCGCCTAGCCCAACCCAAGGAGGAAAGCAACACACAAACAAGAAAACAAGCCTCAGAATTTGGATCCGCTGTGAATATTAGCCTCGATCGAAATTTCAACTTGTCCGAGAGAGGTCAAGTAAGCTCCCGAGCTCCAAACTTAGTTTTTTCACCTTTTATTTTTTCTTGTTTTTGTTTTCGTCTTCTTTAAATAAATAATTGCATGATTTCGCATAATGATTCCCGATCTATCGGATTGATGCTAAATGCCAATTATATCACACCAGCAACACCGGGATTGATCATTGATCTGCCATCTTTTACACCAGCAGATTTAATTTGCTTACTTTGAGACCTTTGGGTGTTTCTCAATTATGCCTCTGCAATTCCAATTCCTCTCTATCTTTACCTTTTAAGGAAGGTTCCTCCATTTCAATAGCTCCATCCATGCCAGAGCCATTTCTAAATTTTATAGTAAGTAAGCAATGCAACACTGACCGAGACATGGGAATTCCTCAAGCATTTCTCTTGCTAATCAATCGCTATATGTTTCTTCTTGTGCCAGATTTTATAACGATTGAGTGTCAACTTCCGGTTTCAACTGCATGCAGCCACGGCTTCACATCTCTCTCTAATCCATGGGGGAGTGGGTCGTTGGAGCTTTCATCAACCTTTTCGGCAGCATTGCCATCAACTTTGGAACTAACCTTCTGAAATTGGGGCATAATGAGGTATACTCTATACTCTATTCCTTTGTGTGTGTGTGTGTGTGTGTTTCTTCTTGTGGAACCATTGTGAAATTGTGATTTGCATAACTATCACTAAACAAATTTATAACCTTCCTTCCTCAATGTTATTGTATCTAGTCCGAAAATGCAAATTTTAGCAACCTCTGTTCATCTGCAGCAATTTTGTACTGATGAATGTTTCTACTCTGACACAAATCATTGAGAGAATGAATACTCTGTTGTGACAGCATTATATCCCCATATTCATACCATGATGCAAGCGTCGGATTTTTTATTTTCTGTTTTGGCAGAGAGAGAGACATTCAATACTAGAAAGTGAAGGAGCAAGTGGAAAGCTTCCTTTGAAGCCCATTATACACTTTCAGACATGGAGAGTTGGTACAGTCTTGTCTCTCAGTGCTTCATTTGTTCCAAAGGTTTTTCATATTCTATTTCACATGGTGGATTATGGACATTGGACTTAAATATTATATAATTCTTCACATGCAGGCTTTTTATTTTTCGTTCTTGGTAATTGCCTAAATTTCATATCCTTCGGATATGCTGCTCAGGTCAGTACAAACTAAATTTTGTAGCCTTGTTATCTGAAACTGGAAAGTAAGATTAGTACTGATAAGTACTCAGATGAAAACATCTGCTACAAGCTTGGACACTTATCTGAATAAGTTTATTGTTTCTGTTCTTTCTAATTATTTCTTGTATTCTTCTGTGCAGTCACTTCTTGCGGCACTGGGTTCTATTCAGTTTATATCCAACATTGCATTTGCTTACTTTGTGTTAAACAAAATGGTGACTGTTAAGTACGTTAAAATATGAAGTGGGAATAGATTTTCATAACTGTAACACCATTTATACATCCATTTTGCACATCCTTATCACCTTACTATTTCTAAGTATATCCGTGTATTAAGACAGCTTTCTTTGCAGGGTAATGGTTGCCACAGCCTTTATCGTTCTTGGGAACATTTTTCTTGTTGCTTTTGGCAACCACCAATCACCTGGTACATGATTAATTTTCAAGTCACAATTACTTACAGTTTCATTAGTGTATTGCGTTGTGCCAAATCCCTGAATATCTGATCAATTGTTTTGTATTTTGGTCCTACCTGTGGCAAGAAGCAACCATCCCAAACTCTCACACACACACACACACCCGCACAAGTAGAACAATCTTCCCTGCAAACGTTGTATACAACAGCGGTCTCGCATCCAACCCCTCACATGTTTGGGAGAGGGCTGTAGTATATAAAGGCTGCACAATAAACTTTCTCCACAAACACAAAATATATAGAAAGAAGATGAGCATGGACCAAGAAATATATTATATCCACAAGTAATGGACTCATGTATGTTCGATTTGTTTTATTACAGTATACACACCAGAACAGCTGGCCGAGAAATACAGCAACATTGCATTCCTTCTTTACTGCCTAATTTTGGTTTTAGTTGTTGCCTTACAGCACTCCATTTACAGGTGAGATTCTAAGAACTAAGTGCTGACTGCTTCATTCTTATTAGTAAGCCTCCAACACTTTTTTTTTTGTTTCATCCAATTTCTGGATATACAGGAGAGGAGAACTTCTGCATGCTGTTTCTGGACAGGATCTAAGACCCTATTGGCATATGCTACTTCCTTTTTCCTATGCTATAGTTTCAGGTGCTGTTGGATCATTCTCAGTGTTGTTTGCAAAATCTCTGTAAGTTAGCTTGCCAACATATTGTCTTCCTTGTGTGACTCAAGTGGTGAAATCATCCAAGCCTTCTGTTTCTAATTCCTATTTTTTTTGGCAGCTCTAACCTGCTACGTTTGGCCATGTCTAGCAGTTATCAGTTACATAGCTGGTTCACATACTCCATGCTCCTTTTATTTCTAAGTACAGCTGGATTTTGGGTATCAGTTATTACAGAGCCAACTTTCAATTTCATGGTTTGCAAATTGCTGCAATCGCATGGGAGATGGTGATTTATTTATCTTTTATATATTCATACTTTTTACTTCTACTTCTGCAGATGGCTCGGTTGAATGAAGGATTGTCATTATTCGATGCAATCCTTATTGTTCCTATGTTTCAGATTGCTTGGACATTCTTTTCCATTTGTACAGGATTTGTATATTTTCAAGAATACCAGGTCTCTCTCTCTCTCTCTCTCTCTCACCAACATTTTTATCCTGTGCCTTTGGAATATGTTTCAGTTCACGTGGAAATCTTATTCTTCGTTGTTAAAACAGGTATTAAATGCACTAAGGACAACAATGTTCATACTGGGCATGATGTCTGTGTTCGTAGGCATTTCTTTGCTGGCACCTGATGATTCAAAAGGTATTTTGATGGGCTTTTTATTATTTTTTTAAAGACTTTTAAGTATGCAGAATATCAAGACAGGAACTTACTCTAAATTTTCAGGTGCTGAAGTCAAAGATAATTCATCTTTAGTTTCTGTGATGTCTTCAACCATTCCAAAAGAAGTGGGCAGGTACACAATACACTCTTTTACGCAGTTTAAAAAATAATGGAATTTGAATTTTCAAGCTATCTATGTTCTTTTTATGTTCTTATAAAGCATCTAGGCAACATTGGAATGATGATTCAATACTCAAGGTTTATAATATATAGATTATAGTGAGTATGCCTTGGTGCAGTGGTATGGCTTGCTGTTAGCAATTTCACAAAAAGGGGTATGGCTGCCTGTGTCTTGGCCTACCCAGACCCTGCTTTTGCAGGAATCTCCTTGCATTAGGCTGTCCTTTCATTCATCATTTCTACACTGTCTTGATGTTAATATAATAGAATGAACAACAAAATATGATGGGGAGGTTTTTGTATGACCACATATATCAGCGTTCCTTACTTGTTGAACAGTTTTCGTTATATGATTTCACTGTTGTAGCATATTCATTGGAATCTGAGCCGGATGAATATTCTGTTTGTTTGTGATTTTCACCACTGTTTGATACTGGCGTCTACGTTACAGGCTAGCTGTTCCATCTGAAGATGTACAAATTAGAGACACAAGATCATTTGTGCAAGGAATCCTGATGAAGATTTCAGATACAATAGTGAAGGCAAAGGTGCTCTAAACTGGCTTGTTGAACTCGCTTATATATAGATTTATGGTATGACTGACTATTAATGACATGAGTTTGCATCCTTTTGCAGACTGCTTGTGCGTTGTCACTTGGATTTGGAGAGGATTCAATCAATGCATCTGCGGTCCTTGTGATGCCCATGGTGTCATCAAAGATAACGGGCTTTAGAGGAAACGGGTTTGACCGGGCGAAGATTTTCTCCATGAAAAATTCTGGTTGGACTAAGATCTCTATGGATGAAGATGCTACAAAGATGCTAGAGACAAGCCCTGTGCTCCCTGAGAGCCCTTGATAGGAGTAGTAAAATGCATTCAATTGGTTATTATTAGGAGTGAATTATATCCATTTTATTGTCTTTTGTAGAAATACAAATGTTTAGGATTCATTATTTTTCCGCTTATGGAGGCATTGCTGTTTTCTCAATGAGCTGTAATTCGTCACGCTATTGTATATTCTTACCGTATATTTGAAAGAAATGAGAGTATCTTCTTTTACGGATGCTTAATTGCGCTAGCTTTCCAAATGGTGAGGTCTAGGACTCTAGCAAGCAGACAACGTTTTGTGGTAGTAAAGACTCGGGAACAACGTTTTACCTAAAGACGCTGGCAGTGTGGAGGTAGAGCGTGATGTTTGGGAGGGCTACAAGCGTAAAATTATGAGATAATTATGATATTTTTTCTGCAATCTATGCCTATACTCTTCATATAGCTGAGGTGAGAAGATGAGAAAATAAAGAGCTGAGCTGCTAACCAATATAGTACTAATTCAATTCAGTTAACCAATATAATATATTAATATTATTAATAATGCTATTTGTACCATATTTAATGTGAGAGAGGTGATACCACCAGTGTATTTGGATGCAATCTAATACCCTGTATTAGAGCGGTGGTGAGCGGTAAATGTTGTCAATTCAGAATTGTCCAACTGTTAACCAGTATTATATTCAACATTATTTCTTAGACTACATATAATGAATTCATATCACAGTAATTTTGATTGAGATAGGTCGATCCACTAGTCTACAGTTCTTAGGAAGGAAGAAAGGATTTGGTTGGTCTGACTCTGAGCTAGGTATTCATGGAGCATGGATCAATGGAGTATTCCAGCAGACAACGTTATTGGGTGTTAGAAATCAAACTCGTGTCGTGCAAAGATCTGAAAGCCTTCAACTTCTTTCAGAAACTCTCAGTTTATGCGATTGTGTCGCTGAAGGTAATTAGCGATGATGCGGAGAAGAAAGTAAAAGAAGCAGAAGAGCAGATGAATGAAGAGGTAGTGGAGCAACAAATAAAAAAAACACCAACTGATGGGGAAGGAGATGGAAATCCTGAATGGAATCACGAGATGCGGTTTGAGTTTGATCATAATGATGATCATCGTCAGTTGAAGGATGGACGGCTCTTGATTCACTTCGATCTGCGGCATCAGGGTCTGGGAATATTGGGAATCGGAGACAGAAGTATAGGAGAGGTTCGTGTGCCATTGAATGATCTGATGATCCCATATATCCCACCGTCGCCGGCGAATAATTCTGGACTTGGACTTGGAGGAGTGCAGCAGCAGCAGCGGGCAAGGTATGTGAATTATCAGGTCCGGACTTGCGATGAAAAACCCAATGGGATATTGACCTTCTCCTACAAGCTGAAGCTACTCATTAAGGTACTTATACTTTACTGATCATATATTAATAAAAAATTTGGTTATATATTAATAAATAATTTGGTTATTCCATTTGGTTTGGACAGGGTGCAGGTACTGATGATCAGCCGCGTATTCAATACCCCACAATTACATTGGAAGAAGATGACGATGATGATATTATGCACAAGTTCAACAACACTAATTCTGATATTACGAGTTCCAGATCCCAGCAGCAGCAGCAGCAGCAGGAATATTATTACACATCAAACATATCATCAGCTGCGCCTACGCCTGCGCCTGCGCCCGCACATAATAATAATAATTCGCAATCACAATCACAGTTACAAGCTGATCATCAACAAATATGCAGCAGCTGCCTACCACAATATCATCATCCTTATGATCCACCAGTAGCAGTAGCAGTAGCACGTCATCGCACCTATTATCCACCGCCACCACCACCGCCACCTCCCCCGCCCATGGCAGATCATGGGGCATCTTACCCTTACCACCCTCCTCCACCCGGCCATGGGATGGTCCATCCTCCATGGCCACCCCATCCTTACCATGATTACGGTCCTTGGAGCCCGCCAGCTGGGATTGGACGCCCACATGGACATGGACATGAACATGGGTTTTTTTAGTTAGTTTGATGATATATATATGTATATATTAATACCGGAGAATAGATCGACTTGAAATCCTGGCAGACCGGGACTGGCTGCCGGAGAGAGTGGTATGGTATGTAATAATATTAACGATGTTCCCAATGGCCCCTCCAATTCACTCACATCCATGCATCATCAGTGCATATTAATTATAAAATTATAAATTATATTATCTCAATATCTTTCTTAGATGGGAACGGCAGGCAACGTTTAATTCCATCCATCCGATGGCCGTCCTTTTCTTTTGTATCAACCATGCTTGCACTACACAGCTAATGGTCCTCCTACCCTACTCGATAGATCTTACCTTTAAATAATGTATTTCTCTAACTAATGGTCCTCAATTCTCATCCTCTCTTCTCTTCTCTTTACCTTTGAAATGCTGTTGTGCTTGTGCATGCGCGTGCCTTCCTCCTATCTCTCTCTCTCTCTCTCTTCCGTCTTTTTATTTGTCATTGTATCCATTTATCTCATTTTCGCACAAGCCAAAAGTAAAAAACGCATTGTTTCGGAAAAGTACAAAGAACATTTAAATTTTGAACACAGCCAGACTAAGCAACTGGAGTGTGACAAAATTTGAGTGCTCACGACCGGCGGACCACCAACTTAAACCTAACCTTGGTCAACACTACTGGCCCACACCACACCAACTTATGTAAGACTTAAATATCATTGTTTTGCTATTCTATCAAATAACATAATGATACGTAAAAAAATTATCTTATATATAATTGTGTTATTAGCTGAAATACGCCCACCCTACCAACAAATGCAAAAGCCAAATAATAATTTGGATACATATATTTTTGTCATTACACTAATAGAGCTAAAGTTGCGATATTATTAATCTAGATCGTCCTGTATGATTACGACTCTCGATCGGCTCCCCTTTTTAATCTTATTTATCAAGATTTCCATTTCCTTAGAAATTAAGATACAAACATACATAGGGATTTTGCAGCTTTTTTTACTCACTCATGAAATGGAGCCACTTGTCTCGTCTATATATAACTTTAACCGCTTTCGCTTTCACTTTCACTTTCGTTATAATATTCTTTATCTTTAATTTCTCTCTTTTGTTGCTTTCACTCTCTCTCTGTTCCAGAAAATGAGAGAGTCCAGACTCCAGACCCAAAAGGAAAAAGAAAAAGAGATGCTTTCTGCCTAGCCATGGTGGACAGTAGAGATAGGACAGGCAACTCGTACCATTGCTATATAAACCCTTGCGCGTACTGCATCTACTCGTTCGTCCAAACTACCTACTTTTTATTATTATTATATGTGTATTGCATTGTTTACTACTTACCTACAAATCAAGTGCATCAATGGATAAATTTCCGTTGCCCATCTCTCTCTCTGTCTCTCTGTCTCTCTGTATTAATCTTAATTAATATTTGAGATTTTCTTTTGTACGCACGTAGAACTTGGTGTGAATTTAAAGTACGAAATTTTAAGCCAGACGTATGCAACTGTATCTCTCCACTCCATCCGAATCCCATCGGAGGTTTCTTTTCATCTCAATTGGGTTGTGGGTTGTGCATTGAGAAATATCAAGGATTAATGCTAGCTAGTATCGCGAGACCAAATTAAGATTGAAAGATGAAGAAGAAAGTATCTGCACTAGTGAAGCAGATAATAGCTGCAGTGAGCTCAATTGCGAAGAATAAAACTCTGGCCCTTAGGAGCAAAACCAGAGCCATAAAGACTCGAATCATTATATTCTCGTTGCTGAACAAGAGGTTTGTGATGAGCTCCGTCTCTCACAAGCTCCAGGCTTTGCTAGGGCAGCAGCAGCAGCAACACCACTACCCTGAATCTGATGATGATCATCATCAGGAAGATCAAGACCAAAGCAAGGGCAAAGCCGGCGCATTTGTAATCAACCCAAGCAGCAGCAACAACGATATTATTAATGTTGTCGTATCCCACAGATCCCACCAGCACCAGCCAGTTGATCTTATTATTAATCCAACTGATGAAGATCACATTCACATTACGGCGGATTCGGAGGATAATATTGATATTGATGATGATATTGATCATGGGTACTTGCACCACTTGGTAGAAGCTCAAGCTCAAGCTCAAGCTCAAGCTCAAGCTGGGGATCATCACCTTGACGTGGATAGATATTGTGAAGAAGAGGATCAATTCGAATCTGTGATAGATATTGTGAAGAACTCAAAGCAACAGGCTGGGCAGGAATTCAGTCTGGAGGACGACATAGACCACGTGGCAGACTTGTTCATAAGGAGGTTCCACCGCCAAATCACAATTCAGAAACAGCACTCCTTCAGGAGCAAGAGGCACCAGTGAGAGTGACGGGGGTGACATGGCCGCCACCCACCTATTTTTTCATTATTATTATTATTATTATTTTTTTAACGGTTGAAAGTAATTTTCTCGTGTATCTTCGTCATATCTCATACGATGTGATATAATCGTATGAACTGGGCCTAGTGGCATTTTCCTCTTGAAGCGTGTGTTTGTTTGTTTGTTTTTCACTTAAACTTTTTAATATTCTTTAATATTATTAAGGAAGGCCTGAGTCCAACAGAAACGGGAGAGAAACAAGGTTGGGCCTAGAGGCCCTACCTAGAAGCCGGCCCAACTAAGATGGGGAAGCAACCTTTCTTAAAAACAAACAAACCAGCTCAATCAACACCGTGAATCCGGCCATCGTAGATGAATGAAGCAACCTTTGGTGTTTTCCATTTCCACCAAAGGCCAAAGCGAAGGTATGCCTGTTGATTGCTCTTCTCTTCTTCCCTTTACATATTTTTACTTGATAAAGAGTTGTATTGATTTAATATATGGATGCATGCTGGTTTATTTACTTGATTTTGAATATAGGGTTTCTATTCTTAATTGTGGTTGAGTTAGTTCTTATGTTGGATTGTGATTTTAGAGGCTTTAGGTCTAACTAGTCTAGTAGTACTTCCTGGCTACTACTCACAAAGACAAAGTCCCTAATTTGTCACAAAGACAAAGTCCTAGTTTGTGGTTACCCAAATTAAGGTTCTAAACCCTATCTCATGGTTTTGTGATTTTTCAATCTATAACATTTGTATGGCTTGTTGCTTTTGTTCTGATATCCTAAATAATCCTTTTGCAATCGTAATATTTTGGGGTTTGCATTGCAGCATCCATGTGATTATCAAGCTTATACAATGGAGCACCCAAGCAATGATGACCAATGCAAGAGTTCGGTGGTAGTAACATATGGCAATCAAGTTACTGGTATTGAATTTGAGCTTTATAGTATCATGATTCATTCTTGCAACCCCTTTCTTTTCTTATTTAAGCCCCATTTTTTGCTTACAATTCTCTGATGCTGCAGATAAAGTGAAAGAAAGGTCAAGAGACCAAAGAGAACCTCTTCCAGGGGAGCCTAAATGTGTTATATGTAACCGTTATGGTGAGTACATATGCGATCAGACAGATGACGACATTTGCAGTTTGGAATGTAAACGGACTGTCCTCTGCAGGGTTGCCAACACCCAATTGCCAGTCAACCTACCACCTCCCAAAAGATTAACTGCTACTGATGAGTGCTTTTATGTTCGAGATTCTGGTAGTCAATCAGGATCTGTATTCTTCTCTAGTGACCAGACTGAATTGCTTAGAAGCAGACTTGAAATTCATGTGAAGGGAGACTTAGTTCCGCTACCTATCTTGTCCTTCTCTTCATGTAATTTTCCTCAAAAGCTCCTCCAAAATATAGAGGCTGCAGGTTTTGAAATGCCAACACCTGTCCAAATGCAAGCAATCCCAGCCGCTTTGAGTGGAAAAAGTTTGCTTGTGTCTGCTGAAACAGGGTCTGGGAAAACGGCTTCCTTTCTGGTTCCAATTGTTCATCTTTGTGCAAATTTTCGCTTTGAGCAGTTTAGAGACCGGAAAAAGCCAGTAGCAATGGTTCTAACACCAACCAGAGAGCTCTGTATACAAGTTGAGGAGCAAGCTAAGTTGCTCGGAAAGGGTTTGCCTTTTAAAACAGCACTTGTGGTTGGTGGTGATGCGATGGCCAGACAACTTCACCGCATTCAGCAAGGAGTGGAGCTCATCGTGGGAACTCCAGGCAGGCTAATTGATCTTTTAACGAAGAATGATATACAACTGGATGATGTAAAGATTTTTGCTCTTGATGAGGTGGACTGCATGTTTCAAAGGGGATTCCGAGATCAGGTAATGCAGATATTTAGGGCTCTATCACAGCCCCAGGTTTTACTGTATTCTGCAACGGTCTCCCAAGATATAGAGAATATGGTAAGCTCTATGGCAAAGGATGTTGCTGTAGTCTCCGTTGGCAAGCCCAACAGGCCAAATAAGGTTGTGAAGCAACTACCTATCTGGGTTGAGTCGAAGCAAAAGAAGCAAAAGCTGTTTGACATATTGATGAGCAAGCAGCATTTTATGCCACCTGTGGTGGTTTATGTGGGATCAAGATTGGGGGCCGATCTCTTATCTAATGCAATTACTGTCACCGTTGGAGTGAAAGCTTTATCAATCCATGGGGAGAAATCCATGAAGGAGAGGAGAGATATAATGAGGTCATTTTTAATGGGCGAGGTTCCTGTTATTGTAGCCACTGGGATTTTAGGCCGTGGAGTTGATCTCGTGGGTGTAAGACAGGTAATTCTGTTTGACATGCCCAATTCCATGAAGGAGTATGTCCATCAGATTGGTAGGGCATCTAGACTGGGAGAAGAGGGTACAGCAATTGTATTTGTAAGTGAGGAGAATAAGAACTTGTTTCCAGATTTGGTTGAGATTCTAAGATCTTCTGGTGCAGCTATACCTCGGGAGCTTGTTAATTCACGGCATATGACAGTGACACGCCCATTCTCCAATGGCGGAGGCCAGAAAAAGAGGAAGCATGAATGAAATTTCCTAATGTTATTCTAGTCAGTGTCTGGATAAGTGTACTAAGGCAAAGAATAGTTTTCCCTGAATTCAGGGCATGGTTAAGTGAGTATAGTCCTGGCGGTTATGTACATACAAAAGAAAGAGAAATGAAAATGACTCTGTCATTCATGCTAATTCAAACTGAAAATAAAAATTTATTGTATTCAATTCAACAACTATTGTTTATTGTTCATGAGATTGCAAAGGAATTAAAAGGGACCAAAGTGACATAAGTCAGAATTCGGAGGATAGCATCGAAATTAACTAAAAGAAATATGCCCTTTATCGCAAGTAAGTATTTTGGGTGGGTCGGGGTAGGAGTCCGAGTGGACAGAAGACGCGTAGTGATCGGACCTCGCCTCGCCTGTGACCAGTTCCAGTGGGTGTTGGTTAGATTTCGCGCCCACCCTCGCCTCGTATCGATACGCATATTATAATTTATATTGTCAAATGGTCGCATACGAGTCGAATAGATAATAGCCTGCCTTAAAGCCTTTGCCATAATTTTTCCTTTTCTTTCTGAAAGTTGCCTTGGCCATAATAAAAAGAAGGAAGATTAATCGACCAACCAACAACCCTCACGAGAGAAAGAGCGAAGTTGGATAGGGCCCTCTTTATTATCGAACAACATCAGGTAATTATTTTGATGGTTATTGTGTTTGAAATCCTCCTTTACGCCAAACAAAATCGGAACTGCAGTTGGTCTCAGAATTTCAAGATTGGCGATCAAAGTTTCCAACTTGTTTGACTTTCTGATTGCAATTATTAATTTAATGGATTTGGTATATCAAACGTATTTTTCTTGTTTCTTCGCCTTCCATGTTCGTATTTAGTTTCAATTTATGCTTCTGCGTAATTATACTTAAGTCTTTTTGTTTGGTTGATTGATTTTGATCAAATCTGCGCGTGGTGGCTGCCATGGTTGTATGTTTCTGCTTCTTTTTTCTTTTCTTTTCTTTTATTACGGGAGGAGGTGAGACATTCTGAGGATTGCTGTATTGCAATTGGGCATTCTGAGGATTAATCCTAGAAGCCAAATTCAGCCATTTCTTTTACTTCTTTCTTCTCTGCTTTGTGGTTGCACGATTATCCCCAGGGATATTACCGTGTATTTGTCCTACCTTGGAAAAAAGAAAATGAAAGAAAGAAGATTTCTTTACATCTTTGCTCCTATATTATATGCCCATCCTACTTGACAGTACACTCCGCACGCACAGTCGATTCGAACAATCCTAGCATTATAAATAGCAATTATTTAACAACAATCTTACTCACAACCCTAGCATTCAAATTTGTTGAATGATTGTAAACTCTTTTCAGCTTTTCAACTTTTCAACTTTGGCTACTCACACTCAGCATATAAGCTCATTCTAGTATTTGTTTTCAGTGTGAGAAGAATTTGAAAACAGACAACGACATTATGATGAACGGGACTCACAGTGTGGGGGAATGTTCTAGCTCAACTTCCCTGAGCAGCCAACAGGATGTTGAGGATGACTGCATGATTGCTGTTGTACTATCAGAAGAGTATGCTAAGTTAGATGGTGCAGTTGCTAGACGCCTTTCCAACCTGGCACCTGTTCCTGTAATGAAATCTCTTTTCTAACCCCCCCCCCCCCCCCCCCCCCCCAATTCACTGTTTTCATTCATAGGTTAATTTAATATTACCAAAAAGTCTCCAATGGTACACAACTAGAACTTAATCTCAATTAGTGAGTCCAAAAATATTATTTCTCTAATGCATCTAGCATATTGACGTATGGAGTGTAATACACCTTGATGAAGTTATTGCTAGCAAAGTTTTCACGGTATAGAATCATTCTTCTTTAGAAATTAGAATTGCATGCTACATCCTTTGATTGTTCTCTTTAAGAACTTCATTAGGCTGGAAATAACTTTTTTTTGTTTTGTTTTGAATTTTTCCATTTAATAAGGAAAAGGTGCTCGTCTTAATATGTGATGGTATTATTATGTTTTTAAAATTCCAGCATATTCCTCGGATAAATTCCTACATCCCCAACATTAGTGATGCTAGTTTGGACCATCAACGGCTTCTCCAGAGGTATGTTTTATGATTCTGAAAAAAATTATGTACTGGTTATTTCGTGGTTGAGAACTTTCCTAAAGGTGTTGAAATAGCTTCTTTATCATTTCCGTTTTGGTTGATGGTGACAAATAATTTAAGTAAAAGAAGTCAAATTTCAAAGGTAACAACATAAAAGCACACACTTGGAAATGGCCGGAGGTATTGGAAAACCTCACTGTAAATAAGCATATTTGTAACTCATGGAAAACCACATGAGTACTGCAAATGGTAGTCGTAAATATTATGTATTGAGGCTAAAACTTACCCTGTTTGTTGCTAATGTAGGGGGTAGTTTTACCCGTGGGTTGATGGGCGTACAAAAATCAAACTTGTATTATAATAGTTAGAACTATTATCAACATGGAAGTTCTGAGATGAATTTATTTTTGCTTTTCTTTTTACTTTTTTTTTATTAACAGGTGTTTGAGTGTCTCATTTATGCAATTATGATATTCTGATATGAACCACATTTGGAGTGAACTTCAGCCCAGACTTGTTACCTCACATGAAAAACACATGTACCTTGTGGGCTTAGGCATTGAGTGTGATATACAACTCTCAGTCCAGCATCTTAGTGGACTAGAATATCTGTTTTGCACTCTATATACGTCTGTTCCACTTCTTCTTGGGTGATAGTTTAGTGAATCTCTTCCTCACAGGTTACATGTCTATGGTTTATACGAAGTAAAGGTTTCTGGTGATGGAAACTGTCAGGTATCTGCATTTCTGAAGTAATAGGTAATATTATACTTTGTTTTAAATTGATTTATTCTCTCTCTTTTTTTTTCTTTTTTTTTGGGTACAGTTTCGTGCACTTTCAGATCAAATGTACAAGTCTCCGGAGTATCACAAGCATGTCCGGAAAGAGATTGTGAAACAGGTAGAGTGTAATTATGAAGTACCCAATTGCTGTGCTGTAGAGGGACAAAATTTAAAAGGTGAATTTGGATTTAGAAAATTGGGCTGGAGATCCATTGATATTAGACGAAAGATCAATTAATGAGAGAACCAGAGATTACTGAAACTGAGGAGAAAATCAGAGATTACTAATTACGAGAAATTGAAGGAAAAAAAAAACAGAGATTACTGAAAAATATCATCACTGCTATTTGTGGCTGTTCATATTTGATTAAATTAAAACTTCATACACCAGTGTTGCTACCTTTGCATCACAACCTTTACCATTGCTGTAATCCCTGGATGCCAAAGCTACTGTTTTTTGCTCTGACAACCACTGCTTCCCGTGTTCCTTCTCTCTACAAACATAATTATCATGATGAATCTATATTCTATAATGACCTTTCAGTGCAACATTTTGTCACCAACTTTTTCATTAGTTTATAAGGCGAAAAAAAGTGAATGGCTAATTTGAGTTTGCTTATCTTGCACTACTTTTCCTGTTTTCAGCTCAAAGACTATCGTTCTTTGTATGAAGGCTATGTCCCTATGAAGTACAAACGCTATTACAAGAAAATGGCAAAGTATGTTAAATTGTTTAGGGTCAGTAGTTCTGTTATTTGATAAAATATGCTTCTGCGAGTACGCATGAATTTAATTGCTGGTTTAGTTTCATCTATTTTTCCTGGCGGAGGAGATTTGTATTCACTTTTAATTTATCACATGACACAGATCTGGTGAATGGGGGGATCATGTTACCTTACAAGCAGCAGCTGACAAGGTCCGTTAATGTTGTCCCAATTTTCTGTAGATAGATATGCATATCGTTCTTATAATATTTTTCTATTTTCAATTCTGGTTGATTTGCACTCAAACATGAGTAATTTTATCCGTCATAACTCTTTTTTCCTCAAGAGTACAAAGCTTATTGTATAATGTCTAAAAGAATATAAAACTCTAAAATAATAGGCCTATAATACGTGTGTGAAGAGCATTAATTAAAAGAAGGGTACAATGACTCAATAATGTGGTGTTTGGTACTCATATTGGCTTATTGGTCTCACTTTAATCTTGGCTTTGCGTCACAGGCTCTCATCAATGGTTTGATACAGTTGAATATAGACTGGGTTCATTGCTTTTTCATTGTCAATGTTGAGGTCTTCTAATATGTAGGTTGTTTATACCCCAAAAGATTGAGTTATGGGACAACAGTTTGTATATCAAGCACCCCCTCATGTGCAGCCCTGTTCTGCATTACAATGACTTAACAAATAAATGCCCAATGAAGGATTTGAACGCAAGCCTTTTTGGAACCAAAACTTTGATGCCATTGTATCCGAAAAGCTTAATGTTAGAGCGTCACTGTGGTTTTTGTTACTTAATGTTGTTAGGGTTGGGAAAAAAATGAATCTTTTGTTTGTGTTACTTTAGAGAGTGAATGTGGTGGCATTGACTTAGTTCTATTAATTAAGAGGGGTGATTTCCCCACTCCTTTTTCTCCTATTTTATCCACTTACACTCCTTTTTTATAACTAAAAAAGGAGTGTAAGTGGATAAAATAGGAGTGGGGAAATCATTGCCCTTAATTAATTGTGGTTCATTGTATTTTGGGTTATTCAAAAAAGACCTAATTAGTTAATAGATATTGGTTGTAGGTTAATGGGAAATATTGGCATATATCTTACCAAATTATATGATGTCTGGTATCTATCAAAATTTATTGATGATGGCATCAAGTTACTTTTGCAATTTAACAGGAAGTATTTCGTTGTGAGATGGAACTTGATTATATTGAATCTTTAGTCACAAATTAAAAAGAGCATTGGAAAATGATGCAATAATACAAATATTATTAGATAATATCATTTTAGGAAGATATTCATATACATCAGTGCAGATAACTTCTCAAATGTCTTGTTGTCATGTTGTTCAATGTCTTTTCATGTTCTGTAATCCTGCTTGTTTGAATGCAGTTTGAAGCAAAGATTTGCCTTTTGACATCATTCAGAGATACTTGCTTTATTGAAATTATGCCTCAGTACCAGCCACCAAAACGTGGTAAGATGGAAGGATCTTTTCTCTTTTCTGCTCATAGTATTAGGTTAATATTGCATCACCGAAAAGAAAAATAAAAAATAAAAGACTCGCTAGTCTCCTGGCACTGCCCAGTTCTGAGATTAGGGGCTGCCTATTATGGAGACAGGTGGGCTTTGACTCATATTTTAGAACTACTTTGGTTTGATAAAACAAGGGATGGCTCAGGCATTAATGTATGGTATTGTGGAAACTTGGCATGTATCTGTAAAGTGTCTCTAGGCTGAAACCCTGGAAACTGCTTGTGGTAATTGAGAGTTTCATAATCAAAGATGTTAGCTTATTGAATGAAATTATCACTGAAGAGAGGCTGGTAGTGGGAGGAAGTTATCTGAAAAGAAGAAGGAGATGAAGGAATTAGGAAACATTTAGAATCATATTATGGTCTTCTAGGAGGCTAAGTAGTAATCCTAAATATGGTAAATATGGTATCAGTGTCAAAAGAATGCATACCTCGCTTAAAATTTTTATCAACCAAGATCTTCGCTATCTTTAGGATACTTGGTATAACCGAGCAAGAGAGAATATAATTTATGGCAAGAAAAGACTTTATGCATAAGAGTTATGTTTTAAATCTAATTTGTACGAAAAGAAATACATATATAACAAGAAAGAGCCATGAAACTATGGGCGTTGGGCAACTTTTTTCTTCAAGGAATTGGACTTAATTTTCGAATTCCTTTTGATCACATTTCCCATTTCTATCAACAAACTTTGCGCACATTCTTTAACTGGCTGTTGGATTTCCATTTGCCAATATTCTTCTTTCATCTATTTCAATTTCAAATTCTGACAATTTCAAAATTATGCAGAACTGTGGCTGAGTTTTTGGTCTGAGGTTCATTACAATTCACTATATGAAATCCGAGGTGTTTTTCTATTTTCATTTTCTATTTTTTTTTATTTGCAGTAAAAATATCATTTTATAGGTGTCAAGTGCTGGACTATGGCTTTGATTATATCTTAGTTGTGTGTCATCTTTGCAGATGCTCCAGTTCAACAGAAGCCAAGGAGGAAACACTGGTTGTTCTAGGCTTCTAGTGTGATTCCTGAAGTTATGACAGTCAGGATGTTCAAAGATTTTAGCACTGTGCATATGTTCCCGAAGATGTTGCATTTTCATGATTTATTCGTTTTGAAAATTTAATTCAATTAGAAACTTTATATACATACTAGTATTATTATTTAGGCCATTACGGCTGTAAACGGTTTGTAGTGTTTTCAAGATGTATTATTCTTGTTCAATTCTTTTGTTAGACCAATGATGTATTATTCTTTCAAAGGGGATTTATATGTGAAATTAGATGATCAGTATTCACTATGGATTTTCAATGTTTGTTTTTCTCCACCCAGTTTTGTGAAGCACTGAGGGCAATATTTATAACAGGTGGACGTATAATATACTATGTGGTCATATTCCAGTTCATATATAATTTCTCCTTTGTTATCAAACAGCCATTAGTTTTCAATATATTTATGATGTTTACTGTTTTATGTGCCTGATTTGCTGAATCAAAATCATAACTTAACTCCGACCCAAAGCCACCTTTGGGTTCAGCAACGGAAAACAAAAGAGAAACAGATTTTGAAAATAATGAAGCCAGCAAGAGTACATGCTTAGAAACTTCATCTGCATCAACACGATCTTGCATGATGACAAGCAAGAGAAAATGGTTTGAACAATATTCTCATTATAAATATAAATTGGAAAAGAAAAGAGAAAAGTAGAAATTAAGGCAGAGGTTAGGGAGAAACAAAAAACATAGAGATGATGAGGGAATGACGAGTAGAAAATTAGAATGATGATCTGGTCATCACTTCCAGTTGTTGGCGACGATGTCAGCCAAATCAACAACCCTTTGTGAGTAACCCCACTCGTTGTCGTACCAAGCAATGACCTTGACCATGTCATCTCCCATGACCATTGTCAATGATGAGTCAACTGTGGAGGAGACATCTGTGCACCGAAAATCGACAGAAACAAGGGGCTCATCACAAACAGAAAGGATACCTGCGAGCTCCTTTGCAGAACTGTCTCTGAAAGCAGCATTCACTTCTTCTGCAAAGGTCTTCTTAGTGACTTGGACAACAAGATCAACCACAGACACATTTGGGGTGGGCACACGCAGGGCAATGCCATTTAGCTTGCCCTTTAGACTTGGAAGGACTAGAGCCACGGCCTTTGCTGCACCTGTTGAAGTGGGAACGATATTCAGAGCAGCAGCTCGTGCACGCCTTAGGTCGCGGTGGCTGGCATCAAGTAGCCTCTGGTCACCCGTGTACGAGTGTGTGGTGGTCATGGTGCCCTTGATGATGCCTGTCCATGTACAGTACTCAAGGATGAGCTAGCCTAACGTTACTATTGATTGATTGATTGATTATGCTTTTTCATACTGGTGGTGGTGTGGTGTGAATTGAAAGTAACTTACCAAACTTTTGATCGAGGACCTTGACGAAGGGGGCAAGGCAGTTGGTGGTGCAAGAAGCATTGCTAATGATGGTTTCATCTGGGCTGTAGGCGTCAGCATTGACCCCGACCACATAGGTGGGGATGTCGCCCTTTCCTGGGGCAGTGATAAGCACCTTCTTGGCCCCTGCCTGTAGGTGCTTGCCTGCACCCTCCCTATCCACAAACACACCAGTGCCTTCTATCACTAGGTCAATCTCCAAGTCCCTGAAGTGCAGTGAATTTGTATTCATTCAGTCATTCTATATATCATGCAAGACAAGACAAAGACAGTGGCAGTGGCAGTGGCAGTGTTTGCTAGCTAGCAAGTTTATTAGTTAAGCTCGAAGCTCAAAGCTCGTAGCCAGGTGAACAGGAGGACTTACTTCCAAGGCAGGTCTAGGGGATTGCGGCTAGACACGACCTTGATGACCTTGCCGTCAACGGAGATTCCATTATCACCAACGGGCTTGACATCGGCATCGAAGATTCCAAGTGTAGAGTCGTACTTGAGGAGGTGGGAGGCCTGCTTCACGCCTCCAGTGTCGTTGATGACAACGACATCAAGAGGGGAGTCCTTGCGCCCATGCCAGCACCTCAAGAAGTTCCTTCCAATTCTTCCGAATCCATTTATAGCCACCTTTAGCTTCGCCTCCGCTATCCCTTTTTGTATCCTCCGCTGCTTCCCACCTTCAATTCGTTCCCAATTACAAAGACACATTACTCACGCAATCACATTTACCATTTACCATTTACAAGTAGACATGACATGAGTCAGCCTTCCATGTCAAATGTGGTCAACCAAACCAACCATTGTGCTAAAACGTTATATAATTATTTAAGTAGTAGTATTTTTTATGATCATGGAAACGTGTATATATTGGTATGGTAAATAAATAGATAAATGGACGGTCGGATAATTAAGAGGACAAGAAAAGCAGTACTCACAGCAGAGGTCTGGAAGGAAATGACTGAAAACAAATCGTCTGAGGTCTTCCTTCCAAAAGGAAGACAAGCTGATGAGGTGCGGAGACCTGAGAATTCTGCAAATCCCTTTCCATTTGCCTGGAAATGGAGAAATTTATCATTTGAGCATCACATGAGTTGTTGATGACAATATAACAATATAAAACACTAGCAATGAATGCACAACAAGGATGGTACGGCTTTAATTTTACTCTTCACTTGCATAGACATACATGTATACATATGTATATATCTATATAGAATATAGATAGAGAGAAAGAGCTAGCATGCATATGCATATATATACTTTCATAAAATGAGTGACACATGAAAATCAGAAGCCGCATGAACCTGAAGAGATGGTTTGGCCACAGAAAGAATAGCCGAAGCCATCCTTGCGAGGGAGGATGGAGGATATGGATATGGAGGTAGCTAGCTAGCCTATAGCTTAAGCAAGCAGTAGTAGAAGCGGTAGCAAGACAGTCAGAAAATTTGCAAGGTCGTTATATATTCATTTTAATAAGATAGAGATGATGAGAGAGCAAGTGTTGGGAGTGACTGAAATAAAACCAAGAGGGGATGAGATTATGGATAGCCTATCATTCAACGAATGGCTGAGGTTTAAAGCTTTGTGTTTGTGTCCCCCTCTCCCCTCCACTCCTATTCCTCCTCCTATACACTCTTCCTTTCCTTGCATTCCCCATCTTCTCTCTCACTTTCTTCTTTCATTTTGTACTCATTTTGGACATTAGGCCTTTGGGCCTTTGGGCCTGAGCCTGGTTCTCTTAGTCGCCCAACTTACATATACAGAGAATATAAAGCTGCTGCAAGGATGAAAAAGTCTACCAGACAGGATCCAAGCATTGTCCCTCCTATGCTTTGGCATACACATACAACGGCAAACATTAATAACGCGGAGGGGAAACGCTCTGTGTGTTGGGCGTATTGGCGACGGAGGTGGGGAGAAAGAGTTAGAGAAGATAAAGCGTAAGATTTGAAAGAAAAGAAAAAGAAAAGCATCATTGGTATTTTGATTTTTAATTTTTATTAGGCTATTATAATTTAAGCTAACAGTGTTCTGTTGTATAGCTGCAAACACATGTTCCTCAACAAACCCTCATTCGTTTCAATACGGATTTTGCAAACTATCTGGTCACTGAAACTGCAATAGAGGTTTGTTGGCTTCCCACTGAACAAATTCTAACTCCAAAACGACATGAGGATCGTTCTATGTGTAGTCTCCGAACATACATTCGTTTTTCAGTGGGTAGCTTCCAAAACATCCATTTGCTCTTCGATGGGTAGCTTTCAAACATCCATTTGTTTTTCAGTGAACACGGTTGCGACCCTACTTTTACTGTGATAGTGAATGGCCCGGCAATGGCTATGGGCACCTTCTTTCACTTGAGATTAAAGTTGATCAACTAAACAGAGTGAGTAACCAAACAAATACATCTTTGTAATAGATTCTTTCTTCAATAAAGTTCAAATCTTCTTTCCCGAATTTGCCTATGTGAAATAGAGTTCAAATATTAATTATAGACCCAACCCAACCCATCAAAAGTTGTATCAACATGTTACATTACAGAATGAGACTGGTATAAAAGCGTCGTAAACTTGATAATTATAATTGAACAGAACTAGCAATTGTTTCATGTATCAATGAAACTAACATCAAAAGGCATCAGCAATGAAAAAGTGTTACTGTAGGAGCATTTCCAGTTTTCTAGACAGTTACAGCGTTTCTTTTGAGATCTGAAGATCCATCTAGGGAGTTTTCTTGAGATTCAAAGTGGGGTTTTTTGTATTTAACTTATTATCACAACAACATAAAAGACGAAAATCCCTAGGCATCATGCATAGATTGGATTCCATAAACAACAGAGAGCACAACACATAGTTAGAAAGTTAGAACTGGCTCGCATAACCTCATTTTAGCACATAGCTTCTGAAAGTAAGCTTTAGATACTGTTTTCTACTAACTGAAAGTGTTACTTCATTACATCTAGACTAATGTAACCTCACTCTAGCACATAGCTTCTGAAAGCACATTAGTCTAGGACCCAAAGACCTTGACCACAGGAATGTCAATCTAAATTTTTTGAGCTGCTCTTGACTAAAAAGTAACATAAATTAAACAAGCCTCCAGCTTCTTAAGGCAAAGAAGCAGAGAACTAAACGACTCAAAGGTATTTAGTATGGTCCAGGGCAGATGCCAATTTGTTTTTCTTCTTTTCTCTTTTGAAAAGGTCCATCTTTCACAGCAATGTAGCTCAAAAGTAGGTCTACAATGAAAATTGCAGCCAACTCACAAATCAACCTTGGAAGAATTGTAGATCCTTGAATAAAAAATATATTTAATTAAACTAAGCTAAGCCTAATCCAACTCAGAAATTCAAACTACTAACCCAACCCTCATAAATTGTTGTTTTTCATTTTCACTTTGTAGATGGTCAATATGTTCTATTGAAAAAAAAATATATCAATATGAGATCTTGTACAGAATCATCTTCCATTTCTCAATTACTTAATCTTTGATTCGGTATATAGGAGGGTAGGAATGCAATTTTACACTACAACGTGAAAAATTGAAGCCTTCCTTCCACAAAAATTAATATGCACTTGAATTGAAGAAACAAACTCACTAGCAACTTGTCATGTCATGCTTGCATAACTCATTAAAACAGATTGCTTGGTCAAATCAGCTAATGTTTAAGATAAGTTGCTGCAGGAAGAATCTATTCAATATAAAGTTTTCTACCAATATATATTCTTAGTCTGAATTACCCCAGGCGAGCAATCTCTCCTTTCTCACATGAAAAAGGCAAGGCAAAAGAGAAACAAAAGCATAGCCAAAATGGGGGAAATGACAGTATTTTTTAATAAATATTGAGCAATCTAGATGACAGACGGAAGAACAAAAGCTAGAATTCAATAAATTTAATTAGCAGGATTCTAAGACTACCATCAACCAGGATGCATATTCGTTAGAAATTTAGAAGGCAAAGAGCATGAAATGCAATAGTTAATACTAGCAGCATACATGGCTTCAACTTCAGCTAATGTGACATCAATCATCATCAATAAAGTAAGGATCAAGGGCAAAACAAGGCAAGGCAGTAGTATCTCAATTATGACTAGGAACTGGGAACTGGGAACTAGGAAGGAAGGAGGACTACTGACTGACGGATGAGACAGAAGAGCTGCTGAGCTGAGCAATGATATTGGATTCATGGCGAACTGGACTCTGGAGCAGTTAGTGAAGTGAATGCCTGCCTGCCTGGTCAGTGGTCATATGTTACAGCTCATATATTCATACTCTGAGTATCTGAAGCTTGGTGGAGAAGGCAATTGCAACCCAATCGGGCTGGGAAGAGGACCACTGCAGCTGCTCGATTTCGGCCCCGGCTGTATAGGCCAGAATGGGATCCAGGCCACCCTCCACCGGCTGGCCCATGGAGGAGAGGTCCCAGATGAGAGCCTGGGAGTCATCTCCGGCAGTGCAGATGTGGCAAGAGCTGTGAGGGGCCCAGGCAATGGCGTTGACGCTGGCCTGGTGCCTCTGCAACTCGACGACTGGGAGGGTCGGGAAGCGGATGTCCAGGACGACCACCTTGGCGCTGTCCATGATGATGGTGGCCATGTACCTGGGGTCTTGCTTGTTCCATCCCAGCCGGACCAGGGGGGTGTCGGGCTCCGAACTCTCGTAGATGATGGTCGAGTGCTCCTTGTCGCGCAGGTCGAACACTCTCACGGAGCCGTCTGCCGAGACGGAGGCGAAGACACCAACGCCGCCCCAGGCGATGTCGTAGACCTCCTTGTCGTGGGCGATGAGCTGGGTGTCCACCGCCTCGCGCTCTATGTCCCAGATAGTGCAGGTAGTGTCGATAGAGGAGGTGCCGATACGCTTGGGCTCCGCCTCGTTCCAGTCGAAGGAGGTGAGGGGCCCACAGAACTCGGAGCTCTTGTTGCCGTTGAGGAGGGACTTGAGCTCCACTGACGAGGAGGAGGAGGAATCAGACTCCTCGTCCTCCCCGGAGATGCGCCACACGCGGAGGAAATCGCTCGAGGTGGCCAACAGGTCTGGCTTCTGGCACTCCTTGTCCGGGATGAAGATGGTCTTGGTCGGCGGGTACGGGTGCTCGAACGACAGGTTGGGGTCCGACCGGATCTCCCCGTTTGAGTCGTCCAGCTGCACGATCTCCACTTGGTTCGGGTACTGCTCCCGGAGACTTGCGATGGCCAGCCGGTACTTCTTGTCCCGACGGACGCTCCAGTTCATGGCGTAGATGTGCCATGGCGCCTCATACGTGTAGATCTCCGATCGTTTCTGCTGCTCATCTGACCCGTCCTGATTCGGATCGCTACTCCTACTGGCCCCCATCTCTCTCTCTCTCTCTCTCTCTCTCTCTCTCTCTCCAATAATAATATTTTCCGATTTATTATTTATCACCAACCCTGCCCTGCCCTGCCCCGCCCCCAAACAACTGCAAACCTGAAGCCTAACCGAACCCCTCCTCCTGCAGATAGTATTATTTATCTTGGACTTCCAGAACCAGAAAGAAGCAAAATTAACCTTGGACTTTTAATTCAGTAGAGGAAGAACCTATCTGATTTTGCCCTGAGACTGAGAGCCGTCGCGAATTTTTCCCTTCTCCTTCTTCATCTTATCCCTCGATATTTTTCAGACTATAAATTTTACTTTTAAAAAATAAAAACCAATAAAGTTATGTGCCGTTTCTTAATTCTTATCGTTTCAATTTCTGTCGTTACATTTTCAACGACGTATTGTTTTCTCCCTTCCCTTTGAACGGCATCTCATGCTATGTCGTTACTTATATAATTTCGTCGGAGGGGCCACGGACTCACGGGTTAAGTGATACGGGTCACGATACCGCTATCTAGCTAGCTAGAGAACGCTACTAGTCGAGACTTGAGAGAGAGAGAGGCCCTAGAATTATCAGGCGTTTTAAATAAACGCCTAAAGGAGACCTTGCTGCTGAATCCAATACCGGCCGGAGAAAGAGGAGGACGGGTTTCACTTTCTGGGTTGGCCAAGTCAGTTTTCGTTAAGGGGAAGGGGCAAAAAGAAAAAGAGTGGGTGATGGTGTTTATGGGCCATGCAGATTCAGTATTAAAAAAAAGACATCTTGGCTGATGATGAATTATGATATAAGGCTACGCAATTGCAATCTGCAGTATGTAAAGTAAATAGAGCGGAAGACGAAAGTTGAAGCCGAGTATTACTTTGACTGAGCTCTATCCTCCTCTTCCCAAGTTCCCAGTCTGGAATTGATTTTGCTATTAGGCAATAGAGGAAGGAGAGGTAACATTCTGTCCTTTATTCTTGTTTTTCTTTTTAGCTTTACATTTTATAAAGGCCAACGTTCACCGAAAATTCATATTCATTTTAGATTTCAGAAAACGACGTGGGAGGAATGAGTAAGATTTGATTAGTATAGTTATTAGTATGCTATGCATCATTAACCCCAAAAAAAAACCAACCTCTGAGTTTGGGATATGGGAGGGGATTCACCCTACCTCTGTGATTTGTACAACAGATCCCACCTTACTTCTCCCAGTCAAATTGTCAAGAATTAGTTGCATTGATATATTATGGAGCCTAGGATCTTAAGCTCGAAGGGAACCATATTGAATCTATAATTTGCTTGAGTCTTTTCAAGCCAAGTGTTGTTTCTCATTCATTTTCCATTCCTTCATTTGATACCTCATATAGTTCCTGCCGTTCACACTCTCAGGCAGGCAATCGGCAGGTCGAACTGTTGTTAAAGGTCTAACACTCAGTGTTTGCAGAAAGACACGCTTCTGTTTGTTTGTGTACCGAAAAGAAGACAATTCTGTTATGATGGTTGCATGCCTTTCATGTACTCCCGAGGTTCTCCCCAAAAGTAACCTATTCACCAGCTCTAGGGTAACCAAATTCGGTTCTCAGGAAGCTCTCACCTTACTCCAAAATTGCGCCACTTTCAAACATCTCAAGCAAATCCATGCTAAGATTATCCGGAGTGGTCTTTCTCACGATCAATTACTTATCAGGAAACTCATTCACCTTTGCTCTTCCTATGGGAAAATGGACTATGCCACTCTCATATTCCATCAAATCCAAGGCCCCCTTACTTTTACTTGGAATCTAATGATCATGTCCTATACCATCAACGGCTGCTCACAAGAAGCCCTCCTTCTGTATAGCCTTATGATACGCCAAGGATTTCAACCCGATAAGTTCACCTTTCCGTTTGTTATCAAAGCTTGCATTGCTTCTTCCGCATTTGAGCAAGGAAAAGTGGTTCATGGGTTATCCATAAAAAATAGTTTCTCCAGAGACATGTTTGTTCAAAATACTTTAATGGACTTCTACTTCAAGTGTGGAGAAATAGATTGTGGATGCAGGGTGTTTGAAAAAATGCGTGTACGAAATGTAGTTTCATGGACAACCATGATTTCGGGGCTAGTTGCTTGTGGGGAATTGCATGCTGCCCGAGCGGTTTTTGAGCGAATGCCAGCTAAAAATGTTGTTTCATGGACAGCAATGATGGATGGGTATGTTAGAAATCAGCAACCTGAAGAGGCTTTTGAGCTGTTCTGGAGAATGCAGGTTGGTGGTGTTAGGCCAAACGAATTCACGCTGGTAAGCTTGCTGAAAGCTTGTACCCAATTGGGGAGCCTCAAATTGGGTAGATGGATTCACGACTTTGCTCTTAAAAATGGATTTAAACTTGATGTTTTCCTTGGGACAGCTCTTATTGATACGTATAGCAAATGTGGTAGTTTAGAGGACGCAAGGAGAGTATTTGACGAAATGCGAATCAAGAGCTTGGCTACATGGAATGCAATGATTACAAGCTTGGGTGTACATGGGTTTGGAGAGGAAGCCCTTGCCCTTTTCGCAGAGATGGAGAAGGTGAACGTAAGGCCAGATGCAATCACTTTTGTAGGTGTTTTATCTGCTTGTTTGCATACAAATAATCTGGAGGCTGGTTGTAGGTATTTCAAATACATGAGTAAACACTATGGTATTACGCCTATTTTAGAACATTACACTTGCATGATTGAACTATATAGCCGTGCTGATATGTTAGATGAGGTATGCAAATTAGCGCAATCCATGCCTGTAAAGCAAAACAGATATAAAGCAGAGGACAACGACAATCATCTTTCACTCGTGCAGAGGAGTTAGATTGCTTAAGAGTCTGAGTTGGTATATGCACTTGAGAGCTTCAAGTATGATCTGGGTTAACTATCTGACTGATAAATGACTGGATTTTGATTACGTAACAATATATGTGTGCCACAGCAAGACCAAGACCAAGGACAAGGTATTGTCTTTGAAAAAAGATATGAAACCAGACTCTCATCTCATGGTTACGGATTTGGCAAATGATGAGCTTAAGCTTTGCGAGTGACCAGACCGAGACCAGGTGTTTGGACGGAAATGGCTTGACCTCCTTGATCTTGGAATTTTTCCTCGTTGATTTGTAGTGCTCCTTCCTTTATAAGTTTGTAGTACTAATGAAGAGAGTAATTTTCTGTACTGAAGAGACTATGGTAAATGTTGAACAGAGAGTTCCATTCTTAAATCAATACAGTCAATTGAAATTTTGTTTTTGTGGGGGAAGGTCCTTCAACTACAAACAAACAAACACTCAATTCAAACTGGACCTTTGCCCACAAAAACAAAATTAATACAGTCAAGAATTTAGAATTCAATTATACTAAAGGGCCTTATATCTCCAAAGGGCCCGACTCTGTTTTTTATTTTTCTTCCTCGTTCGTCATTTTTGACGTCTTGTTGTGCCCGCCCCAGGAAAAGGTTGTTCTCTGAGTTTGCATAGTTGAACGAATTGAACGATAGGCGGACACGACGAAGCTGCCAGCCAAAGCTGACCCAAATGTTTGTTTTATTATTATTATTATAATTTTATTTTTAGGTTAATGTTGTTTAATTATCATGAGATGAGAGAGAAGATTTTGAAAAAATGGAATGGCTAAAAAGAAGATAAGCATCCACCATCCGTTATGCTGACTGACCTGATCGATGATCACACCTCACGCTCACGGGGTGGAAAACAAAAAAAAGATAAAGGTGGCGAAAAGTCATAATTCGTAACTCATTATAATATTTGAGCAAGCAAGAGGGAGGGTAGGCAGAAGGACAGACAGGGAGAATGGTCGCTCAATACTACAATACGAATTATTATAATATAATTGTTGCTGAACCTCCTCCGGTAGCCATACTAACGTCGTATTCCGAGCTCAAGAGAAGAAAGTCAATTCCAAATTCGGTTCCTCCTACTCCTCCTCCTCTTACTCTTACTTCTTCTTCTTCTTTGTGGGGAAGATCCAGATTTAAATCCTGGGGTTGGGGCACCAGTAGCGGCAGCAGCATTATGAGCACTAGTAATAATAAGGTGATTTGGGGCATGGAATCATCATCTGCCAACAACATTACCACAACCAATCATCTGCGGCATGTGGAGTCCTTGGCCACAATGCCTTCTGGCGCTGGAAACATTCCTCACCTCAACGCCATCGTTTTGGGAGAAGCACTCGCTTTTGAAGAGAACGATCTCATCTTCCCCAGCGACGACTTCTCCCGCCAGGCTCATGTTCCTTCTCCCCTCAAGGTAACTACTGCAACGCTCTCTCTTTTCATTTCTCTCTGTTTGTTTGTTCGTTTTCTGTACATACAACAACATCTAATCTTATTGATTTAACCAATACCATTATCAATTTATCATCATCGTCCTCGTCAGTATCTGGAGATGTATGAGAGGTCCATCGAGGACCCCGCGGGGTTTTGGTCGGATATTGCTTCCAGCTTCTATTGGAAACAGAAATGGGGCCAACAAGTCTACTTGGAGAATCTCGATGTCAGGAAAGGCGATATCAGAATTGAGGTGATCTGCGTGATGGATTTCGTTTTCCCCCTTTGATTTCCTTTTCCTCTTCCTTTTGACCACCATCTGTGTTTTGAGCAGTGGTTCAAGGGCGGTATCACCAACATCTGCTACAATTGCCTTGACTCAAATGTTGAAGCTGGACTTGGTGACAAAATTGCCTTTTACTGGGAAGGCAATGAGCCTGGTGTTGATGCCACTTTAACGTACATCCAGCTTCTCCACAACGTTTGCCAGGTCTTTCATTATTCCTTACATTACATTTACATTTACATTATCACTCTCTCTCTCTTTCTCGCACACACTCCCACGCATGCATAAAGCTCAATACAAAATTTAATCATTAAAAACAACAAGAATAGAAAACAAGAGATTGGGTCTTCATTCTGTCAGTTGCTAATCAATTATCTCACCTTCTCTTACCTCTACTGCTCCCAGCTTGCAAACTATTTGAAAGATATTGGAGTTAAAAAGGGTGATGCTGTTGTGGTTTACTTACCAATGTTAATGGAACTTCCAATCACAATGCTTGCTTGTGCTCGCATTGGTGCAGTTCACTCGGTATTGCACCATGTTACTCTTTGCTTTCCAACATCCACAACTCTTTCTTTTTTCTAATTTTGCCTTTTCCATTCTTTCAGGTTGTCTTTGCTGGATTTTCCGCAGAATCTCTTGCTCAAAGAATTGTGGATTGCAAACCGAAAGTTGTAATCACTTGCAATGCTGTTAAAAGGGGTTCTAAGGTCATCCACCTCAAAGATATAGTTGATGCTGCCCTTATTGAATCATCCGAAAGTGGGGTTTCTATAGGTATGGAAATTTGCTAATTGCTATGTGATTTATGCACACATCTATCTAATTACTTCTGTCTCAGGATAGGATAAATTTAATTTTACAGTTTCCTCATTATATTATTTATTGTCTCCCTTTTGTTAGTTTTTCATTTTTTCTAAAAAAATGTATTGGGTAGTGGTATCCTGTTTCTTTTGTTAAACCTTAACTTAGTTCGAGAAAAAAAATTGAACTTACTGAAAGTTGAGAAAATTGTTAAGTTTCTATTGGGCATCCATTGAGAGGCAGGTTTGGATTTAAGATTGTCTGGATCTGATGTTATTTGCAAAAATCGTTTCCATAAGTACAGTAATCAACCATAACAGACCAATCCTCTATATATATTTCTTTTTCTAAGACCTAGGATTGATTTGCTTTTCTTTTTTAGTATAATGGATGTATGATTCCCTATTTGAGCAGATGTATGCTTAACTTATGAAAATCAATCGGCTATGAAGAAGGAAAGTACCAAATGGAAAGAAGAAAGAGATGTATGGTGGCAGGTTAGTAGTAGTACTAGCACCTCTTTATACAGATTTCCATGAAAGAAAGAGTGCTTTTATCTGTAACATGCATGCTCTGTTGTGTATTCTTCCTATATTAGTGTTTCATCATATGCTTTTAAATGGCTTGAATGCTTGTTTTATGGACGGTTGTGACTGATGACTCATGATTATCTTCCAGGATGTCATACCTAAATATCCAACTACTTGTGCAGTGGAGTGGGTTGATGCAGAAGATCCACTTTTTCTGCTCTATACTAGTGGGAGCACTGGCAAGCCGAAGGTATATATGTTCCATACTTTAATTCATCTTTCCCTTCTTTTTTTTTGGGCTTCTTCTAATATTAGTCTCTTATAGGGAGTTGTCCACACAACTGGAGGATATATGGTGTACACTGCAACAACATTTAAATATGCATTTGATTACAAGCCATCTGACATCTACTGGTATCCTTAAAAACCCTGTGCTTATCATTAATGTTAATTTGATCTTCTCATGTTAAAGAAGCTGATTTATGCTGATTCCCCCTTTTTTTTGGTCACTGAACATAGTTTTATTGCTGTTTTAGGTGTACAGCTGACTGTGGTTGGATCACTGGGCACAGCTATGTCACGTATGGACCCCTGCTAAATGGAGCGTCTGCTGTCATATTTGAAGGGGTAATTGATAGACAGATTAATACACAGATTATTGTTTACATTAACGACAAAAACATAAAATAGATTTTAAAAGAAAAATATTCATCTGCACGCACATAGCCAAAATATCTACTCTGGCATTTGGAAGCCTTTGGGCAAAAATGGAAAAGAAAAACGACTATACGAGAAAGAAGCTTGGAAGTTAGGTTTGAAGGTATGTTTTTTCTTTCCCAGTGGCATTATAGCCTACTGGTACCTCTCCCCTTTAGCCAAAGGTTTCTGGTTGGACTTATAATATTGTTGGTAGTTGAACCTTAAAGGGTGGGGAGATTCTTCTAGTAAGAAGGGTAGCCCCTCTTGTATAGCCTAACTTTTGGACTCAAATTCCTGAAGAAGCAAAATATGAAACTGCAGTTGGCTAGTTGTGAATATAACATTTAATTTACCTTATGGTGAGAATCATATGTCACTGTCTATGATCTATATAAATTCTTAAATACTTATTTACATTATACTATTGCATGAAATGAACTTTTTTAGTGTTAACTACATAATAGCATTTAGAACACCAACTAGTTGTTTCTCAATATCTGGATAATAATGCCTGAGCATCTCATGTGTAAAAAGTGCTGCACTGTATTGATTATGATGTAACTTTTAGTGCATACGCTTAGTATCATTTTTGCTGAATTGGATTTCCAATGTTGGCCTTTAATATAGTAGTTACTTTCCATGTATATATTGCAGGCTCCAAATTATCCTAATCCTGGACGCTGTTGGGATATTGTTGATAAATACCAAGTGACCATATTTTATACTGCCCCCACATTAGTGCGGTCCCTCATGCGTGATAGTGACGAGGCAAGATATTTAACCTGTCCTTACTTCCATTTATGTGGATGTCATATTTTTAATGTATTGTTATTGATCAAGACAATTTTATAAGTTTGTGATGGCTGTTCACAGTTATGTAGAGTCCAAAAAGAACACATTACTCTATTTGTTTGTTCTAGGTTGATCACTTCCAAAACTTTATTTCAATCTAGTGGTTTTTTCCCTTTACCTAAATCAGGCTGCAGTGAAGACTAAGAGAACTGAACATAGCTTTAATTGAAGTATAAAGCTTGTCTGCATTTTTTGGCCATAAGCTCCTCGTCATTTTCTCCCTGTTTCATTTTTATCCTTCTGTTTTGTCAAAGCCAATCCTCTATCTTACATATCTGGTTTACTTGGGTGGCCCTGCCGTTGGTGTTTCTTAATGAATTACCTATCAAGAAATTAGTCCTTCTGTATAATCTTCATTATTTACCATCTGCATTGCAAGAGTGTCCATTTTACATAGTTGTATTCATACGTCTATGGTGGTCTTGTTGTCTAGATCAGGTTAAGGTTCCACTTACATAATGTTTATTATATGTGTATATTGAATTTCTACTTCCTCTTTTTCATGCAGTATGTTACGCGATACTCGCGGAAATCCTTACGGGTCCTTGGAAGTGTAGGCGAGCCTATTAATCCAAGTGCATGGAGGTTCTCATTTCTTTTGTTGTCTGATCCAAAAGCTGCATTTCGTACTCGAAAAGAATTATTAATTCAGCCCTTTTTGGCACAGATGGTTTTTCAATCTGGTTGGAGATTCAAAATGTCCTATTTCTGACACTTGGTGGCAAACTGAAACTGGTGGCTTTATGGTATTCTAGTACTGTTCTTAAATAGTTTTTATCTCTTGTGGCATTAACTGGTGTTCAAGCAGAATGTAATTGTTGGCATCAGAATATTTATCGAGATTTTACTTGTGAAACACTTCCCCACCCCCACATATGTCCCAATATATACCTGCATTCACCTGGACTTCCATTGGTCCGACGTTTTAACTTGAAATGATTCACCTTCTTTACCTGGCAGATAACTCCATTACCGGGTGCCTGGCCACAGAAGCCTGGTTCTGCTACTTTCCCTTTCTTTGGAGTTCAGGTCTTTTATTCTCTTTATGGATACTTATCATCATCTTCATACTGTTCTTTTTTTACACTTTTGAATCTGTAAGATCTGCATCATATTAACTTTTTTTCCTTGTAACTGCAGGCTGTCATAGTGGATGAGAAGGGTGTTGAGATTGAAGGGGAGTGCAGTGGTTATCTGTGTGTAAAAAGCTCATGGCCTGGAGCATTCCGAACTCTTTACGGTGATCATGAAAGATACGAAACTACTTACTTTAAACCTTTCCCTGGGTATTATTTTAGTGGTGATGGATGCAGCAGGTAAGTAATAACATCAATCTTCAATTTCTTCAGCATGAATGCTAATATGAGTTATGTATGAAGTTTTTTTGTTTCCAAAACAAGATTTGAAATTTTTTTTTGGGTTTATAGTTTAGGATTTATTAGGAGTGTTTTATATATTATATGGGGGTGCAAGACATGCTAAGTTGTACACATCAATGCCTCAGGGACAAAGATGGATATCACTGGCTTACAGGACGGGTTGATGATGTTATCAATGTCAGGTATTTTTTGGATTCCATAAGCTTTGCCCATATAATTTTTTATGTTTTATGTGTATGAGTGAGCTAAATGTAGTAATAGGATTGTTAATGTGTAGATTTCTAAGGATTTTAAATTATGATATTCCCCTCCTTAACTTCCTCTACACAAGTATCTTTGCATCTTGTTGTAATTTCGAAGACTGCAATTGATGTTTATTGCCTATGCTCAATAATAATACCATAATGCGTGCAGTGGACATCGTATTGGTACAGCAGAAGTGGAATCTGCTCTGGTATCACATCCCCAGTGTGCTGAAGCTGCTGTGGTTGGCGTTGAGCATGAGGTATGTGATACAGAACCCAGGAAAAGAAAAGGGAAAATACTGAAGTGAACAGACTAAAAACAGCAGATGCTTGTGGCTAGTATGTATGTCTGAACAAAATTGCTTTCTTGCTGTAGGTTAAAGGACAAGGTATATATGCTTTTGTTACTCTTGTGGAGGGTGTACCTTACAGTGAAGAACTCCGGAAAGGCCTTATACTGAATGTCAGAAAGCAGGTATATATCTAGTTCTGCATTTAAGTTTACTGCATCTTGTTACTTGTGATGCTACGGCACTCCAGCTGGTATTAGGGCTACTTTGTTCACTTGCATAGAATTCTTGAAGGCTTATTCTTACCCCATAGTGCCATGCCATCATACCCCTGGATGGTGTCAGGCTTATGCAGATAAAAATAAATTTATTTTAAAAAAGGTGGTATTTTTCACATATGATAATGATATCTTCTGAAACTATATTTGAATTGGCTGACATGTCGTTCAGCCTGGAAACCTTGTAATGAATCGCACTTTCAGTCTTCTTGTTTGGATGTATCTTCCATATGCTATTGATGAGTAGCCACAAGTACGTAAAATTCTTATCAACATTTTTCAGATCGGAGCATTTGCAGCACCGGACAAAGTCCACTGGGCCCCTGGCCTTCCAAAAACAAGGAGTGGGAAGATAATGAGGAGGATTCTGAGGAAAATTGCTTCTAGACAGTTAGATGAGCTTGGTGACACAAGCACTCTTGCAGATCCAAATGTGGTCGATCAACTTATTGCTCTCGCAGATGTGTAGACTGGTTTGGACACGCACTCACCAAAAATGATCAATTGCATAGATTAGGCAGTAGAAAAAAATGATGCACGAAGGTTCTGTTTCCCATAACTTCTTACAGCGTACTCAGCACATTATATGAATGTCCTCCCTTAACTAATGTTTCGACAAACTACGTATTATGGACAGGCCACGTTTACTGTTTCTAGCAATGTATTTCTGCTTATAAGCGCCTTTGCTAGAAACGTTTTTAATAGAAGCACGTCAAGTGCTGTAGTGGTAGTGTAGCTATGTTGTACACTGCTGCACCTCGATGCCTGCGCAACCTGAAGCACGATTGGGCTTTAATATAAACGGGGTCCGTGGACATTGTATGGCTCGGCACCAAGATGGCATGGGTAGTTGGTCTATGTCGGCTAGCTGCTCTTCTTCTATAAAAGCCAACACAAATTCTTTATAGAATTGTGATTTCGAGAAGTGAAACTTATTACGAAATAAGGATGAGCTATTGTAGAACAGTGAAAGTTTATGAAGTTGAGATTTGAGAGGAATAAATTTAGTCAGAGATGGGTGAAAATGAAAATACGACATGAGTCGGATTTCCTGTCTGCAAAACTCTCTCCTCCATGTCCATTTGTTTTGACACATGCCCTTCTTCTTTTTCTCTATATATTTTTTATAATTTTGTATACAAGCGACGTTGGATGTGGGAATTCGAACACACATGGAGAATCCAGAATTTGAAAATAGGGTGGGCTAAATTTACAGTACATATAAACCTATTGAAAGAGAGAGAACTTGACCGTACAAGTGAATTTCATTGATAACAAGAAGTTCCAAATTTCTAATAAAATAAACCTACGTAAATCTAGCAACATAAAAAAAGGGGTATGTGTCACGTGTGAGATTAGTTTATGTTTTTCTTTCTATTAGACTTGTGGGGTTAGTTAACTAAAGAAAAAAAGAGATTTTCTGTGGGTGGGATGGGGGTGTGTACCCGTGTGGGGTGTTTAAAATCAAGTCACCTAGGCTATAGCCCAAGTTAATTTATGAAATTAATTAAAAAAACTTAAATGCTAATTATTCATTAAATAAAGAACAATTAAAACATAAATAATAATTAATATAATTAAATAAGGCTAAGATATTACTTAATTGTAAATAGTAAACTAAACAAACTAATTTTATATTTAAAAAATATAAAAAAAGTTCACAAAATAATTAAAATTAATTCAGTAATTTATGAAATTAGTAAAATATTTAAATACTAATTATTCACTAAAAAATAATAATTAAAACATAATTACTAATTAAAGTAATCGAAAAAGGCTATCATGTATTGCAATATAGCCGCCTTGCTATACATTTAAAATATGAGGTTGGCATAGAGGATAACCTCGAGGGTAGTCGGCTGTTCAAGTATGTTGATTCTAGTTCTAGACATGATCAGGCTACTGAGGCCACCTCATCTAAGAACAAATCTGCTGGGAAAAAGATTTCCCCAACTCGTGGTTCTTCGCCATGGGTTTTCAAAAAACCCTTCAAGGACATCACCAATTCTGATGAGACTCACGCTGGCAGTAAAAAGGTGAAGAAAGACTCTATTTTGACTAGGCCTGGGAAGAATAAAACTGGGACTAAGTCTTGTTCTGCTAACTCGATAGCATCTGTGGGTTTACAGACTAAAGGTTCTGAGGTTCAAGATGATGTTCATGGAATGTTCTCTTTCAATGTGGACAACTCTGTCTTCATTGAGAATCTGGGCAAGGGTGGCCCTCTCCATGGACATGAGCCTCCTGATTTTAATCCTATGGGGCTTCCTGAAGTTGATGTTGATGGTGTGAATGTTGCCTCTGACGATATGGACCTTCAATGTGTCCCCACGGAACTTGGTGAGGCCGAGCTTGGACGGGAAGCATGTATGTCTTTTTACCATGATGTCTCTGAAGCCTTTGTGGTGGAGCAGTTGCAGACTTAGGATCCTCCCTAAAGTTCCTTTCTTCCCATTCTTTTTAATGAAGATTGTTGCTTGGAATGTTAGAGGTGCTGGAAAAGAAAGTTGTGCTATGACTATCAAGGATTTAAAAAAGGCCTATGCCATAGATGTGTTCGCTATTCTTGAGCCCAGAATTAGTGTCCCTAGGGCTCTTATTATTGCCCAGAATTTGGGTTTCTCTCATCACCACATTATTGATGCTACTGGCTTCTCTGGGGGAGGGGGGTCTGGTTGTTGTGGAATGGGAATTCTGTCTCTCTCCATGTGGTTGCCCACTCTAGCCAGTCTATCATTGCTTTAGTGACTTCGAGGAATAAAAGATGGCTTCTCACTGTGGTGTATGAAAATCCTTGCCCAATGATCAGAGAAGCCTTGTGGAAGTACTTTGATGGTCTTGTTTCTTCTTTGCCTTGGCTTGTGCTAGGGGATTTCAATGATATTGCTAGTGCTGATGAAAAATGTGGTGGCAATCTGAACCATGGTGGTAAAAGCTTTGTTGATTGGATTGATCATAACCACCTCTTGATTTGGGCTTCTTTGGCGCTCAATTCACTTGGTGTAATAAAAGAAATGCTGAGGGTATTATTTGGAAAAGGTTGGATAGAGGTTTATGCACTATTAATTGGCGTCTTCTATATCCTGAGGCTCATCTAATGCATTTGCCTAGAGTGAATGCTGACCATTGTCCTATTCTGGTTAGTCTTGAATCCAACCACAGTCTTGACAAAGGTAATGTCCCTTTTCGGTTTCAAGCCACGTGGATGTCGCATCTTGAGTTCTCTACCTTTATTGCTGATTGTTGGAATTCTGGTACTGGGCATGCCATCCAAAAATCTGCTTGAATTGTGCCCCCTCTTATAAATTGGAATCGTCAGGTTTTTGGGTGTAATTTCCAAAGGAAAAGAAGATTACTGGCCAGACTTGCTGGTATTCAACGAAAGCTCTGTCAAGGGCATAACTCTTATTTCAATCAGTTGGAGAGTGAGTTAACTATAAAGACTACAATCTCATTCTCTGCTAGGAAGAGATGTTTTCAGAATCTAGAAACACTTGGCTGAAAGAAGTTGATAGGAATACCCATTTCTTTCATCTTTCTACGGTTATCCGAAGAAGGAGAAACAAATTGGAACGGTTAAAAAATGATACTAGGGAGTGGATTACAGACAAACAAGGTATGAAACATGTTATTATCACTTATTTTCAAGGCCTGTTTTGTACCCCTGATGCTATGGGTGATTTTTCTCTGTTTCCTTAATTATTCCCTAGGCTTGAGGAAGCTGATCTTGCTGATTTAAGCTCCCTTGTTTCTGTGGAAGAGATTAAGACTAATGTCTTTGCCATTGGTGGCTTAAAGACCCCTGGCCTTGATGGTTTTCCTGCCATCTTCTACCAAAAGTATTGGGAGATGTGCTCAATTGATATAATTACTTTTGTTCAGGAATGTTTCAACTCTGCCACTCTCCCTGTTCATCTTAATGAGACTTTGATTGCTCTGGTGCCCAAAGTAGAGAGGCCTGCTTCCAAGACCCAAATAAGGCCTATCAGTCTATGCAACACTCTTTATAAAGTGGTCTCCAAAATTCTTGTGGCTAGGCTTTGAACTTGTATGGATAAGCTTGTCAGCCCCAAACAAGTTAGCTTTGTTCCTGGGCGACAAATTACTGATAATATTATGGTTGCTCAAGAGGTGCTTCATAAGTTCAGAACCTTTAAAGGAAGGGGCTTATCGCCTGGAAAATTGATTTATCCAAAGCCTATGATCGCCTCCACTGGTCCTTTATTAGGGAAGTGCTATGGGAAGGGGGAATTAGGGGAAGAACTCTTGAGTTGATTATGCGGTGTATTACTTCTATTCAGTACATGGCTATTCTCAATGGGGAATTAACTGAGTCCTTCACTCCTCATTGTGGTATCAGGCAAGGAGACCCTCTATCCCCTTATATCAATTACACGATAAACTTTTCCTAGAAAGGAAATAAATTGAAAGCATTTATCTGTTACAAAAGAAGAAGAAAAAAACTGAACCATTTTAGTCCATCTAGCCATTCAAGCCAACTTGGAAAATAAAAATGAAAAGAAGGTATTCAAGGCAAGGTAAAGGATTTTCTCTGAGGGAATGAAACAAGTGTTTTCTGAAAGGGGGTATGTGTCACGTGTGAGGTTAGTTAACTAAAGAAAAAAAATATGAGATTTTATGTGAGTGGGATTGAGGTGTGTGTGTCCATGTGGGGTGTAAAAAATCAAGTCACCTAGGCTGACTTTTAACTTTGGGCTATCAAAAATCAAGTCACCTAGGCTATAGTCGAGGTTAGCCTAGACATAGGATCGTTCTTGCAAACACAAGACCTTAAGTGTAAGGATAACCACTTGCTCTTAACCAAAACACTTGAGCAATAAACCTCAAAGAAAAAAAAAGAAAAATCGAGAAAAGAAGAAAAAAAAGAAGGCAAAAAAAAAAAAAAAAAAAAAAAACAAACAAAGCTACAAGCCTCTCCTTTTTGCTCCACTCAAACTATTGTATAATCTATACACTGTTGAGAAGTCTTGATTTCTAAAGGGTAACCGCACATGTCTTTAAGAAAACTAATAAGAAAGAAAACACGAAGAAGTTAGGGAAATGACCCTCAGTGCCACCCATTTGATAATTTTAACTAAAAATACCACCCCTTCCCAATTTTTTTATAACTATCAACTATAAATATAAAATTATTGTCCACTTATTGCTCTCCTAACACTTTTTCTGAAATTTACCTCCCGCCAATCAGCTCCCTCTTGGCTCCGTCGCTCACAGTCTCTTCACTCTCTGGTCACTCTGCTCTCACTCTCTCGTCTCTCAGCTCTAACATTTTCATCTCTCGTCGCTCAGCTGTCACTCTCTCTTCTGTCTTCCTCTCCCAGCGAAATCTGTTCATCGAAGAGCAACGCCATCGTTCACTGCAAACAGGTATTGTTCATCGAAATTCTTTTACGGCTTAGGGTTTATGGGTTTGTATGAAATTGGTTGACGGGGTTGTTTGAAATTGGTTTAGGGTTTGGGGGTTTCTCTGAAATTGGTTTAGTGGGTTTTCTGAAATGGGTATAGGGTTTAGGGGTTTCACTGAAATTGGTTTTGCTTTAACTCTGTTTGCTAACTTAAGGGCTTGCATATTGGATATGGATAAGTTCTCTTTGTTTTTCATATTCTCTTGTGATTATTTGGAATTTCAGTTTGGGGATGAATATTCAATGTCTAAACAAAGGGCAAAGAACCATATGTGGTGTAATATGAGTTCTTTAAAAGTTTGTTGTTTTTGTGCTTGATCATTGTATGCTTAAAACAAAGCGGGAAATGAGTGAAGATGGGAACATGCCACCAGCAGGTGTGGTTTAGAGAAATGGGGCCATGGATTTTGCTATAAGCTAACTCTTTAAGCTTTTGCTTGTCTTTTTTGTGTATGGATACTTAGAGAACTCTGTTTATGAGGTGAACTTTTGATTTTTTAATTGTACTTGTTTAAGAAACATTTTTTACAGTTTTGATGGTTTATTTATTCATTTATCTTTGATATTGATAACGCATACAATACATACAAACCTCTGATTTTGTTAAGAAAAAACTGAAGGGATGGTGCCAATTTCATTAATTTCCTTACATTTGAAAGGAGGGCATATTGGAGTCATGATTGTGGTTGCCACTAATTGATAGGATGTTCCATTACATTATACGTTGAAGTCAATAAATTGTTTCCTGATGTCTTCTTGTTGAATTGTTCTGAATTAGGCTTCTGCTACCGCACATTCCTATTGTAGCTTAAGCTGTCATGATTATCTGGTGTCTGGAGATGTGTCTGTAGATATTTAGTTAATTGTCAATGATCATGTAAGGTAAACACTTAAATCCTTGTGAGACAGAAATTGGAGTGAGAGACAAGTAATTTGAAGGACACATGAAAAACTGAGTGAGAGACAAGTAGTTTAATGGCATTTTTTAGGAAGCCTTGTGAAGAGAAAATATAAGAGAAGGAAGTGGGAAAATATAAGAGCACGGCTTGTGGACAGAAAATATAACATAAGGAAATTGGAAAATATAAGAGAAGGAAATGGGTTTCTTCTAATGGCCAAGATTAATGCAAATGCTTTTTGTACTTCCTGTTTTATGTTCGATTTGTATAATCATAAACTTATCGGTATTCATATTGTTTGCTTCAATAACTTTTGGCTCTTTATTGAAGTCGGAATGTGTTCTGTATATTAACGAGGAAAGTTATTGAATATTCGACTAATGTTTATTATACTTAATATCATGTTCATATTGTATGGAAATATTATCGAACGTGTTACTGCATTATTTTTCTTAGTAGAAAACTTGCTTCCTGAAAGGTTTGATTTCGTGGGTGATTAGGCTTGTCGCTTTCAATCTTGGCTATCTTCTTGGGGGTGACAAAACAATTATCACAGAGTCAGAAACAACACTGAAGGCATTGGAAGTTGCAAAGAGTATTGTGCTGCCTGGAGGTCTTATCAGTTTAGTGGTTTATGTGGGGCATCTTGGTGGATGGTAACAGTTCTGTTCTAAAAACAATGAGTATGTTATAGCATGGGAAAATTGTTTTGCCCTATTTAATTTGAGTGTTTAGTGGGAGCATGACTTCTAAGGAACTTCTTGTGCAATGAAAGCAACAGTTGGAAGCTTGCCTTTTCAATCAACCTCCTTTTATTTTATTTTATAAAGTCTGGTAGATGAAGCCATCATTTATGCTTCCCCTTCAGATTGGTTTGGAATTGGATTAAGATATACGTGGTTAGTTTTAGGTACTAGAGGAGTGGGATAGGCTGTTTGGATTTTACGTTCTGGTCTTGCTCTGAGAGGAGAGAGGGGGAAGGGGAGAAGGAGAGTGAGATTGGAAGTCTTCTGTGACTAGTAAATTGGAAGTCTCGGACTCTTGTTAAGTTTGTACATTTTCAGAATGAAGAATAATCTGTTTTTAGGCTCAAAACAAATAACGTGGATTGAATTCTAGGATACCGATGCTACTGTAGATCATAATAGAAGCTTTCTGCTCATGTTCCAGTCAGGGAAACAGAAGTGCAGTATCCAAGATTGTGCTTGATTCGTGAAATTGTTATTAATATTGATTTATGACATTGGTGATTGAGTTGGAGATTTCCAAATTGGACAATTCTTATTGCTTTGCTGATATGGATCCAATATGCTTTGTTTTGGCAAAAAGGGTCCTACTTATTGTACATTATTTGTTCTTTTAGACTTGATACGTATAAGTTTAGTTTTGTCATATGCTCCTGGCTTGCTTGTTCTAACTGTGGGCACATATAAGGCGGAAAACTTTACACGTAAGGCTTCACTGATGCTTGAATGATGTCATTCAATAGTGACCTGTTTTATATAATTTGTTTCTCTGCTTTATAACTACATTTGATATTTGGGGTTATATTTCATGCAGGCAAGCAACCCTAACAAGGTACGAAGTGAATATAAATCATTCTCAAGGTAAAGTGCTGCCTAGTGTAAGAGTTTCAGATCCAGGTCTTCTACTTAAACCTAACGAACCAAATTTGGTATGAACTACATCTTTGAATCCCTGATTGCATCTTTGAGGCCAAAGCAGAAAAAATGCTAAACTACATACAGTTAAAAAAAAATAAAAAATAAAAGTCGAGGCTTTATGAATTAGTTTACTATTCTTTTTATTTATTTATTTATACTTTTATTTTTATATTTTTTTTTTTTTTTTTTTTTTTTTTTTTTTTTAAGTTCCCCTAACTTGGCACAGATGCATGTATGCACGTGTGTACTCAGAACACAAACTCCTTTATAACTCAAAAGAATGGTTGCAAATGTTAGTTTTTAACTTGGAAAAATAAAATAAAATTGAAAGTTACTTTTGGGAAATGTTGAACTTTTATGATGAATATGGCTTCAATGTAGAAGGCTTGATAGTAAATAGAAAATCTATATGTTGGGGGTTTTCTGGCTAGCTAAAAATGTGTGAGAAATGATGAATCTATCTGATTGCAGCCTATTTAATGTTTAATACCTTCATTAAAAAAAGGTTGTTGATAGTGCTTTGACTATCTTGCAGATTATAATGGCAAAACCAGCAGGTGGCCCTAATAAGAGAGATCAGCCTGCAGGGATGGATGAGGACTAATTTTGTGTGTATGACAATTGACTATTTTTGCTTGTATTGCTCTATGTTAGGGATCTTTTGTTCCATTTTAGCAACAATTTTGTTTAGGAGAAAAAGAAACATATTGCAGTTCATGCTTTGTAAATGCCACTCTTCTGTTACGATGGACACGTGGTCTGCCCTTGTTGGGTAGGTTTGGATTGAAACCATGGTCGAGTGCTTGAGCCATGTTTAGTGAGAAGCTTGAATGGATTTTCTTTTCTGTTGTATTTGGCCCTTGTCTTTTCAAGCATGCCAAAAATCATCCTGGTTTTGTAATATGTGGTTTGTGCCCAATTAATTTATTGTGGATCTTGCACTTTGTACCCAATATTCGATAGTTGCCTTCTTTTGAATGAAGATTCATTGAGGGAGAGAATTACTTTCCTTTTGAATATGAATCGATGTGCAACTCCAACTATCATTTCAAAGGTCAACATCAATTCATGCTAATATAAGGATGGATAACAATTGTTGTGTCTATGAGATTTGAATTCAGGATTACTTTCAATGAAGTAGAGCATGTTATTAGACCAAATGGCAATACATACGATATAATAGCAATATTAGGCCAATATATGTACACTATAGAGGCAATATTAGAGCAATATAACCACAATACGATAACAATAGTATTACAATATCACCTATAAAAATATAATTATTGTCCACTTATTGCTGATTTTTCACATGTTCAGAAATTGTGTTCTCTCTTAGCTCACTCAGCCCTCTCTCTGGCACATCTCTCTTTCTCTTTGGGATCTGTCTATCACAGCTCTCTGTCTCTCTCTCTGTCTCTCTCTCTCTCTCTGTCTCTCTCTCTAGTGCAACTCTCTGTCTCTCTCTTTGCTCTCTTTCTGTAGCGTAGCTCTTTCTCTCTTTGTCTCTCTCTAACTTCGTTCTGTCTCTTTCTCCCCCTATTCGCTCTCTTGCTCTCTGTCTCTTTATTCATACCTTCCTTTTTTTGTAAATTATTTTTTAGTTATTATTTTTTAAAATAATTTCTTACAATGTCTTACGGTGCAATTATGATGCACCTGACTGCCTGTTTTTGAGAGGCACGTTGTTTCTTTCTCCTCCTCGTCTACTTTTTGAATGAAGTATGGCATAAACCGTAAACCCATTGATGAGCCGTAGTCAATATACATACAATATAATAGCAATATTAGGGCAATATACATACACTAGAGAGGCAATATTAGGGCAATATAATGGCAATACGACAGCAATAGCGTCACAATATACATGCAATATGGTGGCAATATGCATACAATATGTATACAATACACATGCAATATTAGTACAATACACATGCAATAGGACAGCAATATTAAGTCAATCTACATACAATACACACACATCCATTACAGACTACAATTTAGACATGGAAAATAAATCGTCACCGAACCCTAACAATACTATCCCGCAAAGCAAAAATTATTTCTTTCATAAAACTTGAAAATTCAATTGTTATTACATAGTCAACCAACCTTTGCTCTATTACATACACACTTCCTACCTATAATTATAAATAATGGAGAGCTCACAAATTCTACTAATTTGATCATAACTTCATCAATTTGTTCTTCGGTGTATGAGTCTCTTCTTGCACATTTTCAAAGCTGTTCTATTCTCCTCCCGTGTAGCAATATCAGCAACAAGAAGTTATTTACAGATCTGAAATCATAACTGCAGATGATTCTCAATTAACAACGAGGAAAACCATTTTCTTTTATAACTTTGGTTCTGGAATATATAACAAAATGCAAAGACCTTTGCTTCTGAAAAGGTTGGCATTGTCACTCTGTTATCCTCTAGAAACCAACCATTTACTAAAAAAAGAAAGATAAGAAACCTTTCGTAGTGGATATGTGGCTTAACTATTTACACAAATGAAATATAATAAAGAAAATAATTGAATGACTGGGTGGTGAATAAAGGCTTTCAGCACAAAGATGTAGTTGTTAGACCACCAAATCATGAACTAAATTTTATACATCATATATGCATAACCTCCTAGCCCTATTAGCCGGCCAATGGACTTCAAAATGCACTGCAATCCTTAAAACACCCATGCCAGTCACAGTTTGGGATCTGTCCACAAGCCGTGCTCTTATATTTTCCCACTTCCTTCTCTTATATTTTCTCTTCACAAGGCTTCCTAAAAATGCCATTAAACTACTTGTCTCTCACTCAGTTTTTCATGTGTCCTTCAAATTACTTGTCTCTCACTCCAATTTCTGTCTCACAAGGATTTAAGTGTTTACCTTACATGATCATTGACAATTAACTAAATATCTACAGACACATCTCCAGACACCAGATAATCATGACAGCTTAAGCTACAATAGGAATGTGCGGTAGCAGAAGCCTAATTCAGAACAATTCAACAAGAAGACATCAGGAAACAATTTATTGACTTCAACGTATAATGTAATGGAACATCCTATCAATTAGTGGCAACCACAATCATGACTCCAATATGCCCTCCTTTCAAATGTAAGGAAATTAATGAAATTGGCACCATCCCTTCAGTTTTTTCTTAACAAAATCAGAGGTTTGTATGTATTGTATGCGTTATCAATATCAAAGATAAATGAATAAATAAACCATCAAAACTGTAAAAAATGTTTCTTACACAAGTACAATTAAAAAATTAAAAGTTCACCTCATAAACAGAGTTCTCTAAGTATCCATACAAAAAAAAGACAAGCAAAAGCTTAAAGAGTTAGCTTATAGCAAAATCCATGGCCCCATTTCTCTAAACCACACCTGCTGGTGGCATGTTCCCATCTTCACTCATTTCCCACTTTGTTTTAAGCATACAATGATCAAGCACACAAACAGCAAACTTTTAAAGAACTCATATTACACCACATATGGTTCTTTGCCCTTTGTTTAGACATTGAATATTCATCCCCAAACTGAAATTCCAAATAATCACAAGAGAATATGAAAAACAAAGAGAACTTATCCATATCCAATATGCAAGCCCTTAAGTTAGCAAACAGAGTTAAAGCAAAACCAATTTCAGTGAAGCCCCTAAACCCTATACCCATTTCAGAAAACCCACTAAACCAATTTCAGAGAAACCCCCAAACCCTAAACCAATTTCAAACAACCCCGTCAACCAATTTCATACAAACCCATAAACCCTAAGCCGTAAAAGAATTTCGATGAACAGTACCTGTTTGCGGTGAACGATGGCTGAGCGACGAGAGATGAGAGAGTTAGAGCTGAGAGACGAGAGAGTGAGAGCAGAGTGACTAGAGAGTGAAGAGATTGTGAGCGACGGAGCCAAGAGGGAGCTGATTGGCGGGAGGTAAATTTCAGAAAAAGTGTTAGGAGAGCAATAAGTGGACAATAATTTTATATTTATAGTTGATAGTTGTAAAAAAATTGGGATGGGGTGGTATTTTGAGTTAAAATTATCAAATGGGTGGCACTGAGGGTTATTTCCCAAGTAGTTACCGCAGGATGAATGGACGTAGGACTGAAGAAGTTAAAAACCAAGAGGAAATACAGCCTGCCCCGGAATTATTTCACATATCATCATTGGTCAGACGAAACCGGGCTCGAAGAAGACTCAAGCCTTTGTAATAGTCAAAGCGAGACTAAAAACTGAAAGCGAAAACCCTAGACGCCATAGAACTTTCGGTCGCAATATTTAAAAAGGTTCGTTTTTATTACCGATTATCACCATAGCTTCTTTCCCTGCTCGATTTCTCTATATTAAATGGTAGTTGATTGTGTTGAATTTGGGGAGAGTTTCTTTTTCTCATAGTTGTCTTCAACTACGATTCGATTGCAGAGAGTTTATCAGTTCATCTTCTAAAATATGATTTTTTTGGAACATCTTTTACAATGCCATTAGGTCGTAATTGAAACAAAGTTGGATATTTAGGTTGAGACGGAACTGTTGGGAGCAATACTTGGACAATGGTATTTCGTGTCCTTTGGTCCAAAACAAGACCCAATATGTTTGATTTTTAGAGGTTCTGTCCTCCATTAATTTTTGTAGTTCACTCAAGTGGTAATTTCAGTTCATATTAAGAAACTTGGCTTTTTTATTTTTAATATAGGATATTTATGGAAGTTGGACTATGGATAATTCATAATTTGAGTAAATATATATGGCTACATGAACTTAAAAAAATGCTTCTATGTCTTTTTTTGTTTACTTTTTTTAATTGATTATTAGAAGTTTCTTATTTTCTTATTTTATTAGAGCTCTCATTTGAACTAACTTTCAATTGGAGTGCTATTGAATGATATATGTAGGCTATATTGTTGTTTTTGTTCTGTCAACAGTAAACTCGCAATGGCAGATGCTCATGAATCAGATAAGAACATTGAGATATGGAAGATCAAGAAATTGATCAAGGCATTGGAATCTGCAAGAGGCAATGGCACCAGTATGATATCTCTTATAATGCCTCCACGTGATCAAATTTCTCGGGTCACTAAGATGTTGGGTGATGAATTTGGAACTGCTTCAAACATCAAAAGCAGGGTCAACCGTCAGTCCGTGTTGGGTGCTATTACTTCTGCTCAACAGAGGCTGAAGCTGTATAATAAGGTTCCTCCCAATGGGCTGGTTCTTTATACAGGAACAATTGTTACCGAAGATGGCAAGGAAAAGAAGGTGACAATTGACTTTGAACCGTTCAGGCCTATAAATGCCTCTCTGTATCTATGTGATAACAAGTTTCACACAGAAGCTCTAAATGAACTTTTAGAATCTGATGATAAGTTTGGTTTTATTGTCATGGATGGAAATGGTACTCTCTTTGGGACATTAACTGGAAACACACGAGAGGTGCTACACAAGTTCACTGTTGACTTACCAAAGAAGCATGGAAGAGGAGGGCAGTCAGCTTTGCGTTTTGCCCGTCTTCGGATGGAAAAGCGGCATAACTATGTGAGAAAGACTGCAGAACTTGCCACACAGTTCTTCATCAACCCTGTCACCAGTCAGCCTAATGTTTCTGGACTCATACTTGCTGGTTCAGCTGACTTCAAGACTGAGCTGAGCCAATCGGATATGTTTGATCCTCGCTTACAAGCAAAGATATTGAATGTCGTTGATGTCTCCTATGGGGGAGAAAATGGGTTCAATCAAGCTATCGAGCTGTCTGCAGAGATTCTATCTAATGTAAAGTTCATACAGGAGAAGCGCTTGATTGGCAAGTATTTTGAAGAAATCAGCCAGGATACGGGAAAGTATGTCTTTGGTGTAGATGACACATTGAAGGCTTTGGAAATGGGTGCTGTTGAAATCCTAATTGTGTGGGAAAATCTGGATATTACTAGGTATGTGCTGAAAAACATTGCAACTGGTGAGATTATCATAAAGCATTTGAACAAAGAGCAAGAAGCCAACCAGAGCAATTTTCGGGATCCAGATACCTCTGCGGAGTTGGAAGTTCAGGATAAGATGCCGTTGCTTGAGTGGTTTGCGAATGAGTACAAGCGCTTTGGTTGCACACTTGAATTTGTAACCAACAAATCCCAAGAGGGGTCCCAGTTTTGCAGAGGATTCGGTGGGATTGGAGGCATCCTTCGCTACCAGCTTGACATAAGATCATTTGATGAGCTATCTGATGATGGCGAAGTATATGAGGATTCTGATTAAAACTGTTGGTGCTGCTGAGTGGGAGGCTTTAGCAAGTATGGCGTATCTTTGTTGCTGCTGCTAAACTTTCAAACTGCATCCAGGGGATAGGTTATTGTTTCCGGTAATATTTCTCTCTCACTTTCATCACCGTTCTACCTTTATCTTTTGAAGCAATTGGGTCCTGCTATGTATCGTGACTTCCTCACAGGTTTTACCATAGAAAACTGTGAGGTGGTCATGAGTTTATTCCGTGACCAGAGTGTATCTTTAGTGGTTGCTTGAAGTTGGCTCAATCAAAATACCCGTTGGTATTGGAACTTTCTGTCAGGTGTCATTCTTTTTAGTTTTTCCCTATCTCATAATTATTTTGTGAATGAGAAATATTAGAACCGTAAAGGATTAATTTTCCCTTTTCTTTTTAGTTTTTTTTCTTTTCCCTAGCAAACATTTTGTCGAGTCAATTAATCTGATGGGGTTACCTTACATCTCGATCTCGCCTAGGCTTTTGGCTCTACAAAATTGTGACGATGTAACCTCATTACACGGTTTAAACTTTGTGTTTGTGGCACTGGCACAACCTTTTTAACATGAGAATTGGGAAGGATTACGAAATTCAGCAGGTCGAATGGATGCATTTTCCATGTTAGATGCCTTTGGGTCCAACCGCCCTCAGGAAGTCATGATTTGTTAACCACGAGGCTAACTTACCGAAAAGAAGAAACCATGATTCTACAACTTGATCCTCCTGATTCAATGCCCATGGGAGCTTTCATTCGCACCCAGTTTTCTACTCAACACACCCAGTGTACCAAACGAGCCCTAATAGTTTTCTGTTGAAAGAAATCAAGTGTTAATTTGACGCTTTGTAGAACCGCATAATTGTTTTGAACATTTGGGAAAATGACATCTCTACTCTTCCTAATAACACGCAAGAAAATGACAACTTGTCTATTGACGGTTTCTACAAATGAGAATACATCTATAAGCTTTTCAAAAGGTGCTAAGCCTTGAAGCCAGTAATTCCATTTTCCCAAATAGAACCTCCTGGAATCACCTAGTGTGATTCTGTGTTGCAGAACAAAGGTATCATTCCATATGAAAAAAGAAGGTAAACATGGGAGAATTACTCATAAAAAAGAAAATACATGCGAGAACATGGTACCACCATACTGCGTACAAGCGCCAAAATCATCAGAGCAGAAATTCACGAATGCGAACTGGCCTTTTAACTGCATTTGTAAAACCCTGTATGGTGCAGGAGAGGAAAATTTCGGTCAATATGTTCTATTACACCAAAAATAAACAAATTATGTCATATGTTTGCTTTGATACTTTGGCACCCAAGAAGTTAAAAGATGTACTGTCGTGTGGAAAAAATGGTAGGCAATTAATATATCTTTGATTAAATTCAAGAAAAAAAGATTGGAGGAATATTCTGACTCCAAAGCCTCCACATGTAATAGATTAGTTTAGTGATAGACTAAATGGGGTACTGGGTGAGCATATATAACAACTGTCGTAAAAGTGCAATTAAGAAGGGTATAAATCAGCTTGTTCAGTTGGTAAACTCCCTTTGCATGGTACAAAAGATCTGAATTTAATCCTATATTCATCAGGATTTGTTTGGGGGTGGTGTTGTTCATGGATTGGGAAGAGGACTACTTCTCATTATGTAGCCCATAGGCCCCCAATGAACCAAAAAGGGAGCTGGAGGGGAATACTAATAGAATGCCATAATTATGATGCATGTAGCATGCACCCTTAAAAACTACATGATATTGCTTAAGTAGACTATTTGGACAGTGTGATATACCATGCCTTGCCATTTATTTCCAGAATCAGAGTATGGGGTGTCAATCGTAGATGCTCGACTATCCAGATCAACAAAAAAGTTAAGGTAGTCATGGGAATAAAATAAAAAAAAACAGAAAAAAGAACCTAAACAGTGGAAAAGAAGAATCGAGCAGCAGTTAAATGCTCACACTATGTAACATTTAGATACAATTGCATGTGGTACATACAACCCCAATGTTACTGTAACAATGGGGATCTTGCGACTGCAAATAATCTTCCTCTAGATTAAATTGAGCTGGGGTCAGTTTAGTGCATCATACATGTGAAAGCAAGCAACCACTCAATCTGTATTTTAGGTATATGGATCTACGAACTTAACAATCTGCAATTTGGCATCAAAATAATGAAGAAAAAGAACTGTAAATGATTTTGCACCTCATTAAATTTAAAAACTAGTGGACGCAAATCTCTCTCTGACGTTGCTTCCTTCTGCACAGAATCATCGGTATTCTGAGAACCTGTACTCAGCTTTCTAAACCTGATTTTCGATTGTACAAGAGGGATCAGAACAAAAAGAAATGACTGCTAGGATATATGACAACCATGCAATAAGAGGCCACGCATCAGGTTTCACTTTTCACCACTAAAATCCAAAAAAAGAATCTCTTCCATGAACAAGCCCTTAGTTACAAATTTTTATCGGCAATATTCAAGAACTTTCCAAAAGGGGTAAAACCATTATTGACATAATGTATCATCACTGCCAGCAGCACTGCCATTTAGCCCACCGTATGAATAAGGCACTTGTTTATATAAAACCATTTAGCCTACCATCAAGCATGAGCAGGAGGACGAAAAATAAGGCACTTGTTCCACAGTATGAATTAGGTCTCACTTCAAAACCCAACTTTAATGATTACTGAAGATAGGTAACAATAACAAGTGATACTGAAAAAGGAAAAAGAATACTGACTAGTAGTGGTGAGATTTTATATGAGAGAGAGAGAGAGAGAGAGAGAGAGAGAGAGAGAGAGAGAGAGAGAGATAGAGATTGAGAAACAGGTATTACCTGTCAAAGAAACTGGAGGAACCATTAGGAGACCTCATACATCCAGTAGAATTTAATTTCGTACTGGCTTTGGTAATTCTAGCAGAACCCAAGTTCAATGAAGCACTAGAAGTACTGGGACTTGGCTGCCTTCCATTTGACATGTTTTCTGAGTTTCCAGCATTTAAAGCACCTGCACCTGCATGATCAGCTCTAGCAGATTGTAAACTACTAATTTCTGTCCCTAAAAGATCTTGGTTTTCCTTGTTGCATCCAACTGTCGAATAAGCAGATCTTCCAGTGCTTACTTGCAAGATCCTTTGCTTTTCAACCTAACACAAATTGACTAGAAATTAAAGAAGGGAAAGAAAATTGTCTGCAAATGACTAAAAAGTGCAGTAACTTTCAACAGAAATTTGCAGACAGAAGAAAGACAAAATACTTTTCTTTTAGAATCAAAGAAAAAGAAACAAAGAAATGATGGCCATAACTTTAGCAATGCACAAATGACAAACTCCCTCTAAATCTGTTGAGAAATAGGGCAAATATGAGATGCATTAACCATAATTTTAGCAGTGTTTAATTAGAGTACAATCTTAATCATAAAAGGAAACTAATAACAACCTAATAATTTATGAAACTAGATTGCACCCCTAAAACAATAAAGATGAAATATTCTAAACGATTTAGAATCTTACAATATACTTTTCTTCCAGCACAGAAACATGAATAGGTTTTGGAGAAATAAAGATCAAGGTATAAAAACACATACAACACACATACGTTTAGATGAGCTTCACTAGACTTACATGATCACATTCTTGAAAGATAAAGTTTACTTAGATTAAAAAATCCATAAGCTCCAGTTGAAGTGAGTTTTCTACGAGTGAAAGAAGAGAGGACAGAGAGAGAGAGTTGGTTTTGGAAAAATAGGTTTAGGGTTTGATAAACGGCCCCACCACCTCAACAATGAATTCACATGATAAGAGATGCTACACAAATAGGAGATTGCAACAATTCCCATGCCTTTAAAAGTCTGCTCTCACCTTTGGTGAGAACATGTCATCAGCCAAACTTAAACAAAATTTCCACAAATTGCATCACTCACCTCATGTGCCAACACCTCTTTCATGGTTAAGGCGAGTACATGATGGCCAGATATATAGCCCTGTTTGAACATAAGAAAAATATATTCGATAAGAATCATAATAGGAAGCATACTGCATCCCACAACTATAACCAACAACTCAAACCTTGAAATTAATAAAGTCACCAATGGGGGGATCGAAAGAGAGCGCTGAGGCATCAGCTGCTTCATGTCCAAGATTGGACTTCATGCTTCTATGTGTTATAGAATAGGAGACCATCGTGCTAACTAACTGAGCCAAATCATTCTTCTCCTTTTCTGATAGTAAGTGCGATGCCACCTGAGAAAGATACCAGAACTGTCATAAACAATAATGACCAAAAGCACAAATTGTCATCACTTCATAAGTGTATAAACTGTATACAGATAGAGAAAAGAGCAACAAATAGATATGTGACAAGAATAATGGGACTGATCTCATATGCATTGCATAAGAGATCTGTACGATGTTTCTCAGAGCTGTCATGGCATAATCCTTGAGAAGGAGAAATTATGACATTACCCCACAAACCGCATCACACTTTAAGACAACTACAATTAACTTGGGTGATCATGATCAAGAAATTTCATCAAAATATTTTATTAACAGAAAGGAATTGATGAGAGAGAGCGAGCGAGAGAATTAAAACCAAGGGACAACCTAGTCTATGTGAGTTCAGATGAATTTCCTTTCACAGTGATGCAGTTCAGTCCTTTTCTTTTTCTTTTGTTCTGTGTATACGTAGAAAAAATACGTAGAAAGTTACGTGACTTTACATATAACAATTTATTGAAAATTAAAAAAAAAAATAAAAAAAAAAAAAAAAAAAAAAAAAAAAAAATAAAAAAACAATAAGCAATATAAGGCCTATATGTCTAATCATCATCCAAGTTGCATACAAAATAGTGAACAACCACTAATGCAAAAAGTGAAGTACAAAGGACATGTCAATCTCAAGCAGCATGTCTTTCAACAACAAGATCATAGATAAAAAAGGGAAACTATTGCTGATAAGTTCAAGAAAATGCAACAAAGATTTGTTTAAGCCAGAAATAAAGTGCATAAAACCTAGAATTAAGCGTGAAGATGGATAATGATATGGTAAGAACGAAATGGAAAGGCAAAATTATGATTCTATGCGCGGATGTGAAAGCTCTACTGATAGAAGCATTCTAGCCTATTTTAATTTAGTTAGAGAGGAGCAATTCCTTTCATGGATTTCATGTGACCGTAGATACTCTTTCTTGATCACATGTGGTATTTGCCAATATCTTGGTCATCTGACCAAGGAACATAACGTTGGCTTTCAAGCACCTGCATGGATAAATATACTAGAAAAGAAATAGAATCAATCCACAAAAATGTAAACTAAAGTAATTATCTGCTCCTAATATTATTCCTCAAGAGCTAGAAGGCATATTTCCACAGAGGAAAAATAAATTCAACAAATCCTTCTATTGGCATTAAAAATAAAAAAAAACCATGAGGAAAATAAGTGATTCAAAATCCTCAGTTCTATTCTATTGGAATAAAATGATATCACAAATTCTTTTATTATGAAATAAATGACAAACACTCTATCAAACTATCTAAAAAAGAGAAGCAAAACAGAAACCAAAAACCACTTGAACTAGCAGATAATGACAAGTAGTAGCATATGCAACTGCTAGTATCTAACATATGAAAGTGAAAATAAAGATCACACACATGCACAGGCACAAAAAAGAAATATGGAACTGCAAACCTGAAAAAACAAAAAAGAGGCAACTAAAAAGTAAAAATATTACCGGCCTTAGAGTTGGGGGAGAGAGTATGTGTAAAAGGAATGAAATTGAGTCTTCTACAAAGGACTTAATTGACAAATGTCTTGAAATAAATGGTGGAACTGTGCTGTACCAAGACCTTAAACTTTCAACCTTCTCCATCAACATTGTTCGGTATCTGAATTTATGAATGAGATTTGATTAGTAAAAAACAAGAATTTGTATGATTTACTTCAAAATCCAACAGGTTTACCGATACCTATGATAAGATTTTGGCCACTCAATATTTGGTCTCTGCACTTGGGCTATCAAACGATGTACGGTGATCGCAACAGCTGGCAGATAAGCTGCAAAACAGAAAAAGGGGAAAGAATCAATTAAGAATATATTTGGAATGATTTACAACATTGAATGGTAGACAGTTAAATATCTTTACCATAAAGGGACACGTGTTGTGTACGCATGATATATTTGTGCATAAGGTCAGAGGCACCAAGACTACTTAAGCATTTGACCTTCAGAGAATAGAGAGCATTGTATAACGTCAACTGTCTTGTTTTAGCACATCCCAGGTAATCAATATAGTCAAACCAGGTGGCTTACAGTCTTTTGCATCACTGGATCATGATAAGGGAGATGCAAAAAGTTTTCATGAAGACCATCCACAATCAAATCATAGTCACCGCTGCAAAGTTATTGAGCAAGCCAGGTAGACATTAAATATTTCAAACACCCGTTGAACATATGATGTTTGCTGCAATTTACTACCTACCAGTTAGAAATGAGAGCATGCAAGGAGTCAAATTCATTTGACATAATTCCACAGCTCCTATTGGTTCTTCTGTCCATCTTCGTTTTTCTCTTTTGGAAGATCTAAAGAGAGTAGCATCTTCAAACATAAGACTGACTATAATGGATAAAGCAATTAAGAAACACATCACCCAATTTTACCATTGTATCTCACCTCTTTCCAGACATCAAACACACTTCTTGACATGTCCTTTCGACCAACCACTTGAGAATCAATCCCCCACTAAAAAGTAAAACATTAGAAAAATAACTTAGTATAAAACCACTCCATTTTAAAGAAAATAATGTTTTTTTCTTCAAACAGAAACTAACATTAAAAATTCCACTGAAATTAACTACCACCATTCACCAGGCAAACACCTAAACTATAATGAGATGGTAATTAGGGCAGTTTAGAAGTAATCCTAGGAAACATCTGTGATTATGACATTGACTAGTATCATGCAGAGAGTCATGTTTACTTTATTTCTCCAGAAAAGATGATAAAGTGCTCAAAACCTTAATACATATTTTCACAATGTTTTTTTTTGAATAGAAACATTTTAATTCAAATTTGAAAGGATAAAAAACAAGGGCATTTAGAACACATACAAAAAGAAAAAACACTAGCCGGTGAAACAGACACAAGGCCACTCAACACAGGACTAAAAAACCAAACATAAAACAAACCCTTAAGATACTACAGCCAGCAGATTGCGCATAATTGTAGGATAGGATATATCCTTAAAAGCAAGGGAAGTTGATGCCCAAAGGGCAGCCCAAAACTTCACTCTATCCCATAACTCTTACCACTCCCACTCCCTTATAATCCTCGAGGATTCTCCTATTACGTTCTAGCCATAGGTTCCAAACCACTGCCTGCATCAGACTACCCCAAAGAATTTTAGCTTTCTTTCCCCTTCCCAAAGCATCAAATCTGATGGAAAGAAGTTCAAAGCAGCCTTCCGGTATTACCCACACCGTGTTAACTTCCTTCAGTAACGTCTCCCACAACTTAGAGAGAAAGGGCAGTGAAGAAGGAGATGGTCCACGCTCTCCCCTGCCTTCTTACATAGAGCACACCAGTGAGGGCTAAGGCACATATAGGGGCAGCGTCTCTGTAGTGTATCACCTGTATTTAGTTTTCCCAACACCGCTTGCCACACAAAGATCTTAACTTTCGGAGGAGTCTTGGCCTTCCAAATTTGAGTGTACGGAGAGAAAACCTCCCCCTCACCACTATTTTGAATATGAGAACAGAGAGATTGACAGGAGAATAGACCGGAGGGGTCTAGCTTCCATCTTCTCTTATCCAATCTGGAAGTGACCAACCTCACACCCTCCAATAACTCCAACAATCTAGCCACCTCCGCTATCTCCAATTTATTGAGATTCCTCCTGAACCCAAAATCCCAGCTGAGAGGGAACCCATCCGAGCCCGTGAAAGAGGAAATATTGTGGTTTTGCTTCCTGGACAAATTGAAAAGTTTTGGAAACACCTCTTTCAAAACACCGCCCTGGCTCCAATCGTCCTCCCAAAATTTGACCCTAACTCCACAACCTACCACGAAAACACAGCCTTGAAGAAACAAATTATAGCCACTAGAAATGTCTCTCCAAGGGCTGCGACAAGATCCCCGAATCGCAGGTTTAGCATCCCACCCATTTGTATCCATTCCATAAATTCGTCTTATCACTTTATGCCAAAGAGCATGAGGTTCGTTAGGAAACAGCCACATCCATTTGGCCCGCAAAGCCGCACTCCTAGCCCTAAACGAACCCACCCCTAACCCTCCACACAATTTTGCCTTACCCACAACCTCCCAACTCACAGCGTTGTTTTTTTTTCCATCCAAACCTTCCCACAAGAAATCCCTCATAAGCTTCTCGATTCTATTGGCTACTCCAATGGGAATCCTGAAAAGGGACATGTAGTAAATCAGAATACTACTCAACACTGCCTGAATCATTGTGAGTCTTCCCCCTTTGGAAAGCAGGCTTCCATTTTTGTAATCTATTCTCCACCTTTTCCAAAACGGGATCCCAGAACTTGATCGCTCTGGGGTTCCCGCCTAGGGGAAGACCCAAATACGACATAGGCCAAGCCCCCCCTTCGCATCCCCAAGCCCCTGCCAGCTCATTCAACAACCCATCATCAAGATTAATGCCAACTAGAGAACATTTCGATTTGTTGATTTTTGTTGACGTTGAAAAATGGTTTGGCACTTTCCTGCGCAACTTAGAGATATTGGGCCTTCGGTATGCTCTGGGCCTCGATAGGGCGTTCGATCTGCAAGATAGCAAAACGCTCGATAAGACCTAGGGCACCGGTGTGGTACCGGCCGAAGGCTCTTCTATGCTTAAGTAAGTACGGATTTAGTAAGTTTGAACTACAGATCAATAGGCAGTATGTCGTAAGTTCTGATTGATTACCTCCAAGCTGGGATAGTTGTACTCTTTTATAGGCCTTGGGAGGTGTGCAATTTGTCTAGAGTTTCGATGTGGGATTGTGGACATCAATTGTGGGACTGCCACGTGTCCTTGGGGGTGAAGTTGTCCTAATTGTGCAATCGGTAGGCACGGTACTGAAGCTAGGTGCCGAAGGCTCCCATAGCTCTAGTTTGGTCCACGTGTCCGATGCTCATTGGCTGTTCATTTTGGTATAAACAATTTTCATACCCAACACAAAACAAAACAATTCCAGAATCTGAAGAAGATTATTCTAGTACTCTTCTTTATCCTCTATGAAAAAAATGGTATTGTCAGCAAACTGAAGGTGGGATACCTCCATCATCTTGTGCCCTAGAGAAAGTCCATGAAACTGATCAGCAGCTTGAGCTATCTCCAAAATTCTGTGTAACACATCTATCACCAAAGTGAATAAGGGGGGAGAGCGGGTCTCCTTGTCTTAGACCCCCTGAGGCACTAAATTTACCCCTTGGTCTTCCATTAATCATCACAAAGAAATTAGCTGTCTCGAGGCATCCACAAATCCAGCTTCTCAACTTGTCCCCAAAGCCTTTCCTAATCATAACCTCATCAACAAATCTCCATTTCACATGATCGTAGGCTTTCTCAAAGTCAATTTTGAACACCATTCCAGACTTGTTAAGCCTTCGACTTTCCTTCACCACCCTATTGGCATTCAAGACCGCATCCAAAATCTGCATACCCCTCACAAAAGCACCCTGATAACTAGATACAGTGCTGCCCAGAACTTCCCGCAATCTAGAAGCCAAAACTTTCGACACCATTTTGTACAAACTTGTCACCAGGCTGATAGGCCGGAAATCACTAACTTCAATGGATTCCTTCTTTTTGGGAATGAGACAAATAAACGTCTCATTTGTGATTGCATTGATTATGCCACAATTGAAGAAGTCCACCATGACTTTCATAAGATTCTGTTTCACAATATCCCAACAAGACTGAAAAAGAAGCATGGAAAACCCATATGGACTTAGCGATTTATTTGTCCCACAGTCACCTCTGCGTTGCTGCTATATAGATTTTTGAAAAAGTTAATGATCTCCAGTTCTATTTCCCCTCCACTGATGACGCCAGAGCCCTCCACTTCCAGCTTCTGAATAAAATTCCTTTTCCTTCTGCCGCTTGCTATACGATGAAAAAACTTAGTGTTGCTGTCCCCATCTCTTGCCCACTGAATTTTCCCCCTTTGTCTCCATTTCACCTCTTCTTTGTGAATTAAATCACTCACAAGAAGGTATAAATCTTCCCTTTCTTTTCTCATAATATTATCTAACCCGCCCTGCCCTTCCATCAAATCAAGATCAGCGATTCTAGCCTCCGCCTCTTTCTTTGCAGAGACCAAATCCCCAAATAATTCTTATTCTAGTCTTTCATTTTCTGTTTTAGAGTCCTCAGCCTTCAAGAGAATTTGTAGCCCTCCCACCCGTTAATCTGGTCTTCCCCCCACCACTATTCCACATATTTTCAAAACGGAAAGGGCCGGGACCCCATTTCCAATTAGAGGTGTCCAACTGAATGGGACAGGGATCATAAATAACTCTTGCCAACGCCGTATGTTTAACCTAGGGGAAAGAATCTTCCCAAGCTTCAGAAAAGAGGAATCTATCAAGTCTTCTGCACACTGCGTTTTCTCTAAAATCAGACCATGTAAAGGAAGCATTTAAGAGACTTGGGTCCCAGATTTGTGTCATCGATAAAATCATTGAAATTCTTCATACTACTTGTCATCATTCCTTCGTTAGATTCCTCAGATACAAACCTAACCACGTTAAAATCCCTCCCAATACACCACTTGTTACCACAAACCAAACAACCCCGCTAATTCCTCCCAAAATCTTCTTCTATCCCTAGGATGACAAGGGCCATAAATACCTGAAGCCACCAAGCCCCCCTAGAAGCATCAAGAATTCTTATAGAAACAGAGAATTCCCCAATTTCATAGTTAGAAATGGAGATAGTTTGAGAATTCCACATCAACACAATCCTACCAAACATACCCCTTGAAGGGGCATACACCTACTCTTTGAATCTAGACCCCCAAACACCAGCTGCAAGTCTTTTGTGAAAAGCTTCTTTCTTAGTCTCCTGCAAAATAACAATATTTGGATTTACACGTAACAACTGCTCCTTCACCACCACCCTTTTCCTTTTGCTCCCGATACCTCACATTCCAGTCACTTTCTATCGCCTCCTTGTAAGTTTTGCCGATCGCTCTACCTCTGCCACTCGATGCAGTACAATCAGCTTCGGCCGATGGGTTGACCTTGTTCGAGTTGATTCTCCTAGTCAATATGACCTCTTAAGTTTTGTTTCATTAAATCCCATCCAATGTTGTTTCGACCTTGAGGAACAACCACAGACCCAACTACGCCATGTAGAAACTTTTTCAGTCGCATATGAAGGCCCTTCCCATTATTAAGCTTTTCCACCCACACTTGATAAGAATCTCCCTTGTACTGTCAGAAAAATCTCTATTCTTCATTTTCCAAAAGCATCTACAACTCTCTGACCAGCCAATTCACACATCTAAGCTCAAGAGAAACATGGAATACGCGCGCTCTAACCTTCTCTGTAATCCGGATTGACCCTCCATAGGAGAGGTCATCTACCTTAATTCGGAATTCCTTTGCTTCAATATTAAAAAACCTGGGTAAATGTCTCACACTCACCACTCCCCCTCTCTCTCTCTCTCTCTCTCTCTCTCTCTCTCTCTCTCTCATGTTTTTTTTTAGTTTTCAACAATTCAATGGTTACTTTTTCACAATGTTTAATACTCACAAATTTCAAACAGAAACTTTGTACTTAAAGTAGGTGACCTAAATGGAAATACAAACCCCACTGTTTGAATGCTTAAATGACTGCAGTAATGAAAATTCCTTTTCAGGTGAAAACATGGTCAGCCTCTATTCAACTATAAAGTCGACCTTACGCAATGAGTCACAAATATTGAAAACAACAAAGATTAACCGTATTTTCCACAATCATGTCATGCCTTCTGTTCTCAACTTGCAACACATGCCAACAAAACCATCCTAGAGAAAGCCAACAAAAGATTACCACATTGAGTGTTTCCTTCTTCTTGTTGAGAAACTGAAGAGTGTTCAAGCATGAACGTATATCACATTCTGTAACATAAAGGCTGGAGTGAGTGGAAAAGATAGATTGAATAGAATGACAGGAATTCTGAAAATAGTATAAACTATTATAAACTAAATTTCACTCATAACAATAATTCAATTTGAACTTAAAATGGGGATCAAACTTGTAAACAACACATCTAGAGTATCTGTTAAAGAACTGGTCTTAACAATATGAATGACCCAATTGAGGAATTCTTTAAAAAAGGATGTATGACCCACCTGTATACCCTGCAAGGGCGGTAAGTGCAATAGAACTTGTTTTCATTTCCTCCTTGGTACATATATATTTCAGCCTGTAATGGAACATTGACGAAATTTGAGGAATAATGTGACATAGGAACGTATGAAACTCTTAAACCCAGTAAATGGGATCAAATCAAGTGATAAACAAGTGCAAATAACAGGCATTGTTTTGAAAGAGACCATGCACTTCAACTAAGATGATATCTATAGTACCAATCGTGGATACGAGTATTGGCATCTGTGACATGGTATATATGTATGGCATGCTAGTACATACATATTTATTATTTTTTTCCGTTACATTACATAATTACTATTTCATGATAAAGACAGAGAGCAGTGAAAACCCTAGTTATTTAATTTAAGATACTTAATTTTCCCTGAATAAAGAAAACATCAAGATTCATTTCCAAGAAAGAGATATATCACGAATTATATCAATACTGAAATAAATTCAGACATGCACAAGTTACTCATTCATAGAGGTCCTCACTCATCTCACAAGATGACCACCTTCCTAAAGGAGTGAATGGAGTGGTCGGAAGTACAAAGAGGACACAACCCAGACATGAGCAAACATGCATCAGACACACATATGTTTTGCATATTCAAATACAATTAAAAGCTAAAAAAATAGTAAGGGACCCTGAAGCTGTGTATCTTCATAACATAATATAAAGGAGAGAATCCAGGGAAAAAGCCCAAATTCATTTCAAAAATTAAAAAATTGATTTGCATACTGATTAATGTTGAATAATCAATTCATGCTAGCTGCAATTAAAAAAGAAAAAAGTTTTGAAAATCATCTCAAATTTTATTTATCCCAGCTGTAATTATGAAATCTTTGTTAATTTACAAAATCAAGATTTGTGACATACCTGTTTCAAATACCCGTTTCAAAGTATGGTTCTGAAAATTATTTATGGAAACTATAAGTACGGTTGAGAACTCAAATTTTGGTGACATTTTGAGTGAGCTTATAAGTTTTGATATCTATATCTTGCTATTCTTTTTACATTTGGTATGACCATGCCATTATCAACTATTATAAATTACAAACACAGGCACAAAGTCGTTCACACACCACGTTCACGTTCTAACTTTTGACAGTCTACTATGTTGTCATTAGAAAAAGTCACAGGCTTACCACATGCTCCATACATGTTAGATATTTTGAAAAGTATTTTATTCACTTTCCATGGATCTAAAACTTTATCCATTTGCAAAGCATTTGGTGGGAAGTGGGGTTTCTGGTTGTTGTAAGATGACTTAGATGAGTAAGATTCATATGCAGATAAGTCATATTGTTACAATTTTGTACCCCGCTATCAAACGATATACTCTATCAAATGAGGTTATTGATGAAAAGGAAGATATACAGAACTTCATTGGCTGGGGTTTAAAAACAAACTTTAGAATTGCATGATATGATGATATTGGTTCTGAACCTTGAACTAATTATTGATAGAAGTTTCAGCCATATATCGCTCTTCACAACAGAATAAACATGAATATAATGAGATGCCAAATCACATCAAATTACGTAAATATGAAAATGGATCCAGTAAACAATTTTTTGGGGAAAATTTATCTTTTGCAAAAGTTACCTGCTTACCACTCGACTCACTGTTGGTTGAACAAAAACATGAACCCTACAAAACAATAAGTAGTGTCGTCATGCCAATAAACCTTCAAGAAATCCACATAACTGTTAAATATTATGGTATGGACTCAGGTTCCAAAATTTAAAACTATCTGTAGTTGCTACCATTGTCAGTTTTTGATAATAAACAAACTTTCATTTAAGGAAAAGAAAGAGGACATGTGTTACCATTATCATTGAAATGGATAGAAAGCAAAAAGAGAATTTACTGTAAATGGGGTGACAAAGATGTGATATTAATAAGATATGCTGCTTCATTTTGTGTACTAACCAATGCAAAACTATGTTTAAATGAATTTCCAATCTCTTACATTTGGAACTGGTAAAAACACTGTAATATGATGAGGACATCTCTGTCAAACCCATTAGGGTTTACAAAAGAAAGAGATGGAAGAGGAAGTCATTCAATTTGGTCTTTAAATCTGGCTATTTTTTATTCCGGCGATTAGTTTCTAACTTGTTCTCTAAGTTTTCCAGATTTTAGTAAGGTTTTTAAGTTTTCCAGATTTTAGTAGGATTTCTAATTTTCCTATTTTATTTAGGTTCAAATAGGGATTTTTAATCCTATCGTCTCTAGGTTTTAGTTTGCTATAAATACCCCTCTCATGTAATTCATTATGGAGTTGAGTGTTGTGACCTTTCTTCCTTTCTTTAGTGTGTGGAAGGCCAAGTCCCCCCCTAAGGTCAAAGTATTTGTTTGGTTGGTGGCGCTTGGGAAAGTTAACACTTTGGATCTTGTCCAAAAGAAAAGACCTTTCATGTATTTGTCTCCTCAGTGGTGTGTGTTATGTAAGCTTGGGGAGGAGAGTGTGGACCACCTTTTCTTACATTGCCCCTTTTCCTCAAGTCTTTGGGGGCTTTTGTGGAGGGAGGTTGGGACCGTTTGGGTGATTCCGAAAGGGTGCGCTGATTTCCTTCGTTCTGATTTTGAGGTGTGGGGTTCGGGGAAGTGCGCCTCAACCTTGTGGGGCTGTCTGGTTCACACTGTTTTCTGGAACATTTGGATGGAGCATAATAGGAGAATTTTTGAAGACTACAAGGGAGTGGGAGTGAGTGAGTTGTGGGATAGAGTTAAGTACTGGGCAGCTTTGTGGGCTTCTGTTACTGAAGATTTTAAAGATTATTCTGTTTCTACTATTTTGAGGGATATGGCAGCAGTGGTTATGTGAGGGTTGGGGGGTGTGTTGTTTCAGTGGTTTTTTGGCTTTGTTCCTCCCTGTTAGTTTGGGAGGGGTTGGTGTTGTTTGTTTCTTTGTGTGTTGGTGTTGTTCTCTGGTTGTGGTTGTCTTATCCACCTCCGTGTTCTTTTGCTTTATAAATTTCGTTTCTTCTAAAAAAAAATTGTTTTCGCTTCCACTAAGCTACCTAAATACTCAATTCACCTGTGGCCTACATCAAATTTGGCATCAGAACCTGGTTTTCGTTATCCTTGGGTTCGAAATTTTCAAATCTCTTTTTCTGCACGTTGTATGTCGAGTGTATGGCTCCAACTTCGGTTGGTAAGAAAAACACGCCAACTATGGTCTATGAACGGATTTTTCAAATGTTGGAAACTCTAACAAAGCAAGTGGCAGATTCGAACACTAGATCCGAAGAACGATCCAAGACTCATGGATCATCGTCTTGCAAAACTAGAAGCATCCAAGCACACTTATGTGGATAAATTTAACGTGATCAATGTTTGTTCTATGAAGAAGGAATCTCAAGAACGTCAATTCATTGATGGTTCGATAAGTGCTAAACAAGGAGAAAATTTTCAAGACAATACCATGGAGAGTCAAGTAGAAGCTGCTGGTCAAGGTGAGCTTAAGGAAGAAGTTTGTGCTCTTGAACTTCCAGCTAGCGATGTGGACTCTGAGATTGAATCTAGTGAGATTGTTCAACCTATGATGGCACTAGTACGTTGCCCATTGGTCGAATCAACATTCAACAAAGGTGCGAAAGGTGTAACTGATCAGTTGGAATTCCTACAATTCATTGATTCTACAGGATTCAGAGGGAAGGCAGAATATGAGTCTATATGTTTGCACATTGATTCCAATTTCCCTAAATGTTACTGCAATTCTAACTCGCCGGAGTCAAGTTCTTCTCAGCCAGGGAGAATTGATGAGGACATCTTTGTTAAACCCATTAGGGTTTACAAAAGAAAGAGATGGAAGAGGAAGTCATTTAGGTTTTTTATCCTATTGTCTCTAGGTTTTAGTTTGCTATAAATACCCCTCTCATGTAATTCACTATGGAGTTGAGTTGTTGAGATATAAAGAAAAGTTTATTTTCCAGAGATTGGAGGCTACTTGGTGTGAAGCCAAACCCCTGGAGTGATTCCAGACCTATCCCTTTTGTTCTATTTTCTGTTTTCCATTGTTTTCGCTTCAACTAAACTACCTAAATACTCAATTCACCCGTGTCCTACATCAGAATATATGCATGCAATACGTTCAATTGCATAAACTTATATGAATTCATCTATACTAAGATGAGGTTTGTGTTAGAGCTATGTACATTACGCCATTTAGATCCTTTTTACTCTTAAAAAAATAATGTATAAAGCATAAGGATATTTTAAGTCCTTCTACTTGATTAGGGCTGTATATATTCTTTGTTATTATACATGTATTCACTTTTGACATTCCCGCAAGACTATCAAATTCTCGTGCCCCTCTTCCTCTTTGCAGGTTTATTATCATGGTAACAGATCAGAGCCAAACTTCTCTTATTTCTTTTGCATGGTATTCTTCACTTGGTTTCAAATCAACAGTAAGGCTTGTTCTTGTAAGGCTTCTCTTATAGTTCTCTGTACCTTTATCTTGATCTCAATCCAACTGAAACCTGGTTACTTTATTACCCCTCTTTTATCCATTGTCTTTCTGACCTTCCCCACATACCAGCACTATCATAAATGTTAGCCAGAGTAATAAAACAAAATTCTCAGGTAATATCTCAAATAATAATTCAATCTAGTAGTCAGGTGAACTTTGAAAGCTTAGTGGCTACTTGGAAGAAAAATAATTCCAAGGTTACTTCTTCGATTAATCACTCTGTCATACTGTCTATTGACATGCAACAGGCCAAATTGTCCATCGCAAATTTTAGCAAGGTTTTCATTCAACCCAAATTTGCCAAGCAGTTCAAAATTAAAAATTCAAGCTACTAATAGGAAAACAAACACACGTGACTACTATACAACTATGATTGGTTGGGATCGGGATCAACTAGAATTCAAAGACATCGCAAATATAGTTATTTTCATAAAAGTTGGAAGCAAAAGTAAGCATATGCTTTGACAAAAGATCTACTGACAAATTCTGTAATTGGGTTTCTATAATTTGTTATCTCATGCTAAGAATGACTTACTTTGCTACTCGGCGCAATGGTCTCAAAGCAGGTGCATAAAGGTCATTACATATGCAAATAACCTACATGTGAGAACAAAAGAATTTATTATAGTATCAAAACGCAAAAGAGAAAAAAAAAACTATTAGTCCATTGAAACTCACAGGCCTCGACAAAGATGCAGTTTTCCCCCCCTTTTTTGAAGAAAACCTTCCCAATTTTAGTTCTTTATTGACATTATCCTTCTCCATATCAAACTTCCTATCAGCAGAAACCTGCATGTAAATATAAGAAAATCAATTATACGATACAAACTAGTGAGCTGAAATTGATTCTTAATATACCAATTTCAGTTCAGCAACTAATTATTGATTTAGTAGTTCATTGTACACACTTACTACATACACTACCCAGAAAATTTTTTATGTTAAGAAATTTACAAAATATTAATATATAGCAAAAAGCCTTCATGGTTAAATTTTCATAAATCCCTTAAATGGCCTTAATTAATTAATTCTCTAGACAGAATACCATTTACTACATAATGGTAAAATAGTAAAAATAAAATAGGCAAAGAAATTGCTTATTTCACCCACTGATTACAGTCTACAGGCTTATCTCATACTATCCCACTCCAACTATAGCAATTGAATCCAACTATGTGCGGTACGAAAAGCATATTTGTACGAGTGTTGGGGCTTTCCAAGAGGCTAGTCCCTTACAAATTATTTTAAAATGTCTCTCTCAATGTCTCCGACCACCCTAGATGGTCTAGTGAGGAGGGAGGAAGCGAGAGAGTAATTGTAAACGTACAAATACAGGTTAATTTTTTTTTTTTTTTTTTTTTTTTTTTTTTTTTGTAGAAACATAGTAATTGTATTACTAAAACATAAAGGGTACAAGCAAAGTGGACTACAAATGACAGAAGATACTACCCTCTGCCTGCAAAACAGGTCACGGAAACTTAAGAACAAGAACACACATCTCTCGACCATGCAGAAACCAGAATCACCTAATCTACTTTCAAGATACAATCCATACAGCAGTCTACCCCAATGAAGAGAATTGCACCAAGGGGATGCCTTTAAATTGTTTGGCAAGGAAGGGCCAAAGGAAGCTAAAAGTCTAATCCTATCCCAAATTAACTCCACCTCCTTCTCCTTAGATTCAGAATTTCACTTGTTCTCTTCCAACCAAACACACCACAAAAGAGACAAGACAGTACATCTACAAAGAATAATAAACTTGTTTGCACTTACAAGGCTACAACCTACAATACAAGTAAAACAACCAATATTGACTAGCCTAATTTATCAATGCTCAATTCTACTTCTTGTAACCATGAAATTAGTGAAATTCAATGGTCTTGCTTAAATATACATAAGGTAAAAAATGTGCACATAAAGTCATAACCATGCTAGGGTTTTCTATCCTAAAGATTGAGTTTCCAATTCAAACAATTCTGGAAGGATCCTAATGTTATGGCATATGCCGACAAATAATTAATTGTGGTAAAGAACCTGAAACAAAAAATGGATTACCATGCTACTACCCTAATCCTGGCACCATGGATCATAGAAATGAAATAGAGCGGAAAAAACCTTACTAAGGCAATTCATAAAGCATTTCATTAAAGGATTTGACATTTTTTCCAGATCTGTAGGGGTAATTACATTTTCTTTTCATGCTTATTATTTAGTAATGGTCATTAAGCCATAGAAATTTAATTCTTTAATTTCTCAACTTTGAAGATGATAAAAAAAATGAATGTAGAACAATAGAAGCATCGATAAGTGTACCCACTAAGCCACCAAAACAAATTTATGAATTCCCCAGATACCTCAAACACAGAAATTTAAGAATTTAAACCTGTAACCATTACCATTTTTAGAATAAACTCCACGACACCTTTTCCATCACCGAGAGCTCCATCTATTTCGTCAATCACCTAGAGGAAATGCAATTGATTTAAGTCATGTGCACCCACAATAAAAAGGTTGAGCTTGAAAAGTAGAACCAACCAAACACTTTGGCCTCGAGTCAATTCTCACGGACTCCTTATGATCAACTATGACCGACTCCATCTGAACGACATCAAGAATTTTAGCCCCAATTGTGGATGATGATCGATCATCACTAGCATTAACCTGCAAAGCATGAACATCCTCTTAAGTACTTAACTAGTGTGCCACAGAAGTGAATGCAATATTCCATTATACAAAAGCCTTGAACCATGAAAATCATTTAAGGCTTTTGTATACTGAGTAAATAAAGGGACTTAATTGAAACAATTAAAAACATAAGCTAGTGGTTGATATCCCTAATCCATTCTGGATTGATTGAATCTGGTATTAGATTGACCGGCCTTTGATAGATTGATCGACTTTGCAAGAACGCTTGCCCAATGTTAGCTAGAAGAAAAGGTGGGAGTCCCCACTCTCTCGGCCTGTGTGACAAACAAGCAACCTTACTAATAAAGGCATAATGTTCCATATCCTTCACAGCCACAAATAGTTATAAGGCTTAATTACTCTAGTACCCCTTAAACTATGGTCAAATCTCACATTACCTTCGAAAATCACAATGAGCCACATTGCCCCCTTAAACGACTTATTGTGTCTCACTTCGTCCCTCACTGTTAAGTCCATCGAAAAGGCCATCAAAACAGCAAACATGGCCCGAACGAGACCCAGACCCATATTTTACTGAAATAAATGTCAGGTGGATGCCATATGTTAAAAACATTAAAAATAAAATTTATTTAAAATAAAATTTCATGAGCTCTTCTCTGTCCCCAACCTTGCGTTACCCCATGAAGATCCAAGATGTTCAATCCCGACTTCAAAACCCACACCTAAATAAGAGACTTACAAAGCAATCATCATTGCTAAGGGTAAAGATAATGTTGAAGCTTTGGTTTGTTTTGGGGGGTAGGGATAATAGAATTAAGAAGATGTAAGGGATTTGGGATTGGGCAGGGGAGGTTAGGGTGGTATGAATGGCCGAGGAAGGGTGTGTTAGAGAAGGGTCATGGCAGGGGGGTGAAGAATAATTGCAATATATTTATTGTATTTTTGCACACATGGCATAAATTTAACAAAACAGTGGTCCCGTTTGTTCCACATTAGCATTTTTAGTAAAGTATTTGACAGATTTGATGATGTCAGTCAAGAGGGCAATGAGAGTCGTCGTGACTTCCAAGGGGCAATATGCGATTTGAGGATAGTTTTAGGGGCACTAGAGTACTTAACACTGGTTATAATTCCTTCGCTACTATGTCTGATCAAGTGCCCAAGCTCATCTCTTCCTCATATTGCGTTACTGGATTACCAGACAGCACAAGACCCAAAAAAAATTTGAAGGACCCAAATGATATTTTAGCCTGATAAGTAACTCCTAAGTATACATACAGCAAATGATACTGAATGATTGATGGAATTTTTTTAATAAAAAGAATGATGTGGCTGCAACTGCTCATAATTAGGCGTGCACTGGTAAGAAGTAAACGGCATACCTCCACCACTCGGTACCCACAATGCTTTGCAGCTACATGTGCAAGTGTAGTCTTCCCAAGCCCTGGGGGGCCACAAAGTAAAAGGATCTGCAATGATCATGAAGTATGTAAGTTACGAGTCCAATATAACTTAACTGCATCTAATATACCATATACAAGCATGAAATGATATCACAACTACCTATAGCAAGGTAGTTCTTTGTTGTAAGGCACAAAATGCAAATAACAATGAAAAAAAATCACTATGCTGAAAGAATTAATATTCTACCTTTTCTTCTGGGGGACCACTAGACCTTGACCTGTTCCACAACTCTTTTATGCCTTTTGAATTAGTATTTTCATTATTCATATCATTAAAATGCTTAGATTTTTCATTATCCCATCTGGATCCTCTGTTATTCCTTGGAACCTTTGAATCAGAAAGTTTTTTATGTTGAGTTATAGAAGAATGTCGTCTCAATGCAGACAAAACATCATCGGAAGTGCTCTTAATTTCAGATCCAAAAACACAAGGATCCCATTGTTTTAACCATAGGAGGACCTGCAATGGGAAAAATATAGAGGTTAGTGATGCTGACAGAAGTTCTTTTGGGAAAGTACAACTACAAAAACATATGTGCCTTTTGGAGCATCAACTCCCATAGGAAGTTATGAGAAAGCATTAAAACAAAGATAGATACCTCACGATTTGTCAGTTCATCACTGAGAAGCTCAGTAAATGAATTTGGAGCATATTTATCCACCCAAAGTTGTTCATGCACTACTGGAGATTCAGGATGAATAACATCACCCTGACTTTTAGAACGAGCTTGCAAGGCCTTCAACATCAAAAGAATAAGGTATTAGTTTAATTACAAATATCCTTGCTAGTACTAGTTGGAATTCAACAACTCTAATTATGTGTAGCATATCAATACAGCTTTTCACTGTAAGTCAGATAGATTCGCCAAATGTTTTGACAGAGTATCTATAGGCCCATGGGCAGGTAAGAGAAATTTTAAGAAATCCTGATTTGGTCTCAATTTGGTAATTTAAGACAACAATGGAGATGGTCAATTCCGTACTTACTATGATACATGTCTAGATGATAAGATTTATGTGCCCTTTACAATATTGAAGGTACCTAACCTGAATTTTTAATACGACATGGATTGAAGTGCCATGACTTAGATAACTCTAAGCCACCTTTAGCATTGACACTAAGTCATGTTCAACATAATGCGTACCATACCTTCATAAACGCCTCTTGCTCCACTCTTTGCAATAGATCCTTAATAGGTTCTGAAATAAGACCTACAAAAAGTAACACTTTCCAAGTCAAGCTAATGTGTACTACAACTTAAATAGACCATTTGATGCAATGGAAAGTTTAGGGTTTAGGCCCTAAACCCTAAAGTTTATTTTCTTTCCCCATGCTTTCTCAGAGAGCAAACAGCTAGAGAATAGCATCCCAAGTATTCAAGAAAACAAACTGGTTCTACCTCCAAATTTTCCTTTTGCACGCAATATCTTGGGACGCTCCACCCTCTCTATCCTGCATATCTTCGCGTAAACCCTATCGCCGGCACCCGGCGCCGTCACCGGAATGAAATCACCATGGATCTCCGACGCATACCTTGACACAACCTTCTCCTCCACAGCATCAACAACTTGTTCATCGACCGTAGGATCGCTCTGGTGTGGAGGCGAGTACTGAAGCCAGTCCTCATTATTCTTGGACCGGTCCAAATCATCCATCTTGCTCCGTTTCTCATCCGACAGTCCATCGTTTTCGGAAATCGACCCATAAGGACCATCCAATGATCGAAAACGCTTATGACCGTTGATTTGGGTTTCGGATGACGACGGGTGGTCTGTGGATGGTGATTGTTCTTTTTCGTATTCTTCTTGGTGGGGTTCCGTTGGTTCAAGGTCTAGCAAGTCTTCGTGGAGGTGATAGTTGGCTTCAAGCAATTCGAGCTCTTCGGGAAAAGGAATGTCCATGTCCATACTCGATGATCGCAAACGGTTGCGGGCGTTGCTTTGGGTTTCGGAAGATGACGGGTCGTCTGTGGACGGTGGCCATTTAGAACCGGTAGGTTGTTCTTTTTCGAATTCTTCTGGGCAGGGTTCCGCTGCTTCAAGCAGTAGGCTGTCTTCGGGGAGGTGATAGTTAGCTTCAAGCAATTCGAGCTCTTCCGGAAAGGGAAAGTCCATGTTAATGTCCGGCGCGTTTGAATGAAGTTTGCAAGTACCTCAATTTCAAAAGGGTGCTTCTGTATCTGTATTATAGTCTAGATATCCAAGTGGCTTATTGTTGCGAATTAGGCCCCTTTTTTTCGTTCGAAAGAATTAGGCCCGTTTAGAATTGCGAACTCTAGAGTTTGTCGAAAAGTGCTTTTGTTCATAACCTACCCACGAAAATGAAAGATGAGTTTCGATTGGCATTACCACATTGCGATCGTGACAAGTCGTTACTACTAGCAATGACTTCCTCTTTTCCTTACTTCATCCTTTCTCTCTATGGTTGCCCAAGCTAGAGAGGACCTTCCCAAGCTAGAGAGGACCTTACTCCAATAAGTAAAGGTGGAGGCTACCCATATATTGGAGCTCACCTCTCATCTCTATTAGTATTAAAGAAATGATACACAACGTGATATATAAATGTGTATGTCTAACATTTTCCTTTCCATTTATACCCTCATAAAAGCAACTCTCTACGCCCACTCCCAACACACTACATTCCCCAATACACTTACATTGTCATGCAGGCAGGAGGCACAAAGTATGTAGTTCACAAATGAACTATGAAATCATAGCTTTCAGTTTCGAGTTTCATAAATAAAGCAGAGGCATATTAACGGTGACAACCATGACGATCAACAATATCAGAGGAACCAAAACGGAAAGAAAACTCCACGAAGTGATCATATGATGAAAGAGGAGGAATAAACGTTTATTTTATTTTTACTACATTAGTTTTCAAATGCTACAAGCATTGGAGAACTAATGTTGGAGGTAGTAACCACAGTAGTTAAAGTGCGGCAGTGATACCTACGTTGCAATGCCAACAGCAACAGTTATGATGAGGTGATGGTACCAGCAATACCTTGGTAATGGGTGTGACTTTTAACGTAAAAAATCTCACATAAATGTCCTGGAATTCTTAAAATAACAAATTTAAATGGAATATAATATGACCCCTGAATTGCACATATTTTTCCACGAATTCCCAAGTGATGCACGTGAAAAGCAGTTTAATTGTGGATCAAATGAAATTAAAAAAGCAGCAAATTTTAGAGTAAACTCAGAGTCTTGTAAGGTCTACCAAAAAAAAAATCTTAAATATCCAAGCCATGTAACCAAAAAATAAAAAATAAAAATCCGAGCCTCAGCTTTTTACCCAACATCTGAAAAGGGAGTGCTACTTGTAATAATCATGAATTGCTGTAAACCATACAACATGCCTTGCGGCAAGTAGGCATCATTTCATGATCACCTTTTTCACAAAGCTCGTATCCCCATCTCAAGCTGCTCCTATTTTGAGTTATCTTATATATCCCTGCAAAAATTTTAGAATAATCATCCTATATTGCTTTGTTCCTGTCAAAATTGGGCAAGATACTGTACAGTATATTAGATTGAGTAATATATGTATGGGAACATAGCTCAAATAACAGGCCCAAATTTGGCAATCCTGAAAAGATGCGATCGCTTTACAACTGCAACAGGTGGTGCCAACCATCATCAACGGTTCATAAGGCCCCAGTAGCCCGTAACGCTGCAGGCTCAATCAGATGAACATGGCATAACTAAATTTGTGCAGTAATCAAGTCAAATTTGGGACATTGCGGTGGCTATCAGCAAATTCACGAACCAAACGCTTCAGAACTCTCCCCCCTTTCCCTTGCATGTGACCATAACTATTATGTCCTCCATCACAGCTCCTGCTCTCGATATAATCTGAAGCTGCACCAGCAAGGGCCTTAGACCAAACCGGCACTAAAGTTTCAACTTCCCCTTGCTTTAGGTATTCGGCAGGAAGAGCCTGAACCTGCTGTAACTGAAATATTTAAAGAGTCTGGCATCTGAAGAAAAATACAAAGTCTAACACATCACATAGAAGGAACTCTGGTCACCAATTTTTTTATATTATTTTTTTGGTGCTTACATTTCGCATTGGGAAGAATACATTCTAAGTTGAGATAGAAAGACATAGAGAATTATTCTAAGCAGACAGGCGCATAATTTTGGGTATTAATTCACTAATGCCCACTAAATTTTGACCCCTGTTTGAATTTGGTCTTTTTTTGGTCGAATTCTCATTTTGGTAGTGAATTTTGTATTATTTTGTCCCTTCAATCTTGAAGTTTGTGTTTAATAAGGACAAATTATAACTTCTGTTAACCTTTTAATGAATATTATCATGAGCAAGCCAAGCGACAATTTAATCAGGGATATTTCAATGGCATTTTTCTTACCCCCTACCCTTTCCCACTATTAGTCATGGTTAATTCTTGGAGATAGAGAGAGAGAGAGAGAGAGAGAGAGAGAGAGAGAGAGAGAGAGAGAGAGAGAGAGACCGCTGAATGTAACCATCCATGTAAAGATTCCCAACAAAGAATAGCCTTCCAGGTTGTTCTCTCGCTTAAACTGCATATTGCTGCCAATTGTTGCAAGATAGTTGCACATTTGTGAACCTGCAAGGAAGCAATGGCAAATAATTACTAAGCTGCAAAGTTATGTACGCCATGTACCAGTCAAGGTTAACTAAATTTAACCACCTATGTTCTAGATGTGACAGTAACCTTTTTGTCACCATGTTATTAGGATAAAGTGCGATTCTTCTTAGAAATCAAATGCTCTGAATGAAATTGCATTCATGAAACAAAAAACTGGATGCCCATTCTTAATATGAAATCTTGTGCTCAAAGACAACGAAAGAGTGAAACTTATATTCATCATAGGTAGTTTCTCCATCACTTTCCCGTGTTTTTTTGTTCTTTCTGAAAAGGAACTTTCCTGTGCTTTATACCAGTGCAAGGATGATATAAAGGATAGATACATATACATTATTTTTACTTGCATGCTATTACTTACATAGGTTAAAAACTGAAATATGAGGACATTGTAAATTTACCCGTGACATTGCCGAAACACCAAGCAAAGCATAAATCAGATTTGATACAAGTCCCTCGCCACTATGGGATATGACTTGAATGGCCATTGCACTGAATGATCCTTCAGGGGTACAAGTCATAGAATCCAACAAAGAGGCCAGGCCCACTTCCAAGAAACCTAGTAGGTCCATACAAAATAGTCAAAAAGCCTCACTTCTGTCACTCAGACACAGGTGAGATAAAGCTCAAGAAACAGCATTATTCTTGTGAAGAGACAAGTGCAGGCACAAGCTCAGACATGTAAATAAAATTTACTATAATTACAGTAGTTCATCTTCCACAACTACCATTCTTGTTGTCAAGACAAGGTTAAATGGAAATGGAACTGACTTAAACAATATGATATATACAATTGACCTCAGCTGATGACCACAAAAGACTGACTTCATATCCAACCCAAATCACAATGATGCTGGAGTAAAAGCCACGAAAGAGTAGAAATTTGAAGCATTTATAAACATAGAAGACAGTTTATTACCAAAAAAAAAAAGAAAAAAAAAGCTGTGAAGGTAAACATGTATGAAGGTAAGAGTTTCCACCATTCATACAAAAATCATGAAGCCATGCCCATAGAAGTACGACTGGAATAAAAACACACATGAAGCAGCATTGCAGCAACTTGTAAATTTTGCTTATTGCTGTTAATGGAGTTAACAGTAAATTAACACTACGTTTGGTAGAGGAGAAAAGTGGAGGGAGAAAAAAGGGGAGGCAGAATAGGAACGGAACATTAATTTTTTTCATTTGGTAGGAGTGATGGGAAACAAAAAATGAAGAGACAAACTCTAGGGTCCTTGAAAAACCAATCCCCCCCACATTGGAGAGAGATTGGAAGAGGGAATGAGGAAATCTTGTGTCATTCCATTAAATGAGGGTCACATCATAAGAACATGATTTAATGCTCCTTCTCCAGCAATCAAGAAAAGGAAAACCTCTCCCCTACTCATAGGCATCTTCTTTCTTCGTAGGTTAATACTTTCAAAGAAAACTCTGCACCAAGCCTTAACTGCATATTTGACCCTAAATCACAAACCAAAAGAGCACTACAACAGAATGAAAACAATTATTTCTGGTTATGGTAAGTAGAGGTGAAAGACAATATCAGCTTACAAGATAAGTATGACATGGACGCGAGTGCTGCGCCACGATGCATAGCTGTGCAGCATATAGCTGCCTTTTGAAAGGAAATTTCAAGAAGGGTACCAGATGCAGCCACTACTTCCTGAGATGTCAGACGATGTCATATTGATTTACTTCATAAGATATTAAACTCTCGTTTGATCACTTAAATTACAAAACAGAGGAAAAAATTACAAAATGGAAAGTGTACAAAACCTTACGAGTTCCGCGTACATATGTGGATGCAAATTTGTGTACGCCTCCACTAGATCAGGCTCTTGGTCACATATATATGAAGAATTAAGAGCCATTACCGATGCTGCATGTGTAAATCTCTCCAAAGTGGTGACAAACAAGGGTCCATACTCCTCTTTGTTACCAAATTCTTCAATGACAACAGATGCTGAAATGGTATTGTCCCAATATGAAGAGAGAGGAAATAAGTTTTAAATGGCACCCAAAAGCAACAACAAAAGAAAGATAAAGAAGGAAAAGCATAACCAACCAAATGTTAGAACCGCTCCCCTAAAGTTGCAACTCCTGTTCCTACTAACTCTCAAAAGTGATAACAATGAATCATCTCCTTTTTTTTTTTTTTTTTTTTTTTTTTTTTTTTTTTTTTTTTTTTTCTCCCATCCATCCAAGTGTTTTTTTTTTTTTGTCTGTCTGCCTGCCTGCCCGTTTGTCTGTCTCTCTCCCTCCCTCCCTCACTCCCAATCTCAGAAATGTAATCCACTTCGCACATAAATAATGGTTCATTAAAAAAGTTAACAGCAAAATTCTAAAACACAAAATTTTGCCTGAAGTATAATGTCAAATATCCTACCAGTTCTTATGTAGCATTCATGACTTTGGAAAGACACATAATTTGTTGATAAGCAATCTAGTACTTTAGGCAGTAATCTTAAGAAGTGTTGGCCTGCACAATAAGAAAATTCAGTTATTTTGTGCACAAACAAAAAAATAAACTTGCAGAGACACGTCACAGAGAGATATAAAACACCAATACCTGATGACTGAATTGCTTGTGTAAGAGCTCGGCAAGCTGCTGTGGATAAATTACCATTCTCCATGTGCTCAGACCAGAAAAGTTTTTCAAGCATGGGCCAAAAAACTTGCAACAGTGCAAGCATACAATCATCTGCAGAAGGTCCACTCTGCATGGATGTTGCAAGATGACTGAATACGGTTCCCATCCTGAAATTAAAAACTAGAGTTTCAAAAGCTAGGGTAGAACAACATAATACATAAATCTGGAAAGAAAACAATGAATTCTCGAGCACATAAGATCAATATAATCCAAGAACAAAACATCCAGTGATCAACATGAAAATTGAAAAATAAAGGAAAAGATCAGTTTGCATGTGCCAGGATATTTTTTTATTTGGGAAATGCAGAACCTTTGCCTCCATACTTATTCTACAATTTTGTGATCGTAGGAATGAGCTCAAGAACCAATGAAATTCAATGACTAAATACAGTTTCCTTCCTGAAATCAAACAGAGCTAAAGCTGAAGTAGAATGTAGTACATAGATTTGGAACAGAAACTAAGAAATCTTGAGCACATAAGGTCCAAATAATCTGAGAAGAACAAAAAATCCAGTAGCCAGCACGAAAACATAAAGAAAAAAGAACGGATCCCCCAACACCTGTCTGCATGTGATGGTTTATTTTTTCCTTAGAAAAAATGCAAAACCTTCACCCAACTTTCAATTATCTTGTGTGTTGTACAATTCTATGATCTGATGAATAAGCCAGAGTACCAGTAAATTTCAATGACAAGGAACACCCACAATATTCCCTTCATAACAGAAACCTTGCACAGGCTCTAAATAACATGTATGCACATACAAGAGTAAACAAGTAATCTTGAACCTTCACCCAACTTTCAATTATCTTGTGTGTTGTACAATTCTATGATCTGATGAATAAGCCAGAGTACCAGTAAATTTCAATGACAAGGAACACCCACAATATTCCCTTCATAACAGAAACCTTGCACAGGCTCTAAATAACATGTATGCACATACAAGAGTAAACAAGTAATCTTGTAGCATACCTGTAAAGTCCTCTTGCACCAGAGTTCAAAATTTGTGTGTATGTAGCAGGATTCTGTCTAAGACAATGGTTATTGTCTTCATCAACCTGAAAGAACATCAAGCCACTACTGCATATCAAACTGAGGGATGTTTATATCAGTAGTAGTAGCTCATTATTTCAGTATAAATTTTAAATGGACATCCTGACCCATGGCACTAGTCCTCTTGCAACCATATGATTTCAATGTAACAAATTAAAAGGAAAAGGAACCATAGCCCCACACTCTGATTGAAAGATCTAGAATTAATTCATTTAGGAAAAAATTTGGTTGAAGATCTACATTTTGCATGGACACAATTTTAGGTCTGGCTTTGTACGACTGTTGGAAACCTAAACCCTAGACCTTCAAAATGTATGACTGCTGGTGATGCAGCGAGTTTAGCAAATACATACATGGATCATTGGGATCACGTTCATGCATGAGGAAAGTCTTAATAACCTATATTAAATAAGTGTCTCTTTGTATGTGGGAGTTATCTAGGTTCATGAATAAAGTTATGGAGAGTCTTTTCATCTTTGTGAGTTATAGGGAGATTTAATGTGAAGTTATCATTGGGAGGGAAGTTGGGATAGGAAAGGTTTAGGAGAGTTATAAGGAGTTATCTCATCATAATTGTCTAATCTTATCTTAGGGGAGTTATGAGGAGTTATCTCATCTTGGTTGAGAGGCTCCTATAAATAATGCATGAAATTGTAAGAAATGGGCATTTGATGTTTGTTTATTGAATGAAGATTGAGATTTCTCTCATCTCTTTACTCTTTTCTTGGATATTCTCAGAATTAACAGATTAGAGTTTTAATTCCGAGTATTCTTAGAATCAATGGAGTTAAGTTTGCTCAAAATTATCTTTTGTTCTTGTTCCGCTGCATCAGTTGGAAACCTACTTGAGACCATGTTTACTTAATCAGGAATGGGTATTGGAATTATTCCAATTTCTGCTTCCCCTGTGTTTACCAACATAAGGGTATTAGAATTAATCCAATTCATGACTTCCCTGCGTTTACACACAAGGAATAAAAATTATCTAGGTTCCATGTTAAAAAGAATTACATCAAAATGACAGGCAAGTGATATAACATATAGAAGGTAGCAAATATAAAAGAATTACAATTGGTCAAATTATTGGTTGGTAGCATTATGCTCCACTAGCCTGTAAACGAAATAACGAGAGGAAGACCTTATTTTCAATACGTTATGTTTTATAAACAAGAAAAAACTAACCATTAGTTGAATAGAAAATAATCACATGATCACACCAAAATGACAGGCAAGTGATATAACAAAGGAGACCCAAAAAAAAGAAAAAAAAAATACTTACAAGTTTCCCAATAGCTTCAAAGCTAGAAGAAAGCAACCTAGCCAATAAGTTGCTCTTTAATTCTTTGTTAGTAATAGAACCAAGGATAAGACTAACAGCACTAACAACTTCTTCCTCATCTTCCATTGGTAACTGTCTCTTCTCCAAACCCTACAAAAACGAGGACACTATTTACAGGGCAAGGGCTGTGAAAGAATGTATGTAAATAAGAGAAAAACCTGGACACCTGTACATGAATTTGCAAAACTCGCAACAATAAGGGACAAATTTTATAAAAACAATTGGAAATTGGGAAACCAAAGAAAATCCTTAGCCATATGATTGGATGGAAGAATCATTTATTGTATATGCCTAATTCTGCATATGTAATTTTAACAGTAAAAGATATATTGACATAACTAGAATGCATGAGCAAAGCATTCACTTTAATCAGGAAGCAAGAACACAAATCGAATGTGAACCAAAAATTTGTAAAATGAACATGATTAACATATATGTTAGAATGGATTATAGTCAGAATAATTCACCTCTCCTATCCACATCAGAATCTCCAAATTCGAAGCTTCACACATGAATGCAGAAGAATCGTCACAAACTTTACGCAAGGCAGAAGCACAAGAACTCGAGGACAGGGGTTCCGATATTCCAGCAGCAAGAAATAATCTAAAAAGCAAATCAGCCGAGAAAAGGAAATTGTTAATGCAAATATGTTTTAACAAATAAGGACATATTATATCCTTCTCCACAATGGTTTACCAAAAGACAGTAATGAAGCCGAAAGCACTTGGAAGAAGAGAGTACAAGAAGAAAGGACTTACAGTAAAGGTCTAGCATTTGTTTGGAAAGCAGATATCCACTTCGAATAGGAGCCAACAACATCCGCAAGAGATCTATACACCTGGATTAAATAAAAAGTCCACAGGACATACAAATCAGTAAGGGAAAACAAACTTAAACTACTGAAAACCAAATGTTCACTGCAAATGATGAAGGTGGGGGAATCTTTAACATACAATGCACATGATGCCCTTCAGCTCATCTAAAGGCCTAGTGGACAACACTGTAACCAACTGCATGATGACTGAGAAATCAAAGGTTCGGCCCTCCTGTAGGACTACCTCAGCAACCTGGAATATGAAACTTTTACGTTGAAAATACAAATACTAACCAGAGTAAGTTAAAATCTAAATACTTTTTGAATGGCTGCCAACAATACTAAAAGCAGTTCAGAAAGATTACAAATCAGGAAAACCCATTCATAAACACACACACGCACACCCACAATAAGTTGTACTTGCCACATTAAGAGCAAACAACTTGGTTTCCACCTCCTTCCAGGGTATTGGTGCATTTGCAGATGCCCAACCAACAAAGAAAAGCTACAATGGAATAAATAAATAAATAATTAAAACAACTTACTCAATGGTAGAGAATTATCCAAAAAGAAAAAAAATACAATTCATTTGCAAATATGTATTATGAGCTTGAACATGCATGCAACCTCTACGAACATGTTGACCACGTAATATTAGAGCAAATAACAATACTGACAACTGACTAGGATAAAGGTAGCTTCTAAAACATATTGAAAAGAACATTAACTGGTAACATAGTGCTATGAAATGTTATTTTGGACCCAATGTGCAAGTTATTGAAGAATACAGTTTCAAGTTTAAAATTTAAAGTTTAATAATAATAGAGTACAAAATAGAAGAGAAACTCTTGGTAACGGCATTTAATACAGGATCACAGAAATTCAGAAACAGCATGCATTGCATTCTAACAGCTCTAGTAATGAGCAAGTTTAAATGCTACTATGCTGCTGTCAATTAAGTTTTGATGGTTTGCGATTCATATTTAAGTTGGTTGGATCCCACAGCTTGGTTAAAACATACATAAGCAAATTCTAAGATGATTACAGAGATTGGGTTGTTCTCTGTGGCACAATATTAAAATTCGAACATTTGAGCTGTGAATATGTGAGTTATAATACCATGATTTGGTCATACAAAAAAGAAGCCCTGCACAAAAGATTCCTTCAAGATGAAGATATAGCATCCAGTTTATACTTTAAAGGTGTCCATGAAAACAGAATTTTCCTAGATTTGTGACCAAAAAATGTAACAAACAACAATAGTCTAACGCTGCTTTCTGAAATGCAGTTATTTTAACCATTTATATCTTTTACATCTAGTTATTTATTTTGTGTCAAATCAGAATAAAGACCAAAAAGTGATATACCATAATAACAATAAAACATCTAAGAAATATGAAACATATACAAGCACAAAAAGCATCTAGCTGATAAAAATAGCAGTCTTTTGTTCTATAATGAACATCTGATGTCAAGAACTATTATTTGCAATGCTTGCCGCAGCAATTTATGTCCATGAATGTTGCAGATGTTTGTACCTATTCAGATATAGGGACAAACATTTATTTCAAACACAAATCAAGCACCTTCTGGACAAATGTAGCAGATCTTAAAAGCTGACAAATATCCACCAAAAGTTCAACAAGATTCATTCTAAAGTGGACAAGACCGTCAGGCAGCTCAGGTGTTCCTTGTTCATCATTAAACATAGAATCATCTACCTGTCAAAGACAAAGATTCAATTTGTATATCTCATTTATCATTAGGAATTATCCTATTTACCAGAAGAGTGAAAATGAAAATATAAACCAGAGAGACCAGAATACTGAGCAACCAACTGCTCTTTTGTCACGTCACCAAGAACAGCCTCAGCATATTAATTATGAAAATTTATTTAGAAGAACCGCTGCATTATACTCGTGAATTTGTATTAAAATCATTGTCCAGTTTGTGTATTCTCGTTCTTTATGGTAAAACTGACTAGATCTGTTCAACCAAATGTCTGTTGTCACATGTCAGCGATGTCATTATTGGGCCACATATCCTGAGTTAATTGACTACTTCTCCTACTTTCTGCATCAAGAACAATCCTCGATTTTCTTTGCTGCTAAAACTTTTTAAATCTAAAAAAACATACACTTCCCATCCAGGCTCTAACTAATACCTCACTAAAAAATAAAATAACTGAATCTACCTTCAGACACTAACAACCTAGTTCCCCTACTTATTGCATCCCATAATGGCAACTGCAAGCATAACATCATATATCAACTAGCCTCCATTAGCTTGACTGACATAGAAGAGGAGCCTTTAGCATGAGCAGTAGGTATTTTGAAGTGCTAGAAGCTAGTATTTGATCAGGCACAAAAAGGTTGGTAAATACATAAAAATATAACCTTGCCACAACAAACTGACATAGAAACTCATATTTTAATCAGCTTCAAGTTATCACGCCACAACTTGCATATAACAAGGCAGACAAGCAAAGAAGAAACCTGAGCACGCAACAAAAGCGCATCAAGTAATGCTGAAAATACTGGGAAAAACATGTCTTCCACTTGCTTCCTCTGTTTCGCACCATCCTCATCAAGGCCAAGAATATAGCTTGCAAACCCAGACCTAAGAATATGAAACCCTCACAGTTATCATCATTTAAATTTGATAGAGAGCACCAGAAGCATGATCAATCGGACATGCTAACATTTTTCACCATAACAGGAACGTCAATGCAAGTAAAAAGTAGCCATTTTGAAAACACAATGTGGAAGAGCTTGAAGTAGAGGTATTCATCATGACCACTATCCCATAAGCATATGATAAATTAAATTTGACTAGGAAAAAATGCCAAATAAACAGAATATTAATCACATTGTGTTTGGATTTTTAATCACAGATTAGAGTTGGATTTGTATCTAGGCTTCTATCACTTCCATTCAATATATATGTTGCTGATTTGTAGAATATCAGCAATATCAGCCAGATATTGGGGACGTCAGCTTAATCTCAAGGATATCATTGAAGAAATAGTTTTACCCTCTCTATTCATACCGATGACTAAAAATTCCGATATATCGAGGTATTGACAGACATTGTCATCCTTGCCACTCCCATCTTAACCGGGGATCCTTTCTCCCTTCTTCCACCCCAACCCATACTCTAGTTCTCAGAAGTTGAAAACCATCAATCTCGTATCTCTAATACGATAAAAAATATTAACTCTTTTTCTTGGTTGATACAACACTTACCTGGAACAGTTCATGAATGGAAATTCATCTAAGCAGGGAGTGATTCATAGAATCACTGATTCACTAAGAGCTAATCAACATGGTCGTCCATGATTCTTGAATCATCCTTAGGTTTGCTTTGATCTCAGAATTTGAAATGGATCGTGTATGATTGTAAGTATTTGCAAATTAAATTGAAAGCCTTTGTGTTAGCTGGTACACCAGTACTACAGTCAGGCTGACCAGCTCACTGTCTTCTAGTTTCTTACTCCCCTTAGGTCATAGTATGCCTTTCAGTTATGCCTTTGCGCATGCAAAATTCAACAACCAGATTAAGAATCTATTTTCATCATGTCAATGCAATAGTGTAAAGATCTTAGATCTCTTTACCAAAGTCCAAATCATTTTACACGTAACAGAGTGGAACAAAAACATAATAAAAAGTCATAAGCATGCTTCAAGTAATTCCATAATTCAAGTGCAACCAGTTCTTTAAAACTGAGTTGAATTTGGACAAACAACAATTAACCTCTAAACAGATAAATAAAGTTAAGTACCAAAATTGCAAAGTTGAGTCTGCTATCTCCCAGTCTTCACTCGGAAATGTCACGCAGCTGTCAGCATTTTTAAGATGTTAAGATACAAAATTTGACATCAGATAAAAAGAACCTGACACCAAGTGCCTAAGATCTGCAAATATTACTCAGATGGACAAGTATTTCAAAGAAGACATACGGCAACCAAACTGTAACAAATTTTCCATATCATGCAGAAGAAAAAACCCCCAAATCTACTGTGATAATTTGGATCAATACTAAGAATTTGGCCTTTCCTGGCCTGATCCTAAGGCTTTGCTATTCAGTGTTTACTCATTAACATAATATCTTTCCAATAAATCTTTAAAAGGTATATCACCTTGTTTGATGAAACATGACAAAGAGTTACTTAAGTTAGAAATTTAAAGGATTGAGATATAACCTTAAAAGTGCATCCGCCAGCGCAACTGCCTCAGCACTTGCTTCTACAATCAGAGATGGTGCCTGGAGTACATTAAACAAATAAAAAAAGGGTAATGATAAAGATGGTTCCAGATAATGATGATAAGTAACAAAATGTACTGCATCTTTATATCATTGAACTATAAAGTCATATCATCCAAGACAACCGTTCATGCATGCATGAACCATTAAAACCCTGTAGAATGCAGTGTCAATGAATGTAAGACTTTATATCAATACTTACAGCCTGCCCAATCTCTGACAATAAGCAAGCAAGACCACCTACTACTTTCTCATCACTATTACTAAGAGCTGGCATAAGTAGTACTTCTTTAAGAAAATGCACCCTGCATAACAAAACATGGGGCAGCCCCTACAGAAGAAAGAAGAGGTGTTTATAGGATTATTCATTCAACAGATTGCAGTATAAGTGCAGAGAGTGCAAGGAATAACATGTAGAAACACATGCAAATTGGATTGAACAATTGTTGGCTTCAAACTGTCTCAATATTAAGCAAACAAAAAATATATACAAGAAGGATTAATTAAAGGAATTAGCATACCTCATGTCGACTCACAAGCTCAACAAGAACTTCTATTGCCAGATCAAATGAAGATGACACCTATCACCAACAATGCAGAAATAGATCAATTATGCAACTCAAATCAATTTTAAATATTAAATAACAAGAGTAATTGAAATTATATAAATTACCTGCAGAGAATTAAAAACAAAGTTAAGAAGCGGATGTGCTGGTAATAATCCATGGGGAATCTCTGAAAAGCACCCAGCCCGAACCTGAATATAATAATAATTCATGGGGCATCAACATTTTGTTATTTGATGACAGTAAAAACATGCATATATTTTTTTCGGATTGGTCATTAGAAGAATTGGATGATTAAATCATACCCAACTCAGTAAGCAACGCAGAATTTTCTGTTCCTTTCATGTAGTTGTACACCACCATCAAACCCTTTCTCAGATTGTTGCAGTAGGAACTCAAGAACCATAGGTGTATGTGAGAGAAGCTGCATAAAAGAGAAAGAGAAATATGAAGATAGAGAATAGAAGAGGAGAAGAGACAGGCAGATGGAGAAATATAGCTGCATTAAATGGAAAGAATCTCCTGCACCTCTTGGCCATACTGGTTTCTGTCAGCTGAACTTATGTTAGAGTCAGTATTTTGGTTGTCTAAAACTTCTTCGGGTAAAACAGTAAGCATCTCCAGAACAGCAACATTGCCATCAACCTGGGTCTGCAGATTCTGAAGACTATAAAAGAGTTGCTCAACAGGCTTTCCATGCTCAGCAGCTCGCAGTATAAGCGCAGAGAGTGCAAGGCATATTTGTGTCAAAAGCTATCACAAACAATCAAAAAACTCATTAGAAGAACTTTATTTCCGACCATAAATGTAGTAACAAAGTAAAAGTACAATATAAGATTTATCTTTTGTTCCAGTCATATAAAACAGAGCCTGCTATTGCCAGCAATTTAAGGTAAAAAAACAGCAAAATCACAGTACCAGATAATCACAATCATCAACATTATAGCCTGCATATAGCAACCAACAGAGCTACTGAAGCATCAGAAGCTTTCTAAAAATGGGATAAAGTTAAAGAACCTGGTGAGGGCCTGAACTAAATCTTTTAGCAGCCACAAGAAGGGCATTTAGCAAAGCATCTTTATCTCCTGACTGCAAATAACAGCCCTCATTTTGGATCTGTAATGTAACATTACGATAAGCAATATGGTTGTATATGGCAGCACTTTTGAAAAATAGGCATTCAATAATCCAAACAAATACATGACTTTCAAGTTTCAATTGATGCTTATAGCACAAGATTCAAGCAAAGCACATTAGTGTCTTAGGTTTCACACAGGTGTCAAAAGCCCTGATAAAGAAAGATGGTTGCAGTGGGTAGACAGAGCCTAAACATACTGATATTTTACAAGCAGACAGTTCTTCTGATAGCTTCTTCCCTAGAACACTTTGTACAGTCATCCAACAGATATATCAACGTTAATATGAAGTACCAAAAACATAAAATAAATTAACCACCACTGTTTCCCGCTCCAGCTTTTACACACTGAAACGATTATCCAGTTAAATTGTCCATCAATTTTCATAAAAAAAGTTTTCACAAGTGCTTCAAATAACATGAGAATGTATTTTCATTAACTCCTGAAACATGCTGAATGCCTCTACAGCAAAATACAAGATAAAAACATCAAATAAATAAATTTAAACAAAGATGAAAAATAAATTTTATGTCTAATCAGTTGAGTTGTCCGTGAATGACAGAGAATGCCGCAAAGTAACACGCCCAAGTGGGCCGCGGAGATGCGGTGAAATAAGTCTCGATACACCACTAAGTTGCAGTTCCTTTCCTTATTTATCGACTCCGAATGAAGCAAATGATAAACTGTAGCAAGCTAAATAATAAACATCATGAGAGAAGAGGACGAGGAAGATACCTTTCGTTTAAGAATCTGGGCAGCGAAGAACTCAACCTCGTAATCGGAGACGAATGAGTGGTGAAAATCGGATGTGAGGATGGAGGTGGCGACCTCCCAAGCGGCGTCGGTCTGCTGAAACTGAACCAGCCATTGATTTGCTGCCACACGGTTGCACGACTCTGTATCGTGATTCAGGACGTGAACCGCCTGCGCCACCTTCATTTGCAATTCCATTTTCCCTCCTCTTTTAATCTAACCTAATTACTGATAATACTAATCCAATAATAATTCTAAGATACGAACGTATGGAAATGAATCATCGAAAGCGAATCACCAGAGAACGACGCCTGTAAGTCACTCGGTCATTTACCCCGCTTGAGATTTTTTCCAAGCATTCCGCTTCCATCTGACGGCTGCTAACGACCCATTTGCCATTGCTCTGCGCTGTGGGTTTTCTGGTAGGGTGACAGGCCAGTAGTCCGTCAGTATCCCCGCGGCCTCACACGCACCATTAGGTCGCTGCCCAAACCCCAAAACCAATTTAGGGCCCCATGGTAACGTTTTGAGAGAATATTTTCACAAAAAGAAAACAAACAAACGAATTTTTCATAATGTGAACTTGGGAGAGGACGAAAGAAAGTTTAATGAAGTATTTATTTAAAAAAATATATGAAATAGATTTTTTTAAATTTTTTTTGGTTGCTTACATCATCGCTAACTTTAGCAAACCCAGACTCGAGGTCATACTGGTTTGGCCCACGGGCTGGCCTAGTTTCGTGGGTCCCACCGCTTGCCCAGGCAAGCAAGGCCAGGTGAAAGCACTTCCCTGAACTTGGGCCTGTCATGTCCAGCTGCAGTCCATTGCTGGAAGTGCTCTAAAAGGTGCAGTGAGAATTGATCATGGTTCAGAGTGCACTGTAGCAATTAAACTTGTGTTTTTTTTTAATTTTAACAAACGACCTTGAGGGTGGGGTATGGCCATTAAACACTTGCAATTTGCATAGCGTGGTTGAACAGCAGAGCAGAGCGGCAGGCCGGGGGCAGACGATGAAATTGTTTGACGCACACTGTCACTTGCAAGACCCAAGAATCTTTGACAAGGCACCCCAATTGATTGCAGCAGCCGTTGATTCTGGCGTTGTTCGTTTTGCTGTTAATGGAGTCTCTGAGGTACCGCTTTCCATATCATACATTTTCTCTCTCCTTATTGTGATGCCTATGGCTGCTCAATCTTCTTCAACATCGTCATTTTAATAATTCCATTCAGAAAGATTGGCATTTGGTCAAGCAGATTAGTGAGTCCTATCCTTGCGTAATTCCCTGCTTCGGTCTCCATCCCTGGTAAATCTCTCTCTAGGTCGAGATTGAAGTTTTCGATTGTATTTTCTCCAACCCTTTCTTCTCTTGTATTGTATGTCACTAGGTATGTTGCAGAGAGGACACCCAATTGGCTCAACACTTTAAAACAATTCTTCGAGGCTACTCCCTCTGCTGCAGTTGGAGAGGTTGGTAGCTGCGGTCCATTGGCTTAAATAAACTTTTTTTACTTTATGTTTATATCTTCTGTTTTCCTGTATGCAAATGTACGATTCGGGTTTTAATCAATGATTCAAGTGAGGAGCTCTGTGTTGATAATTCCTTAGACCATCTCCAATCATTTCCCTCCATATTTTCCCTTCAAAATCTAACTTGATATGATTTGAGGAACCCCAAACATAACTTGATGGGTGAAAAGTTCAGGGAATTCTCAAATTTGGAAAAGGCTTAGGGATGGGTGGGAGCACGATTACATGTCATTTCCCCTGATTAGGAAGGATTGGAGTAGCTCTAAGGTCAGTTTCCTCCCTTCCTTCTAAATGAAATAATTAATTTCCATCAAATGCCCTTGCTCTCATTATACGGGTTCTTCCTACCCAAACTAAGACAAACGTTTTGTCTGTTACTTGGCTCTTGGGGTTGAACTTCTGCTTTACCCATTTGAGGGGCTTTCCTTGCTATCTTTAAGAACATTTATGAGCAAAGCTTTGGATGTGTCATCCTTATATCACCACTGCTATCTCTTTCTCTGATTTCTGGTTCTTTATGAGTCAGCCACATCAATTGTTTAGCTCACATGAAGTTCCTACTGGAATAATCCTATTCTTTGCAAGTATGAAATTTATAGGTTCCAAAGCCTCTATACACATGATTAAAGGCACCTCTAAATTCTAAGTTCTAATACAGTCATGTAAACCTTTCAGATTGGCTTGGACAAAGGTTCACAAGGGAAGAAGGTTGATTTCACAGATCAGGTTCTTATCATTCCAACTCATTTTTCCTAAATATTCATATAAGTTGGTCATCTCTTGTTGTTATCATCTATTGCTTCCTCTTGTTGTTATTGGTGGGGAGCCCAGGTTTGTGATTGAAAGTTTTCATGATAATCAAAAACTTCATTTTAAGATAACCTTGTGTTTTATTTTATCTAGAGGACATTATTTCTCAAATTATATCTCATAAGAGTCTTACTGGAAGCTTATTCCATGCAAGCATCTGGAGAAAAGAGCACTAAAGTCTTAAAGAGATGAAAAAAGAGAACTTGGTGGATGCGAGAGAGAGAGAAAGAGAGAGAGAGAGAGTGATGCAGTACGCGTAGGACCTAAATTTATTAGTTTCCTAATGTATTTGTTAGTTTCCTAGATTCTCTAGTTTTCTAAATTCTAGTAGGATTTCAACTTTTCCAGATTTCCAGATTTCTAATTTTAAGTTTCCTTTTTTATTTGGGTTAGGATTTCTGTTTAAGCAAGGGATTTTTATCCTATTATATCTAGATTTTAAATGCAGATTTGGATATTGAGTAAAACTTCTCTTAAAACTATGTGATTTCTGTCCTTCCTTCTCGGTTCTCTGATTTCGGTCCTTTCTTTCGTCCCTTCGATCTATATTTTTGTCTCCTCGACCTCCAATATTCTTCTTGTTCTACTGTCTTTCGTCGTTTCGATCTATATTTTCGTCTCCTCGATCTCTTATATTCTTCTATATTCTTCTATGTTCTATTATTTGAGTGCTTAATCTAATACCTATGGGCTGTACTACATCAGAGAGAGAGAGAGAGAGAGAGAGATTTCATGATGCAGGGCAGCGGCTGTCCAGCAACCCAAACAACCCAAAGTACAGAGAGAATGGAAGGATAAAGCTGTAGAATTGAAGTTGGAACGAAGAATTTTGATTTCTAGGGCTAAATTCCAAAACTCTTTAGACTAAAGTCCGAAATTATATTGATTGAAAACTGAATACAAGAGTCTCTTAATAGCCTATTTATATTAGAATACACCAGCGTAGAATTCCTATTCCTAGTTTACTAAGAAAACCTAATTGATAAATGAAATTAAAAACAAAACAAGAAAATAAACCAAATCCTAAAGAAGATAGGAAAACAATTAATTTAATAATTTAATATAACTTAGTCCTTTTTTACTAGGATTGATGAGAATTTCTGCACAGGAAATCTATTAAATTCCAGTTATGTCCTTGCACAAAAAGATGCATGTAACTCTAAAATGAATAACTCAATCTAAAAGTTATTTTAGCCCTGGACTCCTAACCCAAGAGAAAATATCAGCTATAGCACCATTCTTTGTTTGCATCATACATGTGCAGCCATACATAATCACATGCATGAAAGGCAAACATGTCTTCGTGCACACAACCGACGTATGTTCTCATGCAGAAATTTTGCCACAACCTTTTATTGGCTCGTGGGTTCTGGTATTCTTCAATATTCTTTGCCCAGTTGAATAAACTTGGGGCATTTTTCTGCACAGTTCTTTCTTGGAACAAGGACACTACGTTTTAGACTCAATGGTTGGGATGTTAATGGAATGTTTATGGAAATTTCAACTGAACCAAAGAGTATGTACACGTGATCTCACTTTGTATCCTTCTTGTTAAAGTTGGAAGAGGTCTTATTAGGCAGAATGAATGTATGTTGGGGACTGTAACTAACTCTTTTGACAACAAAATAAAGAAGAGGATGGAAGGCAATTTTATTTTACTTTTTCCTTTTATCTTTCAGTCAAGCAAGTCTCCGTGTTGTTATTTCTGTAAAAATTTGAATTGCCATGATATGCAGCTGCTTGCACATGCTCCTGGTATCTTAATGGGCTGATTAGAATTGTTTTTTTATATCCCATTTATCATCAATTGATTCCATAATCCTGTTAATGTGTAAGGTTTCTGCTGCAGGTTAATGTATTCAGGCAACAACTTGAAATTGCAAAAAAGTTAAAAAGGCCAGCATCCATCCACTGTGTTCGTGCTTTTGGAGACCTTCTTCAGATAATGAAGTATGCACACACACACACACACATATGTATATCTAATTTAAGTTTTGCTTTTTATATGTTTGTTAATTGTTTAGTTTGTAAAGATTATGAGTTTTTAGTACATGGGCATGATTATAACAACCAAGAACCGAACAAGCTATTGTCGATGGGAACCAAATTGAAAGTGGGTTTTTCACTGTGGTGCTGCTTGGTTACTATATCGCCTGAGTTTTTCCAATTTCTCATGTTTAAACTTAGAAGTTTTTTTCATGCATCCATCCGGCCAGCACCCCACCTGAAGCGGTTTCTTGCAATTGCAACCACTGGATTTCATGGCAGCTCGTCTCTGTAATCCTTCGTATAGAGCCTTTACTTATGAGAAAAATGTTGTGCTCTGTGTTCTTTGACTTACTGAATAATGATTGCTATTTCATGGCCCGTAGGTTGATTCTGCAGTTAGATGTTTTCATGCAGAACAACCTTGGAGAAGGCATAATTTGCTTTTCCATGGCGTAGATGCTGCCTTCTTCTCTATTAATGTTAATTATAGCGTGTAATTGAGGTTTATCGAAACTACTTATCTATCATTGCCTCATATTATATTGTTTTATTTAATGCTTTCTAAAGATGAATAGTTATCTCGTCAGATCTTTGGGTCCTTTTCCTGCTGGCGTCATTCTTCATTCTTACCTAGGTTCTGCTGAGATGGTTCCTGAATTTGCCAATCTTGGTGCTTACTTTTCTTTTTCTGGTTTTCTTATGTCCATGAAAGTACACAAGGCAAAGAGGATGCTGAAGATGGTGAGTTCCATATTTAGGTTGTTGTGTATGTACACCATTAGACATTATTGGATCCAATTTTGTTTTTAATTTGTTCTTTCTAGGTGCCTTCTGAAAGAATTTTACTGGAGACAGATGCACCTGATGCATTACCCAAGTCTGAGTTAGATTCTGCGCATCTGGTTGAAGGAGCTTCCCTTCCTGAAGAGCTTCAGACAATAGAAATTTCCTCAGCTCCATTTGCTGGTGCAAGAGATGTATCAACATTTCCAAAAGAAGCACTAAATCACCCAGAAAATATTCACAAGGTAGTGTTTTACAGTACACATCTTGGTCATTAGTCGTTTTAAAATATATTAATTGTTGTTGTCATTGTAGTTTCTACGGCCACTGTTTAAACCCTAATTGATGTAGGATATGGATAAATTATAGATTTAGGTAGTTTAGTGGAAGTGAAAACACTGGAAAACAGAATTAAATGAACAAGGATAGGTCTGGAATCACTCCAGGGGCTTTATATTTTTTTTTTTTTTTGGGGGGGGGGGGGGGGGGGGGGGGTGGGTGGGTGGTGGTATTTATAACAATCTAACCCTAGAGTGAAAAGGAATTTACTAAAGCTGCTCCAGAATTGCAGGATTTGAAGATTGAATTAAATGATTTCCTCTTCCATCTCTTTTGTTTGTAAATCCTAATGGGTTTGACAAAGATGTCCTCATCAATTTTCCTGGGCTGAGAAGAACTCAACTCAGGCGAGTTAAAATTGTAGTAACATTCAGGAAAGCTGGAATTAGTGTGCAAACATATAGACTCATCTTCTGCCTTCTGAATCCGCTAGAATCAATGGGTTGTAGGAATTCCAACTGATCAGTTACACCTTTCTCTCCTTTGCTGAATCGTGATTCAGTCAACGGGCAACTTACCAGTGTCATCATAGGTTCAACAATCTCACTAGATTCAATTTTAGAGTCCTCATCGCTAGCTGGAAGTTCAGGCGCACAAACTTCTTCCTTAAACTCACCTTGCTTGATTCTCCATGGTTTTTCTTGAAAACTTTCTCCTTGTTTAGCACTTATCAAATCATCAGTGGATTGACGTTCTTGAGATTCCAGGTTCTTTGAACAAACATCGACCACGTCAAATTTATCCACAAAATGGCGACTGGATGCTTCTATTTTGTCAAGATGACGTTCAATGATTCTGAAATACTCATCAAAGATGGTGATCTGATATGACACCTTCTCTGTTAGAGTTTCCAGCAATTGAACAATCCGTTCATAGACCATCTTGGGCTGGTCTGTCTTACTAGACTTAGTTGGAGGCGTACACTCAACATACAACATGCAAACAGAAGAGAGTTGAAAATTTTGAGCCCAAGGAAAAATGAAAACTAGGTTTGATACCAAATTTGATGTAGGATATGGGTGAATTATAGATTTAGGTAGTTTAGCGGAAGCGAAAACAATGAAAACAGAAAATTAAACAATGGGTAAATTACTCAAATGGTCCTCAAACTTATACCTGATTTACATTTTGGTCCCTAAACTAAATTATTCGTTCAAATGGTCCATCAATTGTATATTAATCGCTCCATTGATCCTACCGTTACATTATGTTAATGTTGCCGTCAAATGTAAGGGTAAAACCGTCCATAACCATCCTATGTTCCCCAAATAGGTGATAAAGTGGTGATACATAGGTGATACATTGGTGATAAAGGGGTGATACATAGGTCAAAAGTCTTATTTACCACCACAAATGTAGCATGTGCTGCTCACATGACTAAATTTAACAGAAAATGTAACGGTAAGACCAAAGCGCCGATTAATAAAGAGTTGGTGGACCATTTGAACAAATAATTTAGTTCATAGACCAAAATGTAAATCAGGTACAAATTTGAGGACCATTTGAGTAATTTACCCATTAAAAAAATAAGGAAAGCTGCTCCAGAATTTTAGGATTTGAAGACTGAATTAAATGAATGTCCTCATCACTAATCCCCTAAAATCTGGGAAGACTTGAATGTGTAAGTTTGGATGAGATATTTTCATTTGTAATGTCTGTTGACAAACATCTAAAACCAACTGTTTGACACATTTGTTTTTACATTGTATGATAGACATATCTAACGACCAATAAATTGACAAAATTTAAAACCAATTTGTCTGAGCTTAGATAATGTGTAAGAATAAACAATTATACCTAATCATTTATAGTAAAAGATACAATTATGTTTGTGTCATTTTCATTTCAAGTGATTTCATTGGAAATTTGGCATGTAAATATAGCAAAACTATTTAGAACTTAGAAAAACATCCCATGTTAAAGTAGTAAACTTATGAATTGGTATATATATAAATTTTATAAAATTTTACACACACACAGAGAAAACCTTGTTCTTGAAGGAAGTTGCAGTTCCACCCCAAAACCAATTGGCAATGGGAGAGTAGCCCAACTCCTTATAAGTCCACTATGATACCATGAAGGAAGTTAAGATTTCATCCCAAAACAAATTGGCCATGGGGGAAGTAGCCCAACTCCTTATAAGCCCTTCCAGGGTTTGTTAGTTTCTAATGCGGGATATTTTCACCTTCACATTCTCACAGTTCTTGTATCGTTTTAGTTATGATATATGGTGGATAACTAACATGATAAGTGATGGTGATAATCTAATGAGTGTAATTATGTATAGATCCAACTATGTGTAACCCTTCATTTAGTTCATTATATATTGCAGAAGCCACTTAACATTTCATTAATGAATACTAAAGAGATGAATCAAATGTTCATTCAGATGTAAAATTAATAATTTCTTTTATTTTGTTAGAAAAAGAAAAGGGCAAGGTTCAGACATGCCTTTGTGATTAAATCTTTTTACGTGAATCTCTTGGACGAGTGTGTCTTTTGATACTTGTACGGCTGCATAGAAAGGAGTAGTGTCTAAATTGACATTGACACTTCGAGGCCTCAACCGAATTATTTTATATATTTTTTAATGTTGACCAAATGTAGTTATTGCGGGGTTGAGAGTTCATGTATACATTGTAACATCCTTTATGTCAATGATTGTTTATTAGTTTATAATGTTTGTTTAAGCTTAATGGCTCCTATTCCAGGTACTCATCTATGTAGCATCTTTGGTAGAGATGACCAAAGAAGAACTCGCTGAAGTAACTTACCAAAATGCAGTACGCTTATTCTCTTACGATACCTGTGGCGGGCAATCTTAAACTAAGTGGGAGCCTAAGTATACTGTGTACTCCACTCAAGTTCTTGCTTCAGATATGGAAAGGCCGTATGGATTTTTGTGACGGGCTATAATAACAAAATCATGGTCGGAGATAGTGAGAGAGATGGTGGTGATGGTGGAGTATTTGCTCCTTTATTTTACCGGCCATGTGATTGAAGAGGTCCTTTGTTACAAAATGAGAAATACCTTGTAATTTTATGTAAAAATTTGAGTAGCTGCTGAATCTTTATGTTGGTAACTTTTTGTCAACCTTTTCTACTTTTTATTATTATCTACAATATCAAGGGTTTGATGTTCGGTGTGTGCTGGTGCGTCTGGGTTTTATGTTCTGTGTGTGAGGGAGAGAGAAGGTGGGAAAGGAGAAAATGGGAGAGGAAGAGGTCGGGCTGTTGGTGGGGTTGGGAAGTGCAGTGAGACGGGTTTGTTTGTTTTTAATTTTTAATTGTTGTTAATTTTAATTTCTATATATTTGTTTTTAAAATTTTAAATTAATTTAAAAAATAAGGAAATTTTAATTAATTTAAATTTTTTTAGGGATTGGTTAGCGGTAGGTCTCATAGTAGATGCATCATCATTTAACGTCTAATCAAACAGTCAACTTAACAGAAGGTTTTAAATTGGTCAGATTTGAAAACATTGGGGGTGTAAATTGATGAAGTTGATACTTATATCCATATTGAGAATGATCCTAAACATTCAGGAGTCAATTGTCATTAGCCCTAAAAAACATTGAAGAGCAAAAAGAATAGAAGAAGAGCTTTTCGCAAACGAGATTGCCGGTGGCGATGTGAGGGACGCTGAGGTTGGAGAGGCTAGAGGCATAGGTGCCTTTGCCAACGTCTGGGAAGGCGATGTGAGGGACGCTGAGGTTGGAGAGTCTAGAGGCATAGGTGCCTTTGCCAACGTCTGGGAAGTCGGTGTGAGGGACGCTGAGGTTGGAGAGTCTAGAGGCATAGGTGCCTTTGCCAACGTCTGGGAAGTCGGGGAAGACCCATGGACATTCATGTCTGTCATGTTGCATAAGAAGAGAATTTTTGTTGATGACAAAGGAAGGTGTTGTGACGTCAACTTCAGAATTTAGAAAAGATGAACGAAAGCTTCAGATTGAGAAAGAGCTCGCAACTCTTAATCTCAAAACATGGTTCAAAACCGCAATAAAAGTCCAATTTTAAAATATAAGGTATCAAAATTCTAGAATGCCTGGTAATTTTCGCATTCGGTTATGCGTTTTGGGGTTTGGGGTTGGCTTGGTTATCGGGTTTGTGGGTAGGGAAGGTGGGGTGGCGACTGTGGATGGGTGTGGTTTGGGAGATGTGGGGGAGAAAATGTTGTTTTAAAAAAAAATATATATAAACAAATTTTTTTTTAAAAAAAATTAGTTTTTATATATTTAAATAAATTTAATAAAATTTAAATGAATTAATTAAACATATTAGTCCATTAGACAAAATACGAGTGAGTGATAACACTAATTGCCACGTCATTATTTAACGAAGAATATGACGGTCAAGCTAAGAGAGGTATGAAATTTATAAGAAAATAAATGTTATGGCTGCGAGACGAAAAAAAAATTGACGCATGGACGGCTAAAACTCAGTAAACTTCAACATAGTAAAAATGAAAATTACCCCAACAAAAAACTAGGTTTGTTACCTTATAATTGAAATTTATGTACATTTTTCATAGATTGAAAATAGTTACCCAAAAATTTATAGAAAAAAATACGTAGATTATGTATCGACTATCCTGAGGTTTATCGAATTTTAGCCATTATTACATGAATTTTTTTTGGTCTCACTTTCATACCCCAACTTTCATTTAACCAGAGTTTCATACCTATCATTAGTCTTTCGGTAACAAGTCTGTTAACTATTGATATGGCCCTTTTCGGTAACACAATATTTTACCAATAAGTTATAAAGTGAATAGCCTATATCTTACGGGTAAGTAATAGAGTGAAAAGCCAATATTTTACCTGGGATATGAAGTGTCCAATTTAGGGTTTATGATATATACCAAGCCTAAATTAAGATATATGAGTTTTTTCTTTCTTTTGTATGGATGACATGTGGAGGCTTGAGAATGAAAGAGAGATATTTATTTTTACAAGAGTAAATAAATAAAGTTTGTGATGAGTTGAAATTATATGCTTTGAGACAGAGTGGTGACTGTGGTGTCATTTTTGAGTGCAAAAGTGAAAACAGTTGCTGTCATTTTTGCATATAAGCGAGCAACTGTAAGCATATAAGTGAGGGAGGGAGGGACATAGAAGTGAGCAATTGTAAGCAACATATGCCTAAAGCAAAAACAGTTCCAGACTATCACCTAATCTTACCTATATATTTGAAAATGCAATATCTTACTGGTAACTTATAGAGTAGAAAGCCTATATCTTATTGGAACGTAATAGAGTGAAAAACCTATATCTTATTGGTAAGTTGTAGAGTGAAAAGCTTATGTCTTAGAGCAAGTCCACCACAAAGGCCTTTTGCTTAGGTAGGACAGAGCCTAGGCCCGCAAAAGGCTCCAGCGCTCAAAGGCAAGCCTGGGCAAGGCGTGGGACCCACTAACCCAAGCAAGCCCATAGGCAAATCCAGCACGTGCTACTGCCTGGGCAAAGTGACGCAATGTTGACGTCATAATGATGTTAGCAACCAATTTAAATAACAAAAAAATTGAAAAAAAAACTAAAAAATTCAGATTTTTTTTAAAATTTTAAATTATCAATACCTAGCCATATTCTTTACTTCTCACACCAAAATTATATACAAACTCATCTTCTCATATCTCATATGAATAGTAATTGCCCTTGCCCTTACCTATAAGGGTGGGAACAAAATTGCAAGGGCAGCCACTATTCATGTGAATAGTGATATTTATGTTTGTGTCAGTTATGTTTTAGCAGATCTTTTGTGAGGATTCGAATCGACACAAAAGATCTGCTAAATCATAGATGACACAAACTTAACCGGTTCAACAATACCTGCCTATACTTTGAGCTAGGGTTGACTGTGGCAGAGGCTATGAGTAGCCAATTTGATTGGAAAAAGTATGAAAATTCAAATTAGAGATTGAGGATTTGAATGGACACAAAAGATATGAAAAAACATAAAAAATAAAATAAAAATGAACCAACTCAACAATGCCTGTTTGTTCCTCGAGCTAGGGTTGGCCGTGGGAAAGGCTAGGAGTAGCCAATTTAATTGGAAAAAGTATGAGAATTCAAATTAGAGATTGATGATTCGAATGGACACAAAAGATCTGCTAAAACGTAAATTTAAAAAACTGAACAGACTCAACAATACCTGGCTGTACTGTGAGCTAGGGTTGAATGTGACAAAGGCTAATAGTGGCCAATTGGACTGGATAAAGCATGAGAATTCAAACTAGAGATTGAGGATTCGAAGCAACATAAATGATACCAATTGAACCGATTCAACAATACATGTATGTACTGTGAGCTAGGGTTGGCTGAGGGAAAGGCTAGGAGTGGCCAATTTAATTGGAAAAAGTATGAGAATTCAAATTAGAGACTGAGGATTTGAAGGAACACAAAAGATCTGCTAAAAAACGTAAATTAAAAAAACTGAATCGACTCAACAATACCAATTTGCACTACAAGCAAGGGTTGATGGTGGGAAAGGCTAGGAGTGACCAATTTGATTGAAAAAAGTATAAGAATTCAAATTAGAGACTGAGGATTTGAATGCACACAAAAGATCTGCTAAAAACATAAATTATACAAACTGAACTGATTCAACAATACCCGTTTGTACCTTAATTGTTTTTTTTCCAATTAAATTAGCCACTCCTAGCCTTATCAGAAAAATAGGCTATTTACTTAATAAATTACGGGTCAGATGTTGCGTTCTCAGATATGTAGGCATTTTACACTATAACTTACCTGCAAGATACGGTGTTTTTCAGAAAAATAGTATTTTCATTCAATAAATTACGGGTAAGATATTGCGTTATCATATATATAGACATTTTACACTATAACTTACCGGTAAGATATTGTGTTTTTCAGAAAAATAGGCAATTCACTCAGTAAATTACGGGTAAGATGTTGTGTTCTCAGATATATAAGAATTTTACATTATAACTTACCAGTAAGATATGGTGTATTTAGAAAAATAAGTTATTTACTTAATAAATTACGGGTCATGATGTTGCGTATATAAGGATATATAGGCATATTTACGCTATAACTTACCATGATAAGTTTTGATGAAAAAAAAAAAAAAAAAAAAAAAAAAAAAAAAAAAAAAAAAGGCACAATCAATAAATTATGGGTAAGATATTGCGCTATCAGATGTATATGCACTTTACATTATAACCTATAGGTAAGATGTGGTGTTTTTAGAAAAATAAGCTAGTTACTCAATAAATTATGGGTAAGATGTTGCGTTCTCATATATATATAGACACTTTACACTATAACTGACCGATAAGATATGGTGTTTTGAGAAAAATAGTCTTTTCACACAAAAAGTTACGGGTAAGAAATTACATTACAGATATATAACATTTTACACTATAACTTACTGGTAAGATATGGTGTTTTCAGAAAAACAGGCAATTTACTCAATAAATTACTGGTAAGAAGTTGCGTTCTCATATATATAAGCATTTTACACTATAACTTACCGGTAAGATATGGTGTTTTTAGAAAAATCACTCAATAAATTACTGGTAAGATGTTGCGTTTTCAGATATATAGGCATTTTACATTATAACTTAACAGTAAGATATGATGTTTTTAGAAAAAATAAGTTATTTACTCAATAAATTACCAGTAAGATGTTGCGTTATCAGAGATATAGGCATTTGACACTATAACTTACCAGTAAGATATTGTGTTTTCAGAAAAATAAGTTATTTACTCAATAAATTACGGGTAAGATGATGTGTTCTTAGATATATAAGCACTTTACACTATAACTTACCGGTAAGATATGGTGTTTTCAAAAACATAAGCAATTCACTCAATAAATTACAGGTAAGATGTTGCGTTATCATATATAGACATTTTGCACTATAATTTAGCAGTAAGATATGGTGTTTTTAGGAAAATAAGGTATTTACTCAATAAATTACGGGTAAGATATTGTGTTTTTAGATAGATAGGCACTTTACACTATAACTTACCGGTAAGATATTGTGTTTTTTTAAAAATAGGCTATTTACTCAATAAATTACGGGTAAGATGTTGCGTTCTCATATATATACGTACTTTACACTATAACTTACTGGTAAGATATGCTGTTTACAGAAAAATAGACAATTTACTCAATAAATTACGGGTAAGATGTTGCGTTATCAGATATATAAGTATTTTGCAGTATAACTTACGGGTAAGATATGATGTTTCTAGAAAAATAGTCTTTTCACTCAATAAATTACGGGTAATATATTGCGTTCTCAGATATATGGGCACTTTACACTATAACCTACTGGAAAGATATGATGTTTTCAGAAAAATAGGAAATTCACTCAACAAATTATGGGTAAGATATTGCGTTCATAGATATATAGTTACTTTGCACTGTAACTTTCCTGTGATATATGCTGTTTTTAGAAAATAAGGTATTTACTCAATAAATTACGGGTAAGATGTTGCGTTTTCAGATAGATAGGCATTTTACACTATAACTTACCAGTAAGATACAGTGTTTTCAGAAACATAGGCTTTTCACTCAATAATTACGGGAAAGATGTGGCATTCTCAGATATAATGACATTTTACAATATAACTTACCGGTAATATATGGTGTTTTTAGAAAAAATAGGCTATTTACTCAATAAATTACAAGTAAGATATTGCGTTCTCAGATATATAGTTACTTTGCACTGTAACTTTCCTGTGATATATGCTGTTTTTAGAAAATAAGGTATTTACTCAATAAATTACGGGTAAGATGTTGCGTTTTCAGATAGATAGGCATTTTACACTATAACTTACCGGTAAGATATGATGTTTAAAAAAAAAAGGCTATTTACTTAATAAATTATGGGTAAGATATTGTGTTCTCAGATATATAGTTACTTTACATTGTAACTTTCATGTAATATATGATG